CACCGAAGCATACAACGGAGGACAAGGACACTATACTCGTACCGAGTTTATGATGGCTATCAAAGATGTTAAGACTTGGGTACATGCCATCATCCAGGTCATGTGTCTCACGATATTATACGGTTTCAGTGTCTTCCTGCCAATTATCCTGCGGTTTGGCTTCAACTTCAGTGTTGAACAGTCTCAATACCTCAGCATCCCTGTCTTCGCTTGGGGCTCCGTCGTTTATGGCGTATGCGGATACTTGTCCGATCGTTTCTCGCGACGATTCCTAGCGTGTATCATTTGCGCACCGCTTGGAGCAGTAGGGTATTCTATGCTTCTTGGCGGTAACCACCTTTCTGTCGCAGTGAAGTATTTTGCATGCTTCCTCATCGCAACTTGCGCATGGACCATGGGTGGTGCAAATGTAGCTTGGCTCTCCACCAATACCGCACCTGATGGTAAGCGAGCTGCCTCAGTTGGACTTGCTCTGGCTTTAGGAAATATAGGTGGAATCATCTCGGGTCAGATATACCCACAGACGATGGCGCCGGCTTTTACTCTAGGTCACGCATGGAGTCTTGGTGCGATATGTATTTCATTCTGTTTGTGGTGGGTTCTGAGGCACATCTACTATAGTCGCGAGTCACTCAAGGGGCAGATTCGGGAGGGCGCAGTTCCGGAACCAGTCGACTTCTCAGATAGAGTGCCGGAATATAAGTATCAGCATTGATCTTATGCATTGGCGCTATGGACAGTTATATTTACGAAATAGACATATAAACTGCGACGGAGATACCACAATAGAAGTTAACTTCACGTTATGAAAGATACAAAATTGCGATGCAATCAGTTCCTGGCTTATTCTACTTAATATTAAATGCAACTTTCTGAGTTAGCATTCTCGCCGTAAGATAGAATTATGATATTCAGGAAGAATTGAACGATTGCCCGAGTTTACGAGGGGTTATGCCCGAGTTTACGAGGGGTTATTGTGTCGAATTTTTTCCATGGCCCAAATAGGAAAGTAACTCAATGGGCAGTATATGGCACGTGCGCAATTATGTAAACTCGGGCATATTGTGCAGCCCGCAGGGCTGCCTCCAGTATCTACAAGCCCTACACTTCGAACGATAGAAGTATGATTGTACTAGGTCATAATGAGATATCCAGGTATTATTCCCGTGACATGGGCGATTTTATTACCTGCAGATATGAATACCTATTCTATACATGAGGCATATGTCCGATTAGGATCCTAGCGACAGCCCTGAGTTTTATCCACTCTCCACAGTCAACACTCCTAAACTCAAAATATTTATTTCATTCGGGATCTTCAATTAAATCCCTGGATATTTCCTTATCGAAACTAATCAAAAACTCCTTGCCTTTATTCTCTCTAGAAGGGGGTCTACCGTTCGCAGCGGGTGTACGAGAGATAATTTTGTGTCCCTTTATGCTCGCGGGGTGGCTTGCTTTATTAAACTAACAGTATTCGCCAAGTAGACAACTACTGTCAGGGTATAAATGGGTTAGGGGTAGTTACAAGGTTAGACCTACTATATAAGGGGCGCTGCGCGCCCTTATAAGGGGGTAGAAGGCAGGCGTTAATAGTTCAATATTATCTACCCTGACACTATTACATCAATCAAGGGTAAAATATCTAACAACTACCTCCTTACTTATTAGTATATATAGTGATAGCTTTTAACCGTAATTACACGAATCTAAATACCAAGATTGATTCCACTTCCGCTTAAATTACATAAATATGACATGAGGTAGCATGATAATTATTCAAAATAGGTACCTATATATGAGACCATAGCCTAATATGTGTCTTACTACCTACTATTACTATTCACTACCGGGATCAGGAAATCTTAAGGAACTACATCTGTTTTCCAAAGGTCACTCTAGATACTAAGTTATAATCAAAGGATCGCTACCAGACATAGTCAGTAACTTAACAAAAACGTGTATATAATACAGGGGTTTCCTTTCACTCATAAAGAAGTTCAGTCAACCATACCGCTTATACAGACGTTATCTGCATCAAATGTAGCTATTTGGGGCTTAATTTGCTTGTAATAAGCCAGCTTTAGGATATATATGGTTATCCTACTTACATTATATGGTACAGTCTCGGTTTCAGTAAAGTTTCTAACAAACGACACGGCCAAGAGCATGGAGATTCTTATATAAAATGTGGTGAGGCGTACATTTTGCTTAGTTTCGCAAATTATTATGCTATAACATATCTCTAAATGTGCTTATCTACCTACCTTTTATTATCATGCTATTCTCGACAATAGTGGTACGGTTCGTACGGAGAATGTGTGGCTGTAATACACAAGCCTCAACAACGACTAGTAGAATCGTTATATTGCACTCACTTACTGTATCAGTATCACCTAATAAGGTGCGAATATCTGTAATTGTAATATTAATGATTACTGTGTATCTAGGCTAGGTGTTGGCTAACCCCTGAAAGACATTAATAAGCCCCGTTAATCAGCCTTACTAGGTCAGCCTTACTAGGCTACTTGACCATACTGCAGCTATCTTAAACAACCAGGAATTAGTTGATACCTTTATATAGTGAAGCTCACACCTCACTGCACAGCTTGAACTGGAAACTTAAGCCCACAAAGCCTAATACAGTCTCCTATTCGTACGAGTAGGAACTGGATGAGCTCATAACGGACGTAAGAGGTATGCATGACATATGAGAATAGATGAGCTTTTGTTGTTATGAATGATGAATATTTGAATAAAATAGGGAAATGAGATGAAGACGTTGGTAAGCGTAACAACCTTTCTAGAGGCGGTAAGTAGGATAGGATACTTGGCTTGGGATCCACAAGCTAAATGCAAAGTTCGGTGGAAAGCGTTTCCATAGCCCCTCGATATTATGTCGCCATTCTTAACCCATTATCCCTCGGTCCCGTAGTGAATGCTTGAGAGGGACTGTCAACGTATCATGTCTTTACAACTGCTTACAGAGAACTTCGATCATCGCGGTGCGTAATATAAGCAGTAATAAGCTCCGACGTCATGATACATGCTGTCTAATCTAATGCCACCGTAAATCGTTGAATATGATGATCGTATATTCTTTCAGGGATTGGAACCGGTTAATCATGTAGTGAAATATAAATCCTTGTGGATAGTCTCTTATGATAGGGGACACCAAGTTATAATAATATTAGTGAGGTTTCTTTTTGATATCTAATAGTGGTAACGGCCTTCTATATATGGAATATATATATCATGGCCAAAAAGGAGCAGCTAACGGTTCTTGCCATGTATAAATATTTAATTGACATGTTTAAATGATGCTAATATATTTTAATTTCTAACAATATCACTTAAAACCTATCAAGTATGTCTGGTGTATAGTTTCCCCGCGGGGGTGATTCCGGCTTTGCAGGTTGACCGCATTGGGCTCGAATCCTAATACCTACTGTATCCTATGTCGAAGCTTAGCATTTAATATATACAGGTCAAGATGACTGGTAGAGCAATTCTCACATGATGATAAAGCAGCACAGATTAACGGTATGTCCTTATAAGTACCTATCTAGGTACGTATAACCGCACGATAGTTCAACCATTCGTCAAATTTTACGTACAACCAGGTTAGCGATACTTTTGGCGCATATATGCGTTACATTCCCGCTTTAATCTTAAAGAGGATCCAAGCGCATTTGGTATGGTCGTGCAATATCAGTATTGGCTTATAGTTCTATGTTGTCATCCTGCAAAATTTCTGATAACGCAACTCTTCGGGACCGAGCCCCTATACCGGGATTTCGCCGAAGCGGCTTACCAACTACCTAATAGTTGACCTAATTTGTTTAGAAGAAAGCGAACCGTAGATTTTGTAAGAACGGGGCGTCGATCATGCATACGGTATTTACCGAACGAGATGTTTGGCTTTCAGCCACTAGAGTATTAATAGCCATGATCATCGACAGAACATGTCTATATTCCGCGATTGGCAACTAAGCGGGGTTACTACAGTCTTTGCATTTTCATGTAACCATTTAAAACTGATAAATTTGACATTTCTAAGGTGGCTAAAATATGGAAGATAGCAAATTTTAAAATGGTCAATGAAATACGATTCTAAAGATTAGTTCTAGAAGGAATACGTTCTTTTCTAGGCATTGTTTATTATAATTTAGGCTAGTCATATTAATTAAAATTGGGCAGTTTGTAAGATTGTCTATCTTAATTCTATAAACAGATCACATTGTGCTAACTGTAGCAAAGGAAAACCTGTATAGGGGGGAGTGTCTCAAGTAGACGAGAAAGGCGCAGTGTATAGGGGTAGGTACATACCTAAGTACCTAAATCTATTACAGCAAGGCCAACCTACACCAATCCTGTAAAGATGGGTATTCTAGCTACAGTACTATAAGTAATCCTCTCGAAGTATTTCATACGGGAACCTATATACGCCGTCGGTTTGTTTTGAAGACTATGTTCAGAGATACAGATTGGAACCAAAGCAAGAGAATTAACAACTAGTTACCGAAAACAAAAACGATGGATATATTCGTATCATATATAAGTACTAATAAGTAAGTGGAAACACCCATAGAGATCTACGGCATCGTTTAAGACTTTGAAATTTATGGAACTACCTAGGTAAGACAACCAGGTATCTTCGTTCTAACAATGGGTTTGGTATCTAAACTAACTTAGGTACCTACAAACTGCAATTTATGATTTGATGATCTGCATGATCGTAGCCAAAGAGAACCCCCCAACTGAATCTGTTGTATCCTCTCCTGCAATATCCGGGCAGTTGGCATTATTTAGGTACCATCTTAGTAAGCCCATTTGTCAAGACTACCTATGCAGTGAGAATGTAACCTTGATCTAACCATACGTAGGTAACCATACTCGCTAGGGTTGTCACATGTGCTCTTAATACTGCGAGATGCATTGTAACATAAAAGGCTACAGCGAGTAATGAGGCTCCTCTATACAGTACCTATATCCCGTCTAGGATATAGCCGCGTCTCGTCATTATCAGTCTACCGATTCCCCTAACCCCACTAACCCGCTAGGAACGTTCCCAAGAAATCCCCAACCATGGGACGCTTACGGATTACCCCGGCTTCTGCTAGGGCTAAGCACATTTCAAATACTCTCGGTGCCGACAGCTTCTATCAGAGTATCGGTGCGATATGCGCGAGCTTCCGGTCGGCATGTATACTCGTCAGCGGCGCCGAGGAATCAGGTGTTGTGTAGGAACAAGATTCATAATTTATATATCTTCCCTGCCTTATAGAAACCCCCTTGGAACTCATCTTTCCTTCGGAACTTCCCGGTACCTATACCAATTCAGAAAAGCATCAAGAAGTGGAGATTGCATCATTTCTCCTTTAGGTAGCCGCCACGGACTAGAAAATCTTCACTGACAACAACTTGAGTCTGAAGAAGGATCTACATTCAATATGACGGCTTCATTAGAGTCAACTGTGGTATTCCTTGAGAAGTTGGCCTCTGACCCCTCTAGTATAACCTCTGATGTCCTATCAGAGGATCATCTTCGGAAGAGACTCCTCCTAGTGATTCAGAAACTCGTCCCCGAATTAGAAACGCCTGAGGAAGCTTGCCAACGGATTCTATACAATGTGAGCTCACTTGTTCCTTGTGAACTGTAAAACTACTCTCCTTTTCTACTAGTGACTAACAATTTTGACCAAAGGCCCTTGAAACCCCCACAGCTCGTATCGCTGTAGATCTCAAGATTTTTAATATCCTCAAGGAATCACCCACGCCCTTAACAACGGAGGAGCTTGCAGAGAAGTCAGGTAAAAATCCCGATAGGAAATTATTAGCTCGCATCTTGAGATATCTAGCTTCTCTGAGCATGATTCGTGAAGTTAACACTGGACTTTGGGCTGCAAGCCATTTTGGAAACAACCTATCAGGAAACGGGCAGAGCGCAGGGGTCGCATCTATGTAAGCTATTCGAGCTCTCATTTGCGCAACCCAAACGCCACAATAAGCAGCTAATCTTGACTTCTTTCTTAATTAGGGTTGACAACTGCTTTGTTTCCATGGTCAATCTTCCCGCCTTTCTCCGGCTTCATGCATACAACCCGCCCGATGCAAAAAGTGAGACAGCTTTCGCGCTTGGGAATAGGGTGAGCCCTGAGGAAGCTACCTTCTTCGACTGGTTGAAAACCCGCCCGGAAAATGCTAGGAATTTCAACGTCTTTATGGGCTCCCATCGGACGGGCGTGAGGACATGGCTCGATCGCCCGGAGATTATAAACGAAATCACCGATGCGTTCAAGAAAGTGACCGCCCGCAAGGAAGGTGGTGAAGAGAAAGGGGTATCCTTCGTGGATATTGGCGGCGGCATTGGCCATCAATGCAAGGTAAGTTTATCCTAATAGATTACTAGAATTGAACTAACAAGAGAAATAGGCTTTCAAGAAGCGAGTACCTAACCTCAAAGGAACAATCATCTTAGAGGATCTAGAAGAGGTGGTAGCCAACGCGGAACTCGAACCTGGCATCGAAAGACTGGGCGTTAACTTCCTCGAAGGCCAGCCCGTTAAGGGTAGGTTATTATTCGTAGAAATTGCTCCTGGGAGATAGGATGGCTTGGCTAATTTTTCTGACGTAGGTGCGGCATCGTATTATTTCAGGAGTGTTTTACGAAGTAAGTCCCTAGCCCCTTATGAGGTAGCTACCCCTTTTATAGTATACGGTCAACTAACAAATTTGTTCCCTCACGTTTAGACTGGCCTGACAGGTACTCCCGGTCGATCCTCGGTTACGCCCGAGATGCCATGGATCAAGACTCTCTGCTACTCATTGACGAAATTGTACTGCCAGATCGTGGTGCTCACAGATATGAGACACAATTAGACTTGACAATGCTCGCAATGCTCAACGCCGAAGCGAGAACTGAGACACATTGGAAGCAACTGCTAGCTGAAGTAGGCATGGAAGTCAAAGATATTGTGTTCTACGAAGAAGAAACCAGAGAAGGTATCATCATCGCTAAGAAAGTGGCAAGTTGAATCATATGTTCACGGAGTTATCAGTACTAGATTAGGGCGCACGCATGAAAGCGTTTTCAACAAACTTTCGGTATATACCGATCAGTAGTTAGACGTAACTCAACTTAGTTTCGGATCAAATATTTAAACCCTTCGTTGATTGCTTAAAGCATTTGAGGCGCCACACCGGTGAAGCGTAATATAGCGGCTTGGGTTGCTGATTGGAAGTCTTGACACCTTCTATTAATTGACCCCCAAGCCCCTTTTCTCATCATCTAATAAGTCATCATACTTAGGACTAGTTTGGTACAACATATGAAGCGTTATCCGATGCTTGTACCATACCACGCCAAAGTGAATCCGAATTTTCTACCTAAATAATATTTAGAATGTTAACTTCAAATTTAAAGATGTATGGAGGTTTGTATCATAGCAAGTTTGATTAGATGTAGTAAGAAACCCCACATTTCCAGCTTGGTTTAAGCTGTATTAGTGCAATCAAGCCTCACTTATACAGTAGCGTTTATTTGCCCCTTTTCAAGTTGTTAAGAATTCCATTTCAAATATCTAAGCAGATTAGATATAATAACCCGAAATCTTGCTCATTTCATATTCTCGGCGTTTATGGTGATAAATATAATATCGCCGGGTGATGAGATTTGTAACACATAAAATGTCACTTTAGTCGGCCAAAGTCGCCGTAGCGCTAATTGCATATCTATCCGCCGGCCACGGACGTATTAGTCGACTAATTTGGCCGGTAAGTAGAGTATATAACTTTCGCGATGAACTCTTTTCAGGAAGCTCACTTCACCAGAATCTCATCTTCATACAACTCCATACTTGCTATACATTTTTCCACATTCACCATGCCAACTGTTCTAATCATCGGGGCCGGTCTCAACACTGGTAAGGCCGCAGCCGAAACCTTCTCAGCCGCAGGGTACCAAGTTGCTGTGGCATCTAGGACTCAAAAGCTCGATTCCAAGTACCAGTACTATGCATTTGATGCTTCGAAGCCAGAGACAGTGCCGACTCTGTTTGAGAAAGTGACCGCTGACCTTGGTGCGCCCAGTGTTGTTATTTATATTTGTCCGTCGCCCCTTTCCCTGCCGTAGCTCGCCCCCTATGTTGACATATTCCTAGCTGCCGCAGGTCACACCAGCCCTCCGGAAAATCCATTTGACGTGGAACTAGAAGAGTTTAGAAGGGGCCTAAATATAAATACCACTTCTCCTTATTATGCAGCACGGGAAGCGGTTAGGAGCTTCGAAAAACTTGGCCCTTCTGGTCTAGGCCCTGACGGGGGCTCGTTTTCTGTTTGTAGGTAATGGTTTAAACGCCATTGCTCTCCCGGGCTTCATGACCTTTGCCGGTAAGCCATATCAATCTATTTATTTAGAATATTTAAATAAGAACCGCTGTTAACTCTATAATAGTTCAAAAAGGTGCCACCTCACATATGATCCAAAATCTGGCGCTGGCCGAGTATGATGGCAAACCATACAAGTAAGTGAATCCACTGCAATGGAATAGAATGCGGCCGGATACCTCTTGACCAAATAACTTACAAGATATTCTATAGATTCTATTATCTCGACGAGAGGCACGCCGACGGTTCATACGTGACTAATGACTTGAGTGGTATCGGCCACGCTAAAGAGTTTCTCAAGCTAGCAAAAGACAGCAAGCAGGGACCTTGGGATTACACCTTTGTCAGCGGAAAGGGGTACGCGAAATTCCCGCACGTGGAGGTCATGGCTTGGAATCCATAGTGGTTTTTAAAGGTGTACCTGATGCGTCTTGGTGAACTGTATCATTTAATCACTCATTACTATATTGAATAGGTACGCAGGAGCATATCTAAAGTTTACATCGCTCCCTATACCATGTGCATTCGCTATAATGATATAAATTGACAATGCCCAAGTCAGAAACAAACGACTTGTTCCGTTATTGTGTAAAGTGATATAACGAAATATGAGATTTTCTATGTTAATGTTGCCTATTTGAAACTAGTTTCTATGAACAATTCATTATGCCTGTAGGATATTAACTCTTCAAGATAGCGTATTGCACCTTATTTAATTAATACGCAGCCGTGACTATCCAGGAGCCTCGATAGGAATGCTAGATTATTTAAACTAATGTTATAGAGTAAACCGTAACCATTCGTTCTATCAGCCAAACACCTCCACCACTACCATTACCATTAAAACCATACCCACCATCACCTTACCATAACTTGATACCTCCTTCAAAATACCCACAATGGCAAACAACAATTCTGATAAGTCAAAGGTAGTAGGAGGTTTTCCAAAGCCCGCGGAGCCTACAACCTACCCAGCGGCCCTGGTGGGAGGCAATTCAGGGTCATCCTCAAAGTCATCTGATGCTACTAAACGAGCAGCGCAATCTGCCCTTGGGCTGCTTAACCAATCAGGCAAGAACAAGAGCGGTGGAAAATAAACACTATCATTTAAGGCCATGTACGTCTATTAGATAGACTCTATTTGGCCAAAGATTCGGGGTTAGCTAGATCCCGATTAGACTCGCAAGGGTCACTGCCCTCTCGTTAGAGATTTTTAGAACACTATTATGCGCTGCTTTTAGCATTATTGAGTAATTCAGGCTATTAATTATCTACTGAGAAGGACATAGGTTGATTATACTGAATCCACGAATCCCATGCTTTAGTAAATTTTCTTGGGCTAGACCAAACAAAACAGCTAAGCTATCACTGCTAAATCCACGAATATGAGAATTGTTGCTGGGTCCTATGTAGGTACCTACCTATCTATAACACTTAAGGAGTATACCCAAAAAGCGTACCTAGAAGTAACTTTAGATCCAGACTATAGAAGCCAGTGAGTATACCTATTAAGAACACCCTTTATTCTTGTGGTATCACGTTGAATCCTAACAGACCCACCCCCTTGAATGGCATAAGACTCTACCTTCACTATTACATACATGTTCTCTCCTTAATCCATATACATATCTTGAGATACTCTTGAAAGGTCAAATATTTATTCACCTAAGAAACAACGATGGCATGAAAAGTAACCCGGCGGAGAGAGCTTACTGACAAATGGGAAGAAAATATTTCTTGTATATGGATACCCCCTATATTTCATAAAACTAATTGTATTATCATCCAGCTATTTTATACTCAAATTAAGAGACTCTCAACTAGTCTTCTACTATAAAGCCGCTTTATAACAAGAAACTGCAACTCCAGTCTATCCAACCCCTTAATTACCCTTCTATTACCGCGCCCAACCGATCCTCAGCCCGTGAACCTCCCCCAAACTCCCCGTACCACAAAAACGATACAGTGATACAACAGCATACCACAAAAGACCCGAATAGTAACACTACGCACAACACACGGTCGGCTCCTTACTCGCACTCGTTACAACATATCTTTGAAGAGAAACGATTAGCAATATTATTCGGAAAGAATCCATCAACAACGTACCCTTCGCCCAGAGGTTCCCAGTGGAAGATAAATGCGCCAATGTAAGCGCCGACGAAGATGGATATGATGATGTAGCCGTTAAAGTACATTGCGAGTCTATCATCTGAGTTAGCTGGGTGGTCATGAAGTATCGTTAGATTCACCAGTTTTAAGTCCGTTAGAGTGCAACATAGGACAAGAACGTACAACATAACGAAATACGCCACCGCGAACTGGACCATGTGCAACAACGCTCTAATCGCCTGCTCCCAAGCCGTTGGCCTGAATCCGCTTGCTTGTAATGCGCCTTGGCGAGTAGATGTCGGGCTTGCCATCGTAGTCTCATTGTTACTATCTTTAGGAGGGACCATAGACGCAGCCGTAGCGGCCGAAGCGTGCTTTCGAACGAGATATCTATCGTACTCCTTCGCAGTGCGGCGCAGGAGCTCCAAGGTCATGGTAAATAGAACAACGCCGATGCAAGACCCGGCGAACATGCCGGGAGTGGTGTTGTGCCATGAGCGAGCGAGGAAACAGGAATCGATAGTGTACCAATTCCAAAGCATCTGTTCTTATTAAATCTCAGGTTCTTTATTAATACTAAAACATGGTGAGCATACTGATATCTTGCAGGCATTGCCTTCTGCCGCCGAAGCGCCACTCATATCCATGGTCAAGTCCGTAGATGTTGTCGCTACGATGTTTGCTGTTCCTGCAAAGATGACATAGACAGTCATCGACAATATATCCACGTTCATTAATAACATATCTAGCCTTTATAATTAGTATACGCTATAAGCCAACGCGAAAGTTTACTTCCGACATTACCAAGCGTTAGCCAGAAATCTTAACGTGTCGCCCGTTGCGTCGCATAGAGGACGGGACAAGAATCCCGGACATCTGGATCCGCATATATTCCGACAACGAACACGGGGGGCAGCCGTCCATCAAAAAAGCTTCGCCTACTTTATCATATCTTAAGTACATAAAGCCAAGGGCCATATGAATTGTATGCGCAATTAGACAGTGACAGGCGAGTTGTTCAGCTGCCGCCTCGGGCGTGTGTGCCATGCGGAGCCGGCAGAATGACAGGGACAGGGGTTTAAATAGGAGTGAGCACGTTTGAGCTGGTTTATGTATATGGACCGTGTGTTTGGGCGTTTAAGAGATCCAGCCTTGACTAGCACGATGCTTTTTACGGTAATAAACCGCCTTTACTGCTTAATGTATAAAGTGTATACTATATAGTGCACCTTGAGGGTGTTGATGTTCGCTGTTCCGACGGTATTATATCCAACCTGTGCTCTTCAGAGTGTTGACATGGTTATATCGCCTGCTACTAAGTTTTGTGTAAGACTCTAAACTCCATCCCGCATATTCGTATGCGTAACGGTGAGCGTCATGCCGTCACCAGTGTAAGTCAAGTCCGAGTTCAATAAGACACTACTCTCCACATTTTGACATATGGTAGCTCGAGTTTAACGTCCTGAAGGATGTTGTGCTGTTTTCTTCCATCTCCCCTAATTTAGTATAGCGTCGTAGTGTGTTACGAATAGTTTGGCCGCATGGTAATTGGGTTCCCAATACTTGCTCACAGACATTTTGCCTTAATTAACCGGCACCATACCAGCTCAAATGATTCTGCATGGATTAGCAACCAAAACCAAATACAAAATGAACTAGTCGTCACAGAAGGCGCAGCGTATTATCGCGTCGAACTTTTATTTTATCCTTCATCAGTATTGTAGGCTCGTTTGCCTCCGGAAGGATCACCAAGATGACGGCAAGGTCGATGTCCATGCCTATGGGCGATAGCCCTACCTCGGAGAATGTCACTAGCCTTCCTCTTTCTGACCCGCGGTGTAATAGCGATGCCTGCGATGCTTTCGCGGCTGCCCACAAGGCTTCGCAGGCAGCGGTGTCGTACGATCACCAGTATGAGTATGGACACTATACAACTTGGTATTACCTAGCGGCGATTGGCGTTGCTATGTTCGTCTATGTCTATCGTCTGAATCGGAACCGTAGGGCTCGGCAAGGGGTTCCCGGGTCTGAAAGGTTGATGCCGACTCGTAAAGTACTCGCTCTCTTCCGCGCGGTTAACTATCGACACCTCAAAGGCCGCGTGGCAGATTATTTCGGATTCCCTTCCCTCGGGGCGTTTGTCTTCATTGCCGTGACATCGTTGTTCCTCCTCCTAATGACTTTCCTGGTTCACCCTTACTATCGAGGTCGACGAGGCTATGGCTCTCCTCCTTTGGCTGTCCGAACTGGGTTAATGGCGCAGGCTTTGACACCCATCATTGTTGCCCTTGCTGGCAAGGTCAACTTTATCACGATGCTTACCGGTATTAGCCATGAGAAGCTGAATATTTTCCACCGTTGGATATCGTACATGTGCTTATTCTTGAGCATTGTTCATACGGTGCCCTTCATCGTTCAACCCCTGAGAGAGGGTGGACCTGCCGCTCTCCGGAAACAGTACTACAAACCTGGCGGCATGGAGGTATGTGATTTCCCGCCCCTTCGGATTCTTTGCCGTATGCATGCTGTGAAGACTGACACGAGATCCCGAACAGTATACAGGAACTCCGCCACTGGGTATACTTGTAGGCATTGTCGTGTTATCCATCCCATGGATTCGCCATCGGTTCTACAACTTTTTCTACCGACTGCACATACCCATGTACATAGTGTATCTCGGTCTGCTCTTCTGGCATTCGAAGCAGGAGAAGGACTCGTGGGTGTATTTGTACTCGACGCTTGCAATCTGGCTCGCCTCATGTTTAGTGCGCCTCTTCTACAAGTGGCAGACATTCAGCATCTTCCGAAACTGGTTCCAAGGGTTCCCGGCGAAGCTTGAAGAATTACCGGGCGGTATGACGAAGGTGACTGTCCTTGCGCCCCTAGACTTCCAATGGAGACCTGGTCAGCACTGCTGGGTACGAGTGCCTCACCTATCGTTGCTACAGAACCATCCTTTCACGATCGCAAACTTACCTAAAGTTCATACTCCGGGAGTGAAAGTAGATTCAGAAACCCAAAATATGATCTTTTACGTCCGTGCGCATCATGGACTGACTCTTGATTTACTTAAATCCGTCACAAACCATGATGACGCAGAAAATCGCAGTCGTTCTATTTCTGTCCATATTGATGGGCCGTATGGTGGACTTATTGAGGATGTACCCGCGTTGTACGAATCGTTAATTTTCGTCGCTGGAGGCAGTGGGATTTCCGCATGTCTTCCGTGGATTCAATATGCGGCTAGGCGCATCACTGAAGGTACTTCAGTGACCAAGAGTATCCGCCTTGTGTGGATGGTTCGATACGCCAACCAAATACAGTGGATAATAGAGGAATTAGAGCCCCTCATCAGTGCTCATCCGGATCTAATCCAAGTGGACTTTTTCGTGACAGACTCAAGCACAGCGGCGGTGTCAAGCATAGAATCCGATAAAAACTCCGATAATGGAGTAATCGGCAGCAAACCGAGCAAACCGAACGAGAAGAGTACAACGACGGTAAGCCCGAAGCTAGGACAAGTGCATAACCAACGTCCCTACTTGCCTACTGTGCTTCCTACTCTGATCACGGCGCAACAGTCGTTTATTCTCGGTAAGTCCCACTCGCAGCGACGAGTCGTTAGGATATACACTGATGCAGTTAACCCTAGGTTGCGGACCAGAGAGTTTAAGGACGGATTTAGCAAATGCGGCGTCAGCTGCTCAAAAGAAGGTTCTTGCTGGAGATGCCAAGATTATCACGTTGCACACAGAGTCTTTCGGCTGGTAAGTTGAGAGGTACATATTAATCCTAAGCCACGGGTTAGAAAAGAATGGGAATAAAAATGTAAAAATGAATGAACGACCTAAAGTACAAATCCGTATAGCTGTAAGTAGTACCTAGGTACATACATAAATGGAAGGTACATAGGTACCTAATACATACCATCATCGTTCAAATATCGGCCAATCATAAGCTTCTAGCCGCCTCATTAGGGCAGCTACCTACCCCGCAATAGTAGGATGGGTAAGATCCATCGCGGAATTGCACCTTTGGAAATCGCCCATCGCCCTGCGTCAGCCGGACCACATCCGGGTTACACTACCACAAGCTCCGTCATCGGGGCTGATCTTAGCACAAAGTTGAAAATTTCCAATTCGGTCAGCAACAAGATTTCGAGACCAGACTCATTGAGTTTAGTTTCTTATGCGATATAACTAGATTGTTTGAAATAACATTCAATATTTCCGGATAGCTTACCTGCTTCCTAGGTACTTTAGTTACCTAATTGACTTTGCAATCCTTTATTTTTCGAGCTTCCCTCACTTAATCGGACGACTCTAATTTTAGGTCACGGACATTTTGTGTCCAAGGTCCGCCGAACAATTCGTCGTCTCGGTACCCCGAAATCATACCCCTACGTAGATCCCTTCTTTTAAACGGAACGAGCATGGAATCATTCACGATTCGGACGCCGTGCTCGTCGGCCAACATCGGACCCGGTTTCGATGTCATCGGCCTAGCCCTGTCTATCTATCTTGAGCTGCGCGTCACCATCGATCGCACCAAGTCTTCGTCTCAAGAGCCGCTTAACTGTCGTATCACGTATGAAGGCCAAGGCGAAGATTCAGATGATGTACCGCTAGATCCGTCCGCAAATCTAATCACTCGAGTTGCGCTGTATGTTCTGCGGTGCCATGACCAACGAGCGTTCCCTGTTGAGACTCACGTGCACATCATTAACCCCATCCCATTGGGTCGTGGTCTTGGCTCCTCTGGTGCAGCCGTTGTTGCCGGCGTAATGCTAGGCAAGGAAGTTGGAGGCCTGCATCATCTAACTAACGATCGGCTTTTTGACTTCTGTCTCATGATCGGTATAACTCGCCTTCCTTTTAACACCTGATGTTCTCAGGTGCTAATCTTCTATCTGAATTTTCTTCTCTTTTCAAGTTGCTGTTAAATATTGGAGTATGCAGGAAGCTAACCTCCTTTGTCTCTCCCTAGAGCGCCATCCTGACAACGTGGGCGCTGCTCTGTTTGGTGGATTTGTAGGGACGTACCTAAAGCCGTTGACGCCCGAGGACGTTGCGCGTGTCGAGATCCCACTTAGTGAAGTACTTCCTGCGCCAGCGGGTGGTCTTGACACGGGTGAGCGACCGCCGGAACCGCCGCACGGTATTGGCCACCATATCAAGTTCCCCTGGTCCAAGGAGATCAAGGCTATCGCCATTGTGCCCAACTTTCAGGTGCCTACAGCCAAGGCACGAGAGGTACTTCCGAAAGAGTACCCACGACAGGATGTTGTAAGTCACGAGTCTTTGTCTGAGACACCCACCCCATAGATATACTGATCGCGCTTCAGACCTTCAACCTGCAGCGAATAGCGTTGCTACCTGTTGCGTTGGGACAATCGCCTCCGGACCCGGATCTCATCTATCTCGCCATGCAAGACAAGTTGCACCAGCAGTACAGACAGACATTGATCCCTGGGTTAGGTGAGATCGTTGAGTCCATGTCACCAAGCACTCAGGAGGGGTTGTTAGGAGTCTGCTTATCGGGCGCCGGACCTACGATCCTAGCATTGGCTACTAGTAACTTCGAGCAGATTGCCGAGAAGATCATAAGCAGGTTTACGAAGGAAAACATCGATTGCCAATGGCTAATCCTGGAGCCAGCCGAGGGTACCAAGGTTATTCGGGCATGAGGGTCAAGCTGATGAGCACGTGAGCTTTAAATCGATACCCGTGTGACTACACGTCATAGTCTTATATAGACCAACGAACGGCTGAGGTCGACTTCGGATCTTGGGAAACATCCCCGAATTAAGCTTATTTTAACTGAAAGACTAGCGGCGGGTTAGGAGATATTGGGCCTCTGGATAGACGACTGCGACTAAAAATAGACAAATTAGTTTCGCCGATGAGTACGGTTGGTTGGTTGTTGTTGTTGTTGTATAAGTTGTATAAGTGCTCTTCTTTTTTTTTTTTTAACTTCAGAGGGCTTTCATTGTGAGATGGAATATTGAATCTTGAAATGCCTACATTACGCCTGTTAACCTAGAATAGTAAGCGAATATCTCGTAGCGCTCCAATAAGATGAGCATCCACTAGTAGGCTACGGATTGCTACTCCAATCTGCACATACCGAGATAGGTACTATTCTGCAACCTCATCTTGCTGCAGAGCTCAGGGAACCAGGTCAAACAAATTCTTAGTTTATTCTAGTGTCCATTTCCAAGATTCTGGAGATGTTAGGCTTGCTCGATGTAACATGTGGCTATGCCGCCTTTCCCGTATCTTCCTCGATCACGAGCAGTGGTTCTGCTGCAAAGGAGTTATAGTCCTTATTCTGGTAGCTTGGCCGCGCGCAGCATTCAAAATCCGTCATGTGAAAATAGCATCCTCTTATTACACATGACGGCAACTTCCGATTGGGCTTTTATTCTGCGCCCAAGTTAAAAAAATGTGGTGCAATTTCCAACGGGGTGCATGTACATAGGAACAGCTGACGTACGGTGACAAGGGGAATGAAGGATTTTGAATGCAGCCCTGAATTAACGCATCCGCAGAAAATAGTGATCAGCCCCCCTGTCCTGACTATTCTGGAAGTCAGCTCCTTAGCTTCGTTGGTTAGTAAGTTAGGACATAGTGTCAAACAGCCGATACGCACAGTTAGGTAATAATTGAGGCAATATTGATGTAATTATTGATGATTTGATTGTCTATTATCAAAATCGTGAGAACGCGTGGAATGCGGGTAATTACACTGAAATCAGAGATTTCAGGTCACCTAACAGGGCTGACTAATTTGACACACCCCCCCCAGATGCAACCGTAAGGTTAATCTGGTTTAAATAACCTTATCTTTCAAGTCATTAACAATCTAATTTTATCCCTTTTAACGCCTTATATACTCTTAATTTCCGTTAACACGCATCTTTTATTTTAAAACTATTTTTTCATCTAGTTTTCGTAACCTTTTTGCTTATAATTGTTCCGTAATATCCGTTAATTTTATTTAATCTTTAAATCTTTTATATAATTCTTTAAATAACGCTTTTATAAATCCATTTACAATTATATCTCTTAATTTAACATAATTTATTTTTATACAACTTTTTTTAACTTTTTACCGTAACCAATAATTATATATATTAACGTATTTAAACTTCGTTTTTAATTTTTTAATATTTTTATTAACTAATCTAATTATTTACTTATTATCACAATTAATTACAATTATAAATTGGTTTAAATTAACTTTAAAATCTTAAATTAACCATATAATAAACATAACCTTTTTTACCGCTTATAATAACGTTAATAATTTAACTTTTATTATAAATATAATTATTATATTTTACTTATTTGTTTTTTAACTTATTATACCTTTAAATAACTTTATCATATATACCTGAAAACTCTTTTAATTATTAATATTATTAGTAAATAAAATATTACTAATAACCTTAAAAAAATTACTACCATTTAATTATAACGCATACGTTTATATATATTTAAAATAATATAATACATAATTAACTACTTTATAATATTTTAAACTAAAATTATTATTAAATTTTAACAATTTTAAAGTTACAAAAACAATATCAAAATATATAATCACCGTTACGTATAAAATAAACCTTATCTTTTATTAATAACAACAATTAAACTTTTTTAAAATTATTTTATTATACGGTAACAATTCCTCTTTTATTATTAATATTACAAAGATTTATGTTAAAAATCTTACAAAATTAACTATTTTATTAATATACAAAAATTAATTTAACCAAATTAATCGCTTTTTACAATCTTTTATTATTTTAATACTTAAAAACCATTATAATTTATTACTTTTAATAAGTTAATATTATTACTTTAAATTTTACGTAAATTAATTTACCCGTAATTCCTTTAATTTAAAATATACAATTATTATATTATTAACATAAACAAATAATAATATCTTATTACTTATAAATATATACAATTTTTAAAATATTAATTTAAAACTTAAATCTTTTAACATTATTATAAACTTTTATTACCAAAATAAAAATAACTTTTTTAAATTATATAATGTTTTAATTAACTTTAATATATTACTTAATCGTTGGTAACTTTAAAACATTTTTATAAATACATTTTTTTTAAATTTAACGTTAATAAAAACGTTTATTACATTATATTATATTAACTTAAAATTAAATCTTATAACTATCGTTATTAAAATCTTAAAAAACTTTTTTACTAATATTAAAACATATATTTCTTTAATGCTTAAAACTTATTAATTACTTTTAATTATTAACTTTATTTTACACTTTTATAAATATTTATATTTATTAAATTTATACACATATACTTATATATAATTAAAGATTTATTACTTATAATATTTTAAATTAATTTTTAAGATTTCCTTTTACGTTTTTATTTAATAATAACTTTTTAAATATACCTTTTTTACCTTTTTAAATATTATTTTATATAAATAATTTTTAAAGTTATTATACCTTTTAAAAAGTTTTAAAAAGTCTTTTTAATGCATTTTTTTAAGTTTATTTCTTTATTAATAATTAATTTTAAATTACTTTGCTTAAATAACCAAATTATATTAAGATAACTTGCAAAAAAACCGAATTTCCGTTGTTTTATTAATCGTTTACTTTTTATACATCTTTTTTTAATTATTTAATTTACTTGCATTAAACGCGATTTACCAGATTTCGACTTATAAAATTTATATTTTTAACAAAGTATTAAAATCAACTAACGTTTCAAATTATATCGTTATTATAAACAAAATTATAAGCAATAACGCATTTAAAATTAATAAAAAAGTAAATTTTACAATCATATAAAAGTAATTAATCTTTAATAATATACTTATTACCTTAAATTTTCTTAACATATTATTTATTTATAACTTTAAATTTAACGTTAACACATTTATATCTTTAATTTACTTAAATCTATTATTATTTATACCATTATTTACAATTAAATCAATTTTTAATTAAAAATTTTAAATAAATTATAATATTTAATAATATTATTTAATACTTATATATATAAAATTATTATATAATCTTTTTTTTAATTTTATAAAATTTTTATTAAATAAATTATTTTTATTAAAAATAACATTTCGAATTTTTATTACTTTATTAATATAAAGATTTTATATTTTATAAATATTTATTAAAACGTAACTTACAAAATAACTTATTTAAACTTTTAAATTTAAACGTTATTTTTTATTAATCTTTTTTAATATATTAATTATTAAAGCATAAACTTTACAACTATATACTTATAAATAAATTTATTAAAACTTTTTTTCCCAAGTTATAATTCCGTTATTTATTACCATAAAAATATAAAAACGGTTATATGACATACGTTAATTATACTTATATTAAAATATATAATTATATAAATACATAATAACTTTATAAATTTTAAACTATAAAAAATAAAATAATTTTACATATAATTTTATTACATATACTTTATCTTTTATTACACCTTTTAAACGTTTAACGGCATTATTTTATACTTAAATATAATTCGTTAAAAACTTTAATTTTATATATTAACTTTTAAAAAAATCTTTAATTACCGGTTTAATTTAAATAATCTTTTAATTTAACTTTTATATATATAATATTACATCATATTAAACTTTTAACAATTTTATAAAGTTTTTAAATGCTATAATTATTATTTTAAACTTTTTATTATTTAAATAATAATCGAAAATTATTTTAATTTAACAGTTTATAATTAATATTAAATTTATAATATTATTATTAAATACTTTTAAAAAATAAAAATTTAATACTAACTTTACCTTAAAAAACTTATTAATATATTATAATATACGTTTTATTTATTATTTAATTTTTACTATTTTATATACTTTACATTTAACAATAATAAATTCTTTAATACATATTTTTTTATTAACGTTTATAAAATATTCCAAAACTTAAAAATTTAAATGGCTTAATTTATAATACCATTTTAAAGTGTTAGTTATGTTTAACAATTTTACAAGCTTTAAATTTAAATTGTTACGGCATATATAAAAAACGGTTTTAAAAACTTTATAAAATATATTTTTAAAAATAAATTAATTATAACAATTAATAAATTCGGTAATAATAATACCGTTTAAATATTTTAAATAAATAAGTTTATATTAATTATTCCATTAATAACTTTACTTTTTTAATAACTTTAATAATACAAAGTTATAAACAAAATTTTTATAATAAATAACGTTTATTAATCGTATTTATATATACTTTTTTAAGTATATAATACATATATTAACGTTATTATAACCTATTACCTTAACTCGTTTTTCCTTAATAATTATATAATTACTTAAAAATATAATCTTAAAATTAAAAAATTAAAAAATTTAATTAAATACATATATAATAATTTTTAAATTTAATATTATTAAATTTTTTAAAAAATATTAACTTATATTAAATAAAACATTTAATACTAATATTACAAAAAAAACGCTAACTTATAAATTTACTATTTAACAACTTAATTAATTATCTTTTCTTTTAATATTTTAACGTTATTTTTCCTTTTTTAACGCCTTTATTTTAGCCGTTAAATCCAAAATATATTTAAAAATTATTTCCATTAATTTAAAAACTATTAAATTACCTTTAAAAATCGTAAATCATTTTAATTTAAAAATATAATAACATTTTATTATATCGTAATAATTTTAACAAACTTTACATTTTTTTTTATTTCGTAAAATACGTTATTATTTAATTAATTGTTAAAGATTAATATTAACTTTTTTTTACTTATTTAAACTATTTTCTCTTTTCTTAAAATATTTAAACAATTATAAAAACCTTTTTTAACGTTTTAAATCAATTTTTAAATTTATATTTTCACTTTTATTAATACTATAAATTAATTTAAAAATACCTTTATATATTTTACTTTTATATTTAATATTTTTAAAAGTTTAAATATACTTTTATAATATTATTACCACTTTATTATATAACAACGTTTTACCGTAAATTTTATTTTAAAAAACTATATTTTACATAATTACCCACTTTAATATTACAAATTTTAAAACTTATACCAATACATAAAACCACTTTTAAAAATCTTTAACAATAATTAATCTTTACCGTTTTACCCGTAAAAAAATAATCTTTTAATTAATTATTTAAACCTTTTAATCTTTAAATACCTTTATAAAAAATGCCATTACTTTTACATACCTTTTTTAAATCTCGTATTTTAAAACGTAAATACTTAAATAATTTTTAAAAATATTATATATATTACAAAATAAATTATAAACTTTTGCAACAATTTTAACATACCCTTTTAACATAATCTTTATAATAAATTACTTAAACTTAATTATTTTATTTTTTTAATCGTTAAACAAATTTAATAACTTAATATAAAAAATATAATCTTTAAAATATCGTTTATAACTCTCGTTAATCATTTCGTTTATTAATTAAAATAATTTAATAAAATCGTTAATAAAAATTAACAACCTTATATTTTATATAATCACATTTAATAAATTTACCTTTATTAACATTTTTAACAATTATTAATTTAAAATTTAATTCGGCAATTTTTTATCGTAATTATTTAAATTAAATACCTTTAAAATAATTAAAAAATTATAAATTAAATTACCATTTTTATTAATATTATTAAAATTAATTTAATTTTAAAACTTATAACTTTTTATTAAATTAATAAATTATTTATTTTAAACCTTTTAATCGTTAAAAAAAACCAATTTAAACTTTTTTATAAATATAATAATATTTATAATAAATATTATTTTATTAATAATTTTACTAAAATTTATTACAATAAAATACATATACAGTTAAATAATATTAATTAAAATTATATTTTTAAAACTTTTACGTTTAAACATATAAAACTTTTAATTATTAAATAACTAATACGCACAATTAAATAATAATTAAAATAATATTAATATAATTATTAATAATTTAATTATTTATTATTAAAATTATAAAAACGCATAAAATACAGGTAATTACACTAAAATCAAAGATTTCAGGTCACCTGATAGGGCTGACTAATCTGATACATAGGTATCTTAGCGACCCGAGCGGATACATATCACATATTTGAATAACCCCGACGTCCCCGAGCGAAAACGAGATCCATCAACCCCGGGACTGCAACGGGTCGTTCCCGGATCTTGGTCTGTCATCACTTCACATGCATACATCCCTCCCCCCACACGATATATCCACCCAGAGCCGAGGGAAGCCCCTCAAATGTCATAGTTGCCCCTATATAGGGTGTGCGGGACCATATTCAAAACGGAGTTATCGTATTCGGATCTTAATTCGAAATAATGTAGCATATGCGCTAGGCTAATATGCGCAGATAGCGAGATTTGCTGTTGTCCTGCAACTATGCGTTGCTTGTAATTTTGTGACTGTCATACGCAAACATACTATACCCTTTGGAATCTAGTATAGCCTGTGGAATTTATAGGGGTAAGGATGCCGACAGGATCTGTAGATAAAAGTCGCGGAGTTCCTGCATTTGGCGATAAAGCCTCAGCTGTCGCGAGGAGTCTCGTTTGTATCCGCGTATCGCACTTTCAGGCCTCCGGCAAACCTTGACACCTTCAAATAACTGCACGGTGGAAACAAGGTCCAAGATGGCATACATGACTCTAAATAGATTCATGATATGGGCTGTTGCCCTTGCGACGTCCGTTGCTGCCCAAGACACTTGCCAGACGGTCGAAGCCCAAACCTCCATCACGATGCTCAAGTCGTTAACGCTGGATTACGACAAGGAGCAGAGTCAATACTGGTCCACGTTTTCCGGTGATCTCAAGCCAACATGCATCCTCGAGCCGGAAACATCGGAGGAAGTCGCTGCTATTGTGTCGATTCTTCGTAAAAACAACGAGACCTTTGCCGTTAAGTCGGGAGGACACAATCCCAACAATTACTTTGCCAGTGTTGACGGAGGGCCATTGATTTCGACTAAGAGACTTAACGAGGTCATCTTCAACGCTGACTCCGAGACCGTCAGAGTTGGCCCCGGTAACCGATGGGATGAAGTTGGCGAACAACTAGACGCCACAGGCTATACTGTCATTGGTGGCCGTATCGGAAATGTTGGGGTCGGAGGTTATCTGCTAGGAAGTAAGAGTGACTGAAGAACCTTTTGCTGCAACTAGAATACTAACCGAGTCTAGACGGGTTGAGCTTCATGAGTACTGAATATGGTTGGGCTGCTAACTCGGTCCTCGAATATACTGTGGTACTAGCAAATTCGTCAATCGTCACTGTTAGCGAGACTAACCATCCCGACCTCTGGATGGCTCTCAAAGGGGGTGGGAATAATTTCGGTATTGTGACGTCGTATCTACTTCAAGCATACCCTCAGGGCGATATATGGGGTGGGAACCTTGAATTTGATGCCACGCCCGAGAATACCGCCGCTATCCTAGCTGCGGTTCGTAATTTTACCGAAAACTACCCCGATAAGAAGGCTGGTATAATTGTAACGTCTGAAAGAGCGCTGAGCACACTGCTCGACATCTGGATCTTGTTCCTTTACTACAACGGACCCGAGCCACCGCAAGGCGTATTCGATAGCTTCCTCGCTATCGGGCCTAGCATCAACACCTGCAAGACACAGAGGTATGCTGACCTCCTCAGCGGAAACAACTGGTCCGTTCTGAAGGGCAGTGTCTATACCATCGGAACGGAAACTATTCCATTGCCTAGCAAGGAGGATGGTCCCGAAGTCATGCAAGCCATCTATGACCATTGGGTGAAGGTCAGCGACACGACCAAACTTGTTCCAGGACTCATTGCCAGTATCGCCTTCCAACCCATGCCTAGAGGAGTAGCAACGATTGCCAAGTCCAAGGGTGGAGATATGCTAGATTTAGATGATGACCACGACCGTATCATTATCGAGCTGGACTACAGCTTCTATTCCAAGTCAGACTATGACCAGGTTGATATAGCGATGCGCGCTACATATGGTGGTTTCCAGAGTATTGTTAAGGGATACCAGCAAGGTGGTCTACTCCCATCTGATGTGTACCTGCCGCTCTTTATGAACGACTGTTTCTACCCACAGGATTACTTTGGCAGGTTGAGACCCGAAAAGTTGCAGTTGGCTCAGACTGTCCAATCTCAAGTTGACCCTGACGGTTTCTGGAATGAAAGGACGGGAGGATTCAAGGTAGCCTCTAAACCATAAGTATAATAATTAAATAATGAATCATTCTCATGAATGAGAAATATAATCATAATCAAATCACAATTATCTGTTCTTATACCAGCTTGAAATGCTTCGTAGTGGTGTTTCTTAATGATGAGTGGAGTCTTTTTTTGTCTTGCAGATTTCATGTAAATTGTAAATTCAACCTGTCAACTCGGACCCCTCCTGACCCGATGGCGGCTGTTAGGCTAGACTAGGCCAAGATTAGTGCGGGGCCGCCCGCAGACCCACTAAGCGCGCCATCCATCATAGAGATAGGGGACACTTTACCAAAATAACTTTACTAAAATACCTAACTTTACCAAAATATCCATTGTTAAAATGCGTCTCTATGTATTTACAAACTACATATTTGCACATTCTAGATCTACGACCCATGTGAACTGTGACATACAGCCGCGTTACCTTTTTTCTCAGCTGTCTTATTGGCCTGCTACTTTCTCCGCCTTCGCATGAAATAAATCAAATAGTACTATGGATTTCCTCAAATCCGCGGTCGCGTCCGCCATCTCCCAGGGGCCTCCTTTTCCCTATTCCTTTGGCGACAAGGTTGACATAGACGCCTCCATCTGGACACTATATAATGGTACGAGACGAGCCGATGGATCCAATTGCAGCATATTTGCTTTCGATATACCCTCGAACAAAGCGCGACTCCCCCTCGCGAAGAATGCCGTCAAGAAACTGCGCACGATGAGGCATCCAGGCGTTATTAAGGTTCTAGACACCGTCGAGACAGATTCCTACATATATATCGCAACTGAAAGGGTAGTGCCTCTGAGGTGGCACGTTAAGAGAAAGAGCTTAAGTCCAGAGACTATTAAATGGGGGTTGTACAGCATTGCGCGCACCGTCAAGTTCATTAACGATGAGGGCTCCTCTGTCCACGGCAGCCTCCGAATCGCATCGATATACACATCCGAGAGTGGCGAATGGAAATTGGGCGGTTTCGAAGTATTAAGTAATGTGAAGGATGACGATGCGGTAGTATACACGTACGGAAGTCTAGTGCCGGATGCCGCAAGATACACGCCACCAGAGCTCGCGCGTTCAGGTTGGGATGCGCTCAAGAAAAGTCCACATTCAGCTGTCGATGCTTACAACTTTGGGACTACTATATTTGAGGTGTTCAATGGGGATTTCATGGGTGCGGATCAAGCAGGACAGACTAAGAGTATTCCGCCCAGTATGCATGCGGGTTACAAGAGACTTGTCAATGCGAACCCCAAGGCCAGAATTACAGTGGGAGCATTCTTAGAGCAAGGGCGTCGATCTGGCAGTTTCTTCGACTCACCTTTAATCAAGTTGACCGAGGGAATAGATAATCTCGGTGTCAAATCTGAGACCGAGAAGGAACAATTCTTAGATGATCTTGACCAACTTACAGACGATTTTCCTGAGGAGTTCTTTAAGATGAAGGTATTACCCGAACTATTGAAGTCAGTTGAATTCGGTGGAGGCGGGCCAAAAGCGTTCGGTGTTGTCATGAAGATATCTACAAAGCTATCAAATGAGGATTTTGAGTCTCGAGTCCAGCCCGTTGTTGTCAGACTATTTGGCAATCCCGATAGGGCTATACGAGTTTGTCTCTTGGATAATCTACCGGTCATGATTGACAGACTATCCCAAAAGGTGGTCAATGATAAGATTTTCCCAAACATGGTATCTGGTTTTGCGGATGTAGCACCCGTGGTGCGAGAACAGACACTAAAATCCGTTCTCGTCGTCATATCTAAGCTATCAGACCGGACGATCAACGGCGAATTGCTAAAACAACTCGCCAAGACGGCTAACGATGAGCAGCCTGGTATTCGAACAAACACGACAATTTGTTTAGGCAAGATCGCCAAGAATCTTGGGGCTTCATCACGAACTAAGGTTCTACTCGCGGCGTTTACTCGATCACTTCGAGACCCCTTTGTACATGCTCGAAATGCCGCGCTCCTAGCACTTGCAGCCACAGGCGAATATTTCACCGAAGAGGACTGCGCAGCACGACTTTTACCGGCCATATGCCCATCCTTACTCGATAAGGAAAAACTCGTCCGAGATCAAGCCAACAAGACGTTGGAAATTTACTTACAGAGGGTTCGCAAGGCTGCGGACGGTATGCCTGATACGGTCCAACCACCGCCTCAGACGACCGAAGGTGCCGGTCCGCGAATGAGTACGCCGCAGCCGAGTGAGGCATCTTCTTGGGCCGGATGGGCAATTTCATCCTTTACGAACAAGTTGTCGGCCGCCTCGGGCGAAATAACTGCAACGTCCAGGCGTCCGGTTGTATCCCCCGACCTCGACCCCAATAGACGTGTCCCGTCAACGACATCCTCGGCTTCTGCGCTCCACCGCCAGGCTGTTAAGTCCCCATCGCCCGCCCCGCCTCTGTCACGAAACTCGTCTGCTTCTACGGCCGAGGCTTATTTCAAGGATCCCGAACCAGTAGAGGATGACGCAGGCGACGCTTGGGGTGATATGGGTGACATGGATGATGACGGTAACGCGTTCTTCGATGCGTCCAGCGAGCCGACGAAACCCGCGAAGAAAGAGCCGACGGCATCACCTAAGCCATTTGATGACGGCTCAGAGCCCGACTTTGCGGGATGGCTAGCGGCACAAGCGAAGAAGAGTGGACCTGGTGGTGGGGGCAAGCCCCTTCCGAAAGGTCTTGCTAAGACAAATGGCAAAGCATCTACCACCACCGCCGCCGCCGCCAGGAAGCCACTCACGTCTAGGCCAGCGACAAAGGTAGTGGCAAAGAAGATTGACACAAAACCGAAGGAAACAGATGACGATGACGGATGGGGAGATGGATGGTAGTGTTCGGCTGGGATGTAGATAAGGAAAAGCAATGTTTGATTCAGATGGAAGAGCGTGGACATCGCAAGGCGTTTTGGTGTACGGATTATAGCCTCGGACCTAGGTATTCGAGGGTTGATTGCTTTCTAGCATACCGGGCATTGAGTGGTCATTGCTGAATCTAAGCTCTAATATGGAGAGCGGCGATATTGACATAATAAATACCTTATATATATAAATCACAGGCTACTTGCTCAAAACTCAGTTCTTACCTACCAATTCCGTATAAACAAAACTAGACGCTATAGACCATGAAGGTAGGACTATAAGATCAAACAATATATCTCTAGCCAAATTGCTCAGCTATTCCTATTCCTAGAGCCAGACCCATCCCACCACCTACCGCCTAATAATACTTGGTTCAAAACATTTCGTTGGTATCGAGAACAATAAGTCACAGAACAGGATTATATCGTACGAAGTAGGCATGAATAGAAATCAAAATAAAACTGCATAACAAAACCAACCGCGGGAGCCCCGTGCAAAACTCAAACGCCAGAGGATACCTACCTAGGTATATAGAAAAGCAGGCTCGTACCAAGAACCACCGTCACCTCCTCTTCACGTATCTATCTATTCGGCATTTCTACGCCTATCAAACACGTCCCCTTCACCAGCCGACCACAGGACGACTCGTAAATCACCGCGCCTCAGAGTAATCGTTAAGAGCTACGCAGACCGCACCACGGTGGTGGCCGTTATACTGGCGAATAACCTGTTGACTATGCAGCTCCCACAATCGCGCATAGTGGTCCGAGCACGCCGTAACCAAGTACGCCGAGTCCGCGCTAAACGCGCAGTCCCAGACCCAGCGCTGGTGGCCCGTCAGCGTCGCCTCTAGGGGATACGGTCTAGGCTCTCCGCCCGCGGCGTCCCCGCTGCCTTTGGGCTTGTCGTGGCCGTTGGTGCCGTTGATGCCGTTCGCGGGGGCGTTGGATAGGGATGACGAAGAGGACTCGTCGGATGGAGTGCCTGTCACGTTGGTGACTTCCCAGATCTTGGCCGTGTGGTCCGCCGAGCAGGTTGCGAGCTTCTTGACGTCGGGGGAGAGCAGGATTCGCGTGATGTACTCTTTGTGCGCGGAGAAGTGTGTTACGGGGAGGAGGTTTGTGCGTTCGTAGGTTTGGATTAGTTGCCAGACGAAGACGTTGCCCTGGATGATGGTGTTAGTATGAGAGGGTATAAAGTAGGGGGTACATGGGGTATAAAAGTAGAGTGGCATACAGCATTGTTAGCAGCACAGAGGAGTGACCCGTCACTCGCGACAGTAACGCTAGAGACGGAGACATCTTCCTCGGGAATGAGCTGATGGGAGCAGTTATTCTCAGCAAGATCCCAGACCCTGACGCTTCCGCTCCGGTCGCAGCTTATGATCTCGCCCTGATTAGGGTGTATAACGACATCGTTTACCGCAGAACCGTGGCTGTAGCTGCGCTGGATAGTGCCGGAGCGCGTCTCCCATATCTTGACGCTGCCGTCTTCAGAACTCGTCACCATCCATTTCCCCTCGCAGTGGAACGCGACTCCCGTCACGTTTCCCGTGTGGCCTTCGAAGGTAAGCAAGGGGTTCGGATTCGTCGACTTGATATCGTAGAGCTTAACCGTATGGTGACCGGCCGCTGCCAGGAACCGCTTGTCCGGCGAGATGCATAGTCGGTTGACCTGCGAGTCCGGATGTTGAATTGTTCTCGAGCAGATCCCTGATAACGCCTCCCAGAACCTTTATGTTTTCGAATATGGCTAGTTAGTTATCAATGCAATTATAATATCTCGATCTCGATCTCGATAGCCGGGCCGAGGCATAGGCATAGGCGCATACCTAATTGTGTGATCGTACCCAGCTATATTAATCGACAGGTGAGTTGCAGAACAGTGGCGGTGGGGTGGGAATTAGGCCTACCGGTACAAAGAATAACAGACATTACAGCGTCAGCAGTGGCCCATCAAAGCGATAGGCCAGCCGAGGGAATAACAAGATTGTAGAATAAGAAATGGTATTCCAAGTTGATATCGAATCAAGTGTAAAAGGTTACGATAAGTTCGCGGAAGGAAGCTGATGTCAATGCTGATGGTATTATTAGCTTTATCGATAAGATATGTAGCTTCGGGACATAAAAGAATTAACGCGAATTAACGCGAACTGAATTATGCAATAAGTGAGGCAGTCACAAAGTACCTCTAATAGAATAGGGGGTCATGAATTTCTTCAGAATCTACCAGACCTTGATGTTACTTGTTTAAATTCAGAAACCTGGTCATTTCTTCAAAAGCCGACTATTAATCAATCCTAGGTGTCAATTCGCAAATGCTTAACTAAAAATCCCATAGGCCAGTTCAATGTCAGTCCCAAAATTCACAATGATACCCATTAAAGTATCAAGGAATTTTGACCATGTTCATTATCATACCTACCTAGGTAACTTGAAGGAAATATTAGATAAAGTTCGCTTTCTCTTAGGAATCAGTATCACAGTATATTATTCTCTAACGGGCTCAAAATTAGAAAGAAAACAGCATAGATTTGTTAGATAACATGAAAGTATTCTCAGACTTGGATGTGGAAACCTGTTCCATCCTTATATCGTCTCCTGAATTAGGCCCCAAATAGCATCCTGAAAACAGACAGAATTATTCCTCTCTAAACCATATACTAGCTAAAGCAGGGAGGACCCCAGGTGACTCTCCAGCTTATAGAAACAGATACAGCCGATTTTCCAGCGATGGAGGTGACGGTAGGGTAGTGTGACTTTGAGTCCTTCTAAAGCTCTCGTGCCGGTGTGTTTATCTCTTAGAGTCTCGGCATATAGACGACCCCCCTCTCGAGCTCCCGCGTCCTGAGCTAGATCCTCCAGACGAGGTTGTGTGGTTTCTGTCTCGCTGGCCGCTAGCTGCGCTGATGCCTGGAACACCTAGCATCCCAGTGGCGCCGCAGTGGGTACAATTGATTCGACTATACCAATAAGTTAAACTTTCTTTCAATTTATTTCTATGGTAATAGGCTTTACGTACTCTCTTGGGTTGCCTTTGCAGTTGGGGCAGAGGGAAGGCATGTCACGGTTCGGCCCGAGGCCGTATATAGCCCGGTCCTCGTCGAAAGAATATGCGCCGGTATAGTATCCGTATGTGGCATCCGCTTTCTGTGCCATTGTCGAATTATTTTGACTTATGAGTTATGTGTAGGCTACGGTCTTCTCGTGTGTATGCTTTTGAGTAGATTATCGTTCGCCCCTTTTCCTCGAGGACGTGGAAGGTGTCTCTGGCAAGATTTATGAAACCCTTAAAAGCCACCATTACGCCATTATAAGATCCGACAGCTTGGCTGTGGGTAAGGAACTTCCAAGCCTCGAGGCTCACCGCCTCGTTCGATGTCACTGGTCCTACCGGATGGCGCCTTCAAACTGGCCATAAGGACATCGGGTAGGAAAAAATCCGACGGCAGGACATAGCCATGGCTCTACCCGGTTGCCCTTGAGAAACAGTAAATAAAATAAGTTCCAGTATTAGATCCTCTTATCTATTCAATCTCCAATCATATGACAATTTCTCTATGGGAGTGCTCAACAGTTTAGACTTGTAATACTCTCTGTGTTATAACTTTAAGGCCCGATAGTGACACAAGATTTCTAATATCAGCCAATCGAGAGTCTCCTTTCTTAACCATACGTGGAACATTCGTTGCCTGCTGCCTGGTTCTTACCAGGGAATTAATAGAAGCTTCCGCTGTCATACCTCAACCCCTTTCCCGCTTGTTACTATTAAGGATCCAGACCATCGGAACTCATCGAACTCTATCAAACGTGGTTTCAGATTAGGTAAATGCCTCGTAATTTACCCTGACAGATAGGCCGACAGTCTACCGATCCGATGTAGCATTCTATACCTGCGGGTATCCGGGGCCACATCTGACAGCTTGTTCTCCCCGCAAACCTGGGATAGCCACGTAGTTTACCGATGAGGCTTGTACTTCTAAGACCCCGGAAATTGCAGTTTATGAGTATTGCCGATTCTCCGAAGACTATATCTTGACGCGATGTTTACGTAGATATGTCGTGCCGGGTTTCCTCGGGTCTGCAGGTCATGGCGAGGTAGATCTCGGCCCGCGCTCTTATGTAGGGGACTTATCTTGCATACAGCATGTTTGAAAATGACGTGTCGGATATCCCGATCCGCTAATGTAGCTGTGACGTCGATGAACAGGTAGGTTATGCCAAAAATAGTAGTATTCGTCCGATGATTTGATCGAATCCTAGACGCGATCTTATCGCATTCATATAACACTGCAGCATGCATCCGGTGACCCCCTACAGTATACCCTAGTCTTCTATTGACACTTCTAGATGCTTTTAATCATTAAGCTGTCAAATATATTACCATATTCTATGGAAAGCTTCCCATTGTGTTTCTTCAGGTCTGTGAGCTTGTCTTTCTCATATATAATGCCATCATATACCTGTCATATACTCGTATTTCGCCAAATATTATCCCGAGCCCTATTTCTTATTAGCTTGGCCATGCATAAGACACCTGCAGTTACCCGTCAGATATTAATTTCCCCTAAGGCTGGAAGTTCCCGAGTCAGAATTCGTTACAACTCTTACCGCTGATCTATCTCAAGCACGTTCAATATCACTCGTTCGTGGCTTCGGAACTAGTGGTGACTAATGCAGAAGCGTCTATACTCGGAACATACCGTATCTCTCGTGATTCGAAACCCAGAGCGTCCCCAGCTGTCCGTACGAATGTAAGAGGTCTTAGCATAGTGAATATAGTCCCAAATCAAGATTGTTCGCACCCGCTTCCGAATATCGGATCCTATCCTGGCTCTTGGCCTTTCTTCCTTGCTAGAATCCTACATTAACACACGATCCTACCACGTGTGCTACCCTTAGTATTACAACATGAAAATTAAATAAAAATGCTGTTATTGGTTAGTAGATTTAGCATCAAATGCCACGGAGGTGGTTATTGTGCTACGAGAAAAGTTGTAGAGATTACTCAAGGTGTTTACCGGCGCTAAGTTCAACACGGAGTAACCATATATAGAGGCTTATAATAAGAAAAGTTCAATTGAAATATTTATCTACAGATGAAGTATAATAAAAATATACGTAACAAAATACACACTGATGACCTTTCAACGGTTTGACCCCCCAACTAACCTCTCTGTATGGGACATAATCCCCAAATCTCACACCCCTTAATCCATCATAACAATATTCTCGCCATAGGTTGTTGTTGTTTGGCTCGTATCACCTTACACAAATACGATCTTTCGTTTAAATCGCGATCCGTAACACAAGGTACACATGAATATGTCAATGAAAAACAGGTAGGTATACTTACCTATCACCAAGGCCAACCACTGATAACCAATTAAGCTAAACCTATCCACACTAACCACGAGCATCCGCATTAAGAAAAATTGAACTAGGAGGTAATATTCCATGGAGATATACATGTAGTGCTATCTGTCTCCGCGAGCCGGTTAGAATTTCTTGCAAGACAATGATATTATTTTCATGCTTTCTGGCCTACTTTCGTTATATCTCCAGCGTGCTCCTATATCTACGAACACAGCCAACATACATTCTCGCTACATCCAATGAGGTCAACATGTGATTCGGCATCCTCCCCGGTTTAGGTGTCCCAGGAGTTCCATCTCACAATTATAGTGTATTCTATTACACCTCCAAGTATCTGCAACGAACCTGTCCGAAGTGGCGTGTAGCCTTTTAAGCTAGCACTGATCGAGAGATTTACACTTGTTAATCTAAGGCTTGACTTCCTGCTTGTCCGTAAAAGCATGCACCTATCGGACATGGTATCCTCAAGATATCTTTGATGCCTAGTACCGAATATGTCTTACAGCTTAGACGGACTCCGACTAACTAGTTTCTTAGTAGAAAACTTATTAAAGAAGTAACACATATTTTCAATGAGTCTTTCGTCCAGAGAGGTGTCGTTTTCTATATTTTAGTTATTCAAGTTCTTTGCCACGAAGACTTTGATCGTCTTCTTCTCCTTATCAAGTGCCATGGCCGTGGAAGACGTATCGCCTAAGGCGTTAGTGTAACCCGCGGGGGGTTTGGCTAAAAGGGTTGGGAATTTCTATGGTTGCTGTGGTTCGAGGGCTATTCCTCAACCACATAAGCTATAATACGAAGGCAAACTACAACTACATAAATTCAGAATATCCCACGCGTTAGGTTATGTCCCTTGTAAGGCGGTCTAGCCGATCCGGACCTTTAGATAGACGAGATAGCTGGTTGTCCGCGGCCAGTCTGCACACTGTTTCTCACCGGCGCCGGAGTAGCCCCACCATTCGGCTGATTTGATGTAGGCGGCATGTCAACGGGATAATATGGTTCCGCTTTTCTCTAAGTGATATCCAATCTCAAGGGCTCGATAAACACATTGCTTATGAGCAATATGAAATGATAGCTATGAAAAGACTACACTGTAGTGGCTAATATGACGTATGCTTTAATAGAATTCTAGACGTGTTGGTAACTTTTGCAGCACTCTTTATAGAGTATAAATGAACAGGGGGATATACTTCTAGTTTGAATCCTTGTTCGTGATTGATAATGATGTTAGTAGCCCACATATATTTATAATTGTTAGTGCCAACAGTCCGGTCTTATCGCGACGATGGCCCCATGTTGAACTGACTGTTGCTCTCTTGACCAGCTACCTCCCCGGCTTCCAATATTATTAATTCGTAGTTACCTACAAACATCAATCGAGAAGATATGCGGGCTCCCACGACAATATGACGACAATATGACGACAGAGAGCTATGAAGAGTTAATCAAATCACTGTGCGCGAGCGACCCGCGGATGAGAAGGTCCATCATAAATAAACCACCGCCGCCAGCAAAAGTTTGGAAGCCGTGGTGTCGGGCCAAGGTCCGTGTTCTTGCGCTTCAATTCGGCCCGGATGGATCCGTTAGTCTTCCTACCGAGTATACAGACGCGTCAACCCTTGCGGCTAGCCTCGTGCAGGATGCAGCATTGGCCAGTCATTCGTCGCGTTCCGTATACCTACTCGAAGGGCTCTCTAGGGATTTTGTCCACGTTCTCGGTGACCACTTTCAGCTTCATCCTTCTCTATTCGTAGACCATGAGAGGCTAACACCTCTTGGCGACCGGCAAACTGGGGAAAACGGAGGTCTTCCATTCTTACCATCCGCAACCTGCGGGAGAGACCATGTCTCGCTCAAATATCATGAGCCGCTAGTTCTTTCGCAGCGGCCAACCAGTTTCCGCTGCCTCTGCGACACATCCGGGAGGCATGTCGCTGTGACAAGGCTCATGGGTGAGATGTCGAAAGTCGGCGTTAGTAGGCGTAAGTGTACATTTTGGAGCAGAACCACGGACGCCGGTGGCTGGAAATGTACGTATTTTCCCATTACTCATGTCTTTCTATGTTAAGGAAGGGTCGTAATAGAATTATATTGCTGATCATGCCAGGTCTCATTATATGTGACCCCCCTATCCGCCGGATTCTAACAGACCATACCGGGCGATCAGGATTTGATGTTATAACGAGTCATTTTAACTCTGGATATATAGATTTCGTGCCACTATCAAATCAAATGAAGGCACGGTCCGGACCTCCTAGATCCTCCCTAGTAGAAGATTTATTATTCTATTTACAGAAGCACTCCGATACATTAGACCTCACTCATCCCAAATCTCTACGTATCTTCGTCGAGAAGATTATCGCCAGCCACTTCCTCAAGTTAGCCGAATTCCTACAGTCCAACACTGAGGTCGTATTGTGGCATCTGTCAAGAAGACGTGATCTAACACCTTTCGGCGTCGCTACAGCCGAAGAACTCTGGAGTGATGTCCAGTCATGGAAGCGTCGGGTTGCCGAGTACCAAGATGATCTAGAAGGAACTATGTTACAGCTTGGAGTTCAACTTACGCGATCCCCCGATACCAGCCGCATCGAGAGATGGACCGACAGCACTGCCGATTTTCAGCACCTATTACACCGCTATCGTCAAATCGAGAAGCGTGTAAACGAGTTAGGCAGTGCTATTAACACCTTAGCTAGTCTCGCAGGCAACCGCGTCTCTGTTAGGACAGGAGAACTATCGCTTCAGGAGGCAGAGCGAGCAGGTCGCGAAAGTAGAAGTGTCAAGGCCCTTACGGTCCTAGGTATCATATTCCTCCCATTGTCATTCTCAGCTTCTATCTTCAGCATGGCAGATTCGGTATGTATGAAATTTCCTCGTTTGATTCGCTAGCTCTTTACTCTTAATACATATTTGAAGTCCTTGCATTCATAACTAACATTTAATAGTAAGTAATATCATCCTATCATCCCCTCCGGATACATCCTTACTCTTTTAGAGAAACCGTGGAACTTTAAAGGGTAAGTTCCAGTAACTAACTTGAAAATAATCCCATATATTAGTTACCTTCCAGGGAGCTCACTGTTTTGGGTGTACTTTGCGCTGTCAATTCCGCTACTCGGATTTGTCATACTTGTGTTTTCCATCATAGAACTAGGATACATGGACGGCGGAACTCGGTGGTCTCCTGGGTCGGGAATAGAGAATATAAGACAGAACCTAATACGAGGAAAGATTAGAAACAGGACACTATAGCCTCATGTATGTAGTACGTATAGCTGCAAGGCAACAATTGCATCTAAAATACGCCAACCTCGTGCTGCTAGCATTCAGTATCCTTACTATAGGCTAGGTAGGTAGTTATTGAAGTACGTGAACGTGATGATCATGTATTCAAAGGTACGTGTCTTGCAAACAGAACGACAGAAAGTCCTAGAAAAGCTGGCACAAGGGCTACACCGACACAACGAGCTTTAGCAAACCGGCCGCGGTCACTTCCAAGTTCCAAATGCATAGATATGCCTAATTACAAGCACGGGTGGAGCTAGTTTCATGAGTGAGACGGCGTCTACCTTGACGGCCGGCTGGTTGTAATTTATCAGATATTGCCGAAGTATCTTAAACCACGACCCTGAACGATTTAGCAGGTGCAGTATAACTACCTTGAATATCTAATGTTATATATATAACCCAAATATAGCATCTAGGTAGTCTACTTTATTAGTTCGATGATTTGAGACTTACAAGATATTTTTGGATGTGCGGATGTGAAGATACACAATGCGTGGAGTTTAGGTATATCATTAGCAGCCACGTTAAACATGTGAAAATTAAAGTAGTCAATAATGAATTCATACGAATGCTATAAACTGATTATTAAAATCAACACGTATTGGTAGTTTACACATGCCGACGTTCAGTGAAACTGAGCGAGAGTCCGCCGTAATAGCTAAACAAAGAGAAAACGCCAAGCCAAACCAGAGCCTATCCTAACCTCGGGAAGCCAATGTGCCATTCGATTCGCCTTCCCTAGACATCTCCCGACTCGCCCCTTTGCGAACAGTCATACAAATGCAACAAGGTGTGCTAAGCTTAATCCACCTAAACAAAGAACCACAACGCCGCTTCCGGACTCATCTACACCTTTCACAACATATTTAGGACTGAGAATACTTGCAGCTCTCAGCCGCAACTTAAACCTCGTAAGGTATCGCCCATGGGAATCCGTGGAGTGCAAAATGTGTGCTGACATAGACGATAAATTACCCATTGATTAATATGGTTAGAGGACCGGCGCGGTAGAGACCATGTAAGTGAATGCCGCCGCACCGCCGAGAGCAACATAGGCCGCTGCCTGGGCAAAGCGGCGTCGCTTCGACGGCTGAACGTTGTCTCGCCGCGCGGGAACAGTAGCGGGCTGAGTTTCAATGCCGCCTTGTTCAGGGGTCTCGGGAGCAGTAGCCTCATTTGACTCAACGTTAGTCACTGAGCCATTCCGAGTTCGCTTGCCCGACGATGTAGACTTAGATTTGTCGTCCTCCCGAGAGGTACATTCTTCATTCGATCCAATTACATCTTCATCATTGCTAAAGGCATCTTCAAAGGAACGCTTCAGGTTAGGTTCCGGTACGGATTCACTAGTTGGTAGTGGAGCGGGGGATGCCATGCTGAAAATAGGCGGAGGAAGGGGATTATCATTTGTGTTGTTGTTATCCCCGTTCGGTTCCTGCGTAAGTAGATCTTGAATCTCGACGCGCCTGGGTTTACTTGCAAGGCTACCGCTACTCTCACTGGCAATCTTGCTTAGTTGAAAAGTATATGCGCTAGTCATATCAAGTTCAGGACTTTGAGGCCGTTCGGAATTTGAACAAGGGAGCTCCTCAAATCGAGGATGGTTTAGGAATCGCTCCCCAGATACTGACCATGGCTGCCATGTAGAATCCGGCATTGGCTCCTCACTGAGGATGGTCGTGGGACCGTTGGGGGTGGGGTCGGGCGCATTGTTGACGTCGGCAGCTCCTCCTGTTGAACCCTTTTGGTCATCGTCAACTCCAACTACTGGTAAAGCTGTGTGAGAAGCATGATCAGATTCCACGCCGGTAACATGCTGATCAGCATCAGCGCCCAAGGTTTCTCGGATGGCAGACACAGGCGGTGGGGAATTCCAGTCCAAATGATTCATTCGATTACGCTCCCTAGCCGCGAAAAAAGCGTGTTTGCCCGATTTCTCGCCTAAAGCTTGTGCCCTAGAAATGCTTGCCGCTCGGTCAAGCACGGGATGACTCTTAAACATAGCAGCATCAGATGGACTTGGTTCTCTCGGTTGGACAACCGATGCCCCTTGTTGCGTAGAGGCAGTAAATAAGAATGGAGCCACAAAAATGTCCTCAGTATTGGACGATTCGGCAAAGGTATCTGTGCTGGGTAACCCATTCGGGAGCGGTGGGTTAGGTGATGAAAAGCGAGATGAACTGGGCGCTGGTGAGCTCGGGTTGGATAATGGATCCATCATCTCATCGTCCGATGAGGAACTATCATCATCAGACTCCGAGTATGGCATGATACCTGAGCGGGAAACGTCAGTGGAATAATTCGAAAATATAATACGAAAACATATCAACTTACTTTCGTTGTCACTCCCCCAGCTATCAGATCGGACCACGTCATCGTTAAATACAGAATTAGGCGAGTCGTCATCGTCGGAATCTTCGTCCATGCTACTCGTGTCGCCCCCTCTAATAAGAATTGAACCATCTTCGGAATCAGTTAAGTGGATATCCTCGCTACTCATTTCCTCATCGTGTGGGAAGCTGTAGTCATGGTCGGAAGATGCATTGGGCCCAACATCAAAAGCCGTAGGTTTCTCGGGCTGATCCATACCTGCTAGCGACTCAGAGTTGGAAGCAGCAAATGCAGCTACTAGTGCCGGGATCGCTGGTGCATCTACTGTGACGGACGCAGAAGAATGACTAGGACTCCTAGCATGAATTTCATGGTCCGAATGTTCATCAGGCTCTGATGTTAGATCAATAATATCCGAGTTAAAGCGGTTCAGGGCCGTGGCGCTGGAAGCAACGTTCTGGTCCTCATCCGAGTCGTCTTCATCTTGGGTAAGATCAATAGACAGGCCACGTTGAACGTTGGTTTTCCGCGAGGGCGGCATACATGTCTCGACCACACTCTCATCGTCATCGTCTTCGTCTTCATCATCGAGGTCGTCATCTGGAATAGTAAAGGTTCGGTTGGGAGACTGATTAGTAGTCGGCATATCCTGACTACGCCTATATGAGGAGTCAGTATTAAGCAAGAGCCAATGCGATGGCAAACTTACGGCTCATTTTCCTGTCCTATCATATAAAACTCGACAGAATACGGCGGAAATGTTTCCTTGGCCCGGAAGATGTCGGTTCCAAAACGGAGGGAGTCGCCGTTTGACAGCCTAACAGGCCGCTGCTGTTCGAGTCTCATCTCTTTCCCAGCTCCGTCGTGGGGTATATGGAAGGTACCGTGAAGTGATCCGATATCTTTGAGGATCACGGACTTGATAATACAATTAGCGTGAGCAACACGGGGGACAAGTTTGCTGGAGAGGCTGCTCGGGTAAGCTTACCTTGGGGATGCTGTCAAGGTCGAGGACGAGTTCTGCATGATTCCGTGACATGACAGGACTATCAAACCAAGCGTTATCTATAGACGCAACGAACCCCTTTGTAGGAACCTTAGACGCTCGACCGATTCGGATAGATGGGTTCTGGTTACTAAGGATAAACTGACGTTTGGGAAAGGCGGACACAGGAGAACCATGAGGTCGGCAGACTAATGTGACAATAATGACTATTTATACGAATAGGTCAATCAAGATACGCTCGGCCATTTTGGAGTTTGGGCTGCGGGTTCCCGCCTTACCTTCATCGTCGTTTTGGCTGAAGTGGTCTGTGGCCGCCATTTTGCTCAGACTCACTACTCAACAATGGAATATTTATCCCCAAACCTTGAGTATCAAAATGATACCTGAGGTTTTCAGGAATGCAATGGGAATTGTTACAACCCTAACGAAGACAAGCTCGTTAATAGAACAGTCTATTAGAAGAGTCTATTTTATTAAGTAGACGAACCGAGATGGCGGGATCTGAGGTCGGGTAGTTGCGTTGAGAGCTGCAGCGAGAGTAGTAGTGGATGGAATGGGAGATGATAAGAAGAGCGAGTAGGAGGGGGAAGTGTGTCAGAATGGTGTGTCGGTGCGCTGCGTCGAACAGCGACACGAACCTTGGCCTACTTGGTTAGTTGGTACCTATACAAGGTCGAAAGTGCAAAATGTAGCACTTGGTTGGTAGTTCCTACATCAATAACTCAAGAGTTATGTACTTGGGGAAATGCCTATGGGCAGATGGGTAGGTGCGGTTGGGCGGGGCAAGTAATAAGCAAGCACTATAAACTAACTTTAAGACAGAAGTCGAAGAATCCGCTAAAATAGAATTCACAATATAGGTAACTTCGTAGAATATAAATGTCTACATACCTCAGATGTAATCTATCAAGAATATTATTGTTTTAGTTCCTCTTGCGCTGATTATATTCTTGACCAAGTGAACATAGCTTATCTCGAGATAGCTATGATGCACCTAAGTTAGTAGCCTACATGGGCTTCGCGGACGAGTTGGAGCGGGGCTCTGGTTGCCTAACAGCACGGTAGCCTGATAAGTGCATGTGTCTTATCATCTGTGTCTCCCCCCACCCTCGATCTAATACATCTACGTACTGTAGTACATGAATCAAGGCTGAGGTTCTTCACATTGCCTTAAACTTCATCAAAACATAAGGTACATAACAATTACTATTTATTTGCTCCTTCATATATTGTATTTGCTTCCCTTGGAACTGCGCACAACGCCTAACTCAAACGGCACAATGCGACAAGTACCCCTCGATTGTGTATGAAAGCCCTTGTCTGACGTAAATGCTGGTACGATAAAGATTGCAAGGATTACGAGCTGAGCTAGCGGGGCCGGTGGACTAATATTAGTGGAATGGCGGGGTTAAGCTAAAGTATTGGAAAGTGCATGCATATCGTCACAGATCGTATGCTATCTCAGGTAGGCTGAGTTGGTGCGCGGCTTGAACAGGTACCTACCTCATATAAGCAAACATCTGATTTCTACATACATGTACCTTAACTAAGGCACCAAGTAGGGTTTGAGACGGCAAATAGTTCAATCCTCTTATTGGACTTGGCCATTATCGCCCGGCTAAGATGGCAATGAATGTTCAGCGCTGCTCCCATGAAATTGATTATACATATTTGACGCTTCCGTGGATGCTTTCCAAAATAGAAGCAGGTTCAAACTGCCCAGTCCTAACACTGCCCGAAGTATCCCGAAATACCCTTGCTCTAGGTTAATTGAACGGACGCGTGCCAATGCGAGTAGCGCAGAAGAGGTATACATGCTTTAGTTTATAGAAGAAGTCCCACTAAATGGTCAAAGGGATACCTATAGTTACTTCATAACTACATGTATGTTTTTAGTGGCGGTATGTAAATCGATTAGGCTACCTAGGGAACATTAAGACCCCGCGACTGTCGACTGTTCATATGACGAGTTGTGTCTTCGGTTTTTAGAGCCATTGGTTTCCGGATGACGCACGCTTTCTACTTACTTAAGGTATTTTTGCTATACAGAGCTTTTGTATCTGCTTACCTAAATAAGAATTTTGATTTTCTTTTCCTTTTCCATCCACCTCGCCACTGATTTGTTTAAACACCTACACGTATTTTTTGTCGTTTTGTTCAAAACCCTGGTGCGCCGGTGAAATCTTTTAATTCACCGCCCCATTTCCGTACCATTATTTATTATACTAGCCCTTTATTGTTTGTCGGTTGCACCGAGCTACCAGGACAGAATCTTACAATACACCTTTCGCGACTCTACATAAAGGCTTTCCGGAAAGCCTACACCTCACACAATAGCGGGTCTCAAACCATCCTCATGGAATTCAAGTCGAAAACAAACCCATCGTTTCATCGTTCGCATACAAGAGGATTTAAGACTTGATACGAGCTCTACTGCTCTATACTTATAGGCAACCAACCCACCCGCAACGACATCACCGTATTGGCGCAACATTTCCACCGAGCACACCACCGAGCACACCACCGAAATGCATGATTTACGCAAGAAGATATTTGAGAGCGGCAAGACTGTCTCTAGAAAGGCGCGCTCGCGACAACAATCAGCACAAGCTTCGCCAGCTAGTTCGCGCGCTGCCTCGCGAGCTGCGAGTCGCCATGCGTCAGAGGAGGAAGATTCAAGCGATAATGAATACAACGAGAGCCTAGCTAGTTCTATTATCATCTCTGAAGATGGCGAGGAATTGGGCTCAACGCCGGCGGCGGAAATCTTACACAATCGCATCGTGGATTTGCTGGATCAGAAGCGTGACAGTGGCCAAGATCGCGAAGAAAAGCTAACGGCATATACTGAACTAATTCGACATCATCCCAGTTCCGAGGAAATTGATGCACAGATGAATGAGCTTATTCCTATGCTACTAAAGACTATACGTGGCCGCAGAACTCCCCATGGAGTGCTGTGGGCACTGAGAGCTCTTATGATAACCATCCTTACGACTGGGGACGAGAGCATTCATGATCGTGTCTTCCCAACATTGAAGAGTGTCTCTCAGGATACAAATTATGACGATGATGATGAGTTGATCAAAGTAGCTGCTATCAAGACAATGGGCGTCTCTACAATGTGCGGCGGAGGGTCAGCAACCGAAGCCGAAGAACTTTTAGAGTTTCTTATTGAGATCATTGAAAGTGATGGCCACATTATAGAAGCTGGTGACAATGGACCAGTTGTTGCCGCAGCACTAAATACGTGGGGATTTGTTGCCAGCGGCCTTGACGACCTCGAAGAGCAAAGTACGCAGGCTCTAGAAGCCTTTACGGAACAGCTCGAAAGCAGCGACGTAGATGTCCAAGTCGCTGCTGGGTCGAATATTGCTTTGCTTATGGAGGCTGCGCGTGAATACGAGGAAGAGAGCGGCGAGACCTGGAACTTGCGCTTTGATCAGGATGGACTCCTTCGGCGATTAAATGCCCTCACTCGAGAGTCCTCGAAGGCTATATCTAAGAGGGATAGAAGGCAGCTTCATAATAGTTTTAACAGTATCGTGACCTCCCTTGAGCACGGCAAGGGCCCAGGATACTCAACTGCGCGTCGCTTTGCAAGCAATCCTCATACGGGAGGCAACCGGGCAGACTTCAATGACGACTATCGGGAGTACGGTTATCGGCAAAAATTCCGAATCCAGAACATCACCATCACCATCGATAGCTGGTCTTTGTCGGCCCGGTTAGAAATGCTCAAGTCAGTTCTTGGGGGTGGTCTCGCCAATCATTATCTGAATAACTCGGTGATAAGAGATTTGCTGAGCGGTGCTAAGACTGAGTACCTCTCGTCACTACCAAAGGATAAGATATCTCCATCCAAATCAGCATTGAAGTCGGGTCACGGGAAGAAAGCCGCGAAGAATGGTTTTGATTAAGAATTATAAGACATCCTGCGGAAGGATCATTTCTCTTCGCGGGAAGACTAGGACTTCTCACTAACGTAATTCTTTTACACCATTCGTTTTCTTCTGTTCGAGCATTCAAATTTTATGGATATTCTTCTACTCGCGTTGGTTATCAGATACTAGCTCCATGCGTTCCGGTAATATCGTTGCTATCTCATTTATAGGTATTTATCTAGACTTCCATTCTACGTTTTCCTATATCGTTTATGTGGTTCACAGATATGTACATACGTAGACCTACCCGACTTCCGGGATACCCAAACGGGAGACCTATGTGACATGCACGCGGTTATCCGCATGTTCCGTATCACCATACTTGTGAGATGAGCCAGCCAAAGTTCAGCCTCGAGAATGTCTCGAAATGTAGCCCCCAAATATATTGTTCTGCTACATGCACAATCGGGGCGAGAAGCCGGTTTGACGCAGGGGCGCGGAATTATTTGAACGAGCCAGGCTTGTCCTTGTACAAAAAACTTCTTTCATTTTCACTTCATATATATCTTGACCAATATAATATCATTTTCTACTTGAACGTCGTTCCTTGCATACCGAAGTGAAAGGCTACATGCATATCGTAAGACGCTCGGTAGGATGGCTGGGTGGGTGGCACAGATGGTTCAAGAGTCATCGTAACTCGTTCTAGTTGTACGTGTATGCCTACCTCTTAAAGTACTATGACATGTTTGCTTAATGCAACCACTTAAAGCAATACTGCGGGAAAGTGTGGCTTTGGATTGCGCATTTGAACCCCGGAGGCGTAAGCTAGTAACGGTGTAATCCGAGAGGTTGCCAATCACCCTATCTACGGCAACAGTAAGAACATACCTAGGCTTAGATAGAGAATATACGCATTTATTCGCCACATCTACCGGTTTATACCTATGGATGTCAATGATAGGTAGAGTGGCAGAGTGGGTGTGGCGATGTTGAATCCCGCAATTTCAGGCCTAGATTACCGTATTTATATTGAACTTGAATGCAATAGTCGCCTCATTGCCTTATTCCGAACCATTAGGGTTTATACATGAATTATTCCGCAGGGCGGCGACTACATAGATAGATGCAAGACAGTCCCGTAGACCCCAAAGATATGTACGATATGTACGATATGTACGATTGTAGGTACCGAGAACTCAAGTAATATTACATGCCTCTGGACGCAGATCGGATGGCAGCGTGATTATGCATCTTGCGCTGTGATTAGCTCCAAGTCCTACACATTATCCCAATGGGCAGAGCGGCTCCTAGTACAACTCTGTAAGGTACATGGGGCAGTATGATGGTCCTTTTTCGGCTTAGTGGTGGGTGAGCTAAACCTGGGATTGAGATAAAAGAAGGTCGGTGAGTATTCAACATATGTACATACATAGGGCTCTCTGTAAGAACGCTGCAAAGCACGATATGATCATCATCCCATACCGGGAAAAAACAGGATGAACCATGAAGCTCCAGTTTTTAGCAGCTTGATGAACCAAATTCGCCTACTTTTCAGTAACTCGATCTATCACTAGTTAGGCATGTGGATACGATTAAGACCTAGTGTGCCGAGGGTGTTGACCAAGTTGTGGTCCAGGCGGAACCGGATCCAAGGTGGAGTGCACATCATCGTGCCGTAGTAAAACCAGATCGTCACCCGGCCAAAGGGGCGCAAGAGCCACTTTGCGGGACCATGTCCGTTCCATTGGACTTCACTAAACTGCTTGGGTCGACGGATGTAAATAATATAGAAGAAGGGAAGAAATAAATTGGGCCACAAACGGGATCGGGTCGCTGGTAGATGGTTAGTTAAATATTCCAACCTTTTATCATTGACAAGTGGATATTGCGATGAAGATAGGTATGAAGAAAACTAAGCTGCATCGGTTAAGCTTCCTGTTCATCAACATGAAATTATATACTAGGTACTAGGTAGCTAAGCACTTATGAAGATAAAGAGATACGATACTGTTTCTTTAACTAGTATTGGTTGAATTGGATCTTGATGAATAAAAAGTAGAAGGTCGTATTAAGCCTTGATGTGATTAATTACGACGGGCGAATAATGTTAATATATTAATATCATTTGACGGAAGATTGCAGGTGTAAATCTGTGTCTAGGAGGAGGTACACACATTAAGGTAGGTAGGTACATATGCCGCCTACCTCGACGTTAGGTAGGAGGGGCTGAGGGGGAGGAGAAGCAGTACTTCGTACCTACCTAGGTTAAAGGCTTTTAATCTGTTAGGGCAGTTCCGCCCTCCCTTGTCCCTTGTCATCCCATGTCATTTGTAGCCGGACCGTGCCTGTCAGCTTCTATCACGACCCCGTCTCTTCCCTGTCTCTTACCCGTCTTCTGTAATTCTATTGGCCAGTCTCCTCAAGCAAAGCCAACGCATCAAACTCCCACCCCAGCAAGTTTCCCTAGCAGAGCCCCCCCCCTCTAAGCTCTAGTCCACCATTCAGTCACTCCTACTTGCCAGCTCTCTTTTTTTTCTTGAACAATAACAAAGCCTCATAAGCCTATTATCACCCACTTCTCCCTCCACTCCACGACTCGTAACTCTCTACCGCTAAATCGAGGAGGGAGCCTCGAGGCCTGCACCTATCTGACGATAGTCCTGGTGGCATCGGAAAAACACGTCTGGTATATAATCGATTGTATTGGACGAGAGAAGGGTCGCACGCATCGTCCTGCAAGAAAGAGAGGCATATTCTCGCCGGCCAACCAGCACACTCATTTTTGCTGCACCGGACGAGAATCCATAAAAGGAGAAGTAAGATAATACCTACATTTAGGTATTCAACTTCTAGAAGAACATTTACGTCGCATGTTCTGACGTGCCTTGAAAGTATGTATCGAGTTGTCTCATAAAATCTATCAATTCTTTCGTTTTGGTTGTATTTCGACATGGATTATTGTTCCTCTGCGCGCGTATTCGCATAGTTGCAGGGTTTCGATTGTGCCGCCAATTCAAGCGCAATTGAGGGGGCTGGGATTCGACAGAAGAACTGAAGCTTTTATTTTTCCGTCTCTATTCCATCCTCATCCCCATCTCTTACTATCAATAACCAAAACAACAAAGATTATCTTCGGCCTTCTTGCAATTTTATTTTATTTTCATTTTCATGTTATTATCTTTCCCTTGGAATCGAATATTTATCTATTCGTAATATTTATTCTCTGCGACACTATTATCCAATTGTTATCATTATTCCTATCATCATCCTCGATTTTCGTATCATCTCGTTGTATAGACCACTCACCACTGGTTAACCCTATATTAACCTTCACATTACACATAGATCCCACGGTGTCTTTTCGCCTCCTATACTTGGGCCAATGTTTGCGCAAAACGTCGGCTTTTCCTAGTCGCGGACCCTTGTCCGCATCCAACTTTCTCTCGACCGCAATTGTTTACCGTTCACCGCTTGACCAGTAGCTGGGGTAAACACAACGCAGCAAGGAGAGGATTGGTTAAAGGGGGAAGCGGCCAATCAATTAGAGGCGTGGCCGCATACCTTGACAACTGGTCGCATTCTCGGGCAGCAAAATGGGAGTGAGTATAGACACTAGCAGTGTTCCCCCGTTACCCGCCCCGACCGAGACCGAGTCCCTTACCACACCTACCGAACTTGCACCCTCCGATGTTTCCAGACCTGCCGACGACGACAGATCACATTATTCACTCCCCGACGACGGAACACCTGTTACAATCAAAACCCGCAGCCACAAGCCGAATCGCTCACAGACTTCGCTGCTCATTGAATATTTCGAAGGCGGAAAGACTAGTAGTACCGTCGGTTCGGGTCTTTCTGAGCGCAAACCGAGCGTCCGTGTCCGTCTGACTCCCTCCAAGACTCGAGGCAGAAACGACCATATTCAGATCACCGAGACTAAGAGTACGAGAAAGAGGTCAGTTTCGAGGAAACCAACCGCAAGCTCGAATATTACTCGGAGCGAACTAGATATGACGGACACAGAAGAAGTAAGGAGTTTACACTCCTATGCATCGGCGACTGAGGAGTCTAACGTCTCCCGGAACCCGATTGAGGTTGAGATAGAACCGAGAAGCCATCATCGGCGGCGAAAAGTATCAAGCCCACTCATTCCTGCCGCTGATAGCAAGGTTTCTTATCCACCACCCAACATGTCCGATATCTCAGCCATTCCCTCCGACAGTTTTCTGGACGGCAACTCGGGTGGTAATTCGCTCACACAAAATGAGAAACGTTCAAAAAGTCCGGTAAGGAATGAATCTACTCTTTCGGAAAAGACACATCGTAAGGTCAGGAGCGCCAGTCATGACCGGAGTGTCATGCAAAAAGCAGTTGAGAAAGCAAGCAAACCTGAACGAAGACATAAGTCGAAGAGTAGAATAGGCAGCTCCGGTGACAAGGAAAACGAGAGACGTAGGTCCAAAGGGAGTAATAAGGAATCCGTTGTCTCAGTTGCCGATTCGAGCATGCTCTCATCGCAAATAACCTCCAGCCACCGTTCTTATGATACACATTCCTCCTCTAAGGTATCAATCAATAATCCGAAACTCCTCGAAACAGTAGAGGACGCCATCCGACGGCTCATCTTACCGGAGTTAGATGCTATCAAGAGAGAGAGGAGTCAACGCGACTCCCGGAGACCTAAAGATCGAGAGTCGCTCTCAAGTCTCACCTCGGTGTCTCGCGAGGAGATCTCTGTTCCGAATAAAAGGAAGTCCGCCGACACAGCCCAATCGACGAAGTCGAAGGAACGGCGCGATAGAGAAGCGAGAAACGATTTATCACCTCAGAGTAGCATTGAGCAAGTCTCTGTTCTAGAAGATATACCAGATGAGGAGCTTACACCACGTCGTGACCATGATAAGCTTGCCGATGCCGCCTTGGGCGCTGCAGTTACTGGTGCTGCACTCCGGTCCAGAGGTGATGAAAAGAGACAGCGGCGGAGGAGACGTGCAGAAACTCCTAAGCACGATGTTGATGAGAGATACGGAGATGGATATGAAGAAGCAGAGCACAAGGTAGTGCCGCCCATGCCTCTTCAAAGCGAAATAAGTCCATCCGATATGACGCGAACATCGATATTATCGGCGGAAACAGATAGACCTCACTCTGCTAGTGAAGAGATGACTCCGGTTAGGGAGGCCACGAGAGGTATCGCCTCAGTCGAGCCCATTCAGGAGACCCCTTCGCCGTCGAGGTCTCCTATCCACAACATCCAGAACCTGGGTGCACAACATGCCAATGTCTCCCATGGCGACCTCAAAGCTCTCCCTCGCAAAGGCAATGCCGACTACCAGGAGGAGTACAAGAATGAAGAATATGGGAACCGGTACGATGACGAATATGATGAAAACAGTCAACTCTCGGAGCCTGGTCTGTATGATGAGGAATCGTCACCCATACAATCTTTCTATGGATCACAGGATGTTCCGGCTCCTTTGCGATATGTTCCGTACCAGCAGGAACGGCGTGGCTTAAGTCCAATTCAGAGCGTATCAGGGTTTACGGAGGGAGAAAGCGATATCCAAGGACTCCGGGATTCAAGAACTATACATACAGCGAGCGAGCTCTCGTCTCCCGAGAAGTCGCTGTATGACCGTGATCTTCACTCATCTAGTTCGGTCCCGAGCAATCTTCGAGGCCGCGAGTTTGTTGATGAGGCTAGTAGCCTGATGAGCTCAGGTGTAGGCTATAGAGACCCTACATACACTGAGGATAGCGAACTAGACCGGGTAACTTCGGGGCAGGCGGTTCATGCTGTTGGGGGAAACGCTGAGATGGTGCACCAGAACTTCCCCCCTGAATCTGCTGTAGCATCACTGGTCGAGGGTTCACAGCTCGATCCTTCCCTCATGAGTGGATCTACGGGTTTTAGACAAGACTACCGCGACTCCCAAATTTCTTATGATGAGACCGCAAGATCAAGGGGAATGAGCCCAACCAAGCGCTCGGCAGAGAGCCGTCATGAAACAGCTGAGCAACAACATGACCAATTACCGACCGCATCCCAGGAACGTGACCCTTCTACTGCTTCTAGGGAATTTGTAGAATACGATCTCAACGAGTACGGCCAAAAGGTTGCTCGATCTAACTACCGCAACTCCCCTACTGCTTCTGAGAGTGCTATCACGAGTGGTGCCCTTCAGCGAGCTCTTGCCCTTAAGCAACAAAATGAAGGACAACAGATCCCTGCGGAGAATAAGGAATTTGCTGGTAGGGGTGGCGCGCAAAACCAGTCCTTTAAAGAACGCGCTAAGGATGGTTATCGCCCTAATACTACTCCGCGTCATAGCGTCGATCGACTTTCAGATTATGAGCATCCGAAGATGGAAGCTAGCGGCATTCCAGACTTCAATGATCCTATGCCGGAGATCGGATATGTCGACGACCAAGCCTCCTCTATTGTAGATGGGCCACTTGGTGGATCACAGGACGAAACTGGAGAACATTGGCCGGAACAGTCAACGCCGACTCACGAAAGATCATATGCCTACGATCGTGCCGTGACGCCCAAGGCAAATAGGCCAGATAGCCACCACGACCTCGGAATGACCGACGTAGCAGCAGCAGCCGCTACCCTAATATCCGCAGGGGCTTTAGCTACATCGCATAGCCGGCAACCCAGCCAGGACCAGGATGACGAGTGGCAGAGGACATCTTGTGACCGCAAACGAGATACCCTAGTCACAAACCCTTATGAGGGAACTAGCCCGATTGCCAATCTTCCCGGCCTGGATGGAAACATGCTTGGCGCAACTGGTTTCGGAGCGGACGTTTACCGGGGCGGCTTCAACACAGGCAGTCCAGGAATCCCTGGCGCTGATGAGGGCTACATCTCTGCAGCGCCGAACGATATCCGCGATGCATCTAATATACAGGGCAAAGATGTGGGATTCTTGAATGGGGGATCTGAAGATCCGTTTTACGCACCTAAAGACACGAGGCAGCTCGCAGGCCTGTCCCAAGCAATGGGCACACCGCTTTACGATTCCTCTACTGGAACAGGAATTGACAGGATCCAATCGAAAGACATCATTGCTTTAATGGAACACGTATGTATGACTCCAACATGCTAGAAGTTTTGCTAATTAGTATGCAGCTCATGGTTCGCGATGCGCAACGAAGTGCGCGAGATACTGAGATACTTGTTACCCTAGTTCGGTCAGCGGCTGAAATGCGGAACTCCTTCGAAGACCTCAAGAGGATGTTAGTAGATAACGCGGATCGAGTCGTTGATGAGGTCAAAGAGGATACAGAGAAGACAGTCAAACGCCACATAGGCGGACCTCGACCTTTCCCTGGTAGCAGTGCGCGATCAATCCAAGGGGGTTCCCAGGCCGGTACAGAGGACGTGAATACTAAGAAACGCAATATCCTTCGACGTGCACTTCAAGGACTCAGTTCCAAGGGTGCTAATGATTTAACCAGAATAGAGGATTTACTCAACCAGCTACTTGACGATGTCAACGTCCTCAAGCACCAGACCGCCGGCCCCGTAGGCACAAGCACACGGGCTCAGTCGATTGAGGGTATCCAACCAGATGTTCAGTATGAGCAAGATCGAGGCTACGAGCCCGAAGGCCATGCCGGGACCTCGACGGCTAGTCATGCAAGCCAGTCGGGACACTTATCGATACCCCAGTCTCGCGGGACATCCAACAGATTAGCTAGCGAGCGAAAGTTTTCAGACCACCGTATCAGCACAGTACCCGAAGACGAGGGTGAGTACAATGACCACTCCATGCCGCCACCAAGCCAATATGAGATGCATGGAGGAATGCTCTCACCCAGCTCCGAAAGGTCCAGGGGTGGTTCAGTGCCTCTTGGAACGCCACCTCAGACCGCATCTCAGGCGCAGAATTATTCAATGAGCAACGAGAACACCCCTCGAACCGAAGAGAGCAAGAAACATAAATCGCGGGGCTCGTCCAGTCTCTTCCCCAAAATCTCACGGTGGTCTGAGACGACGACATCAAGTATAGGAAGAGTCTTCCGTAGCAGTGGGGCTTCTAAGAAGCACGACCCTCCCGAGGACTTCCTACGGCATCCTCCGTCTCGATCTGGCTCGGACTTGGCCAATTATGATCAATTCCAGCCTCAGAACGTATATGAAGGGGATAAGCTACACTCGGGCTTTTCGGAACAGGAGCTCCGCGCGCCATCTGCGGGCGAGAACCTACCTGACACAACCAATATGCAGCAACCTCAGCCAGCTGTGTATACTCATCCTGAGCCTGCTACCTATTATACTCCTGAGGATCCTAAATACAGGGTTCATCGCAACTCACTAAACTTGCAACACCCACAGCCACGACAAGGACAGACGGAGCGATTCAGAACGGCGCTAGAGACCTCGGCACAAGATTATGACAATGCGATGTCTCCAGGGTCAGCCGACTGGGCTGGCTCAGCTACCTCCCTCCACAGGCTCCCTATGCACAGTACCAATCGGTATAGCGACAACAGTGCCATGAATTCTGGTCATGGAGATGACTATAACTGGCAGCAAGAGATGCCATCGCCCAGTCCTCTAGGACCACCGCGACCTCCAAAAGAGCCACTGGATAGCTCATCGCCCGCTCAACACGACAGGGTGAACAAGCTTCAAAACAAGCACGGCAGTCCTTTGCCGTTCCATAGCGTCGAAAGTGGCTATGGTACAGCTACGGCCACGCACGCCGGAAGTTATCACTCTAGCAGTCCGAAGCCAGAGAATAGGAACCTAAGCGGAGCTCTAGGAGTTCCGGCTCGAAGACCTAGCGGACCTAGGGCTATGACCCCTAGCCGGGGTAGCGATGACGGAGAGGAGAGGCGACGCAAGCGAGGTAAGCACTTTCTACGGTCTTCTCATGACTGAAAGTTCATTCCACTAACTGTTTTGGTAGATACATTTGGTACAATAGCTAGTCCTTCTAGCGTTATCAGCCAAGAGTCTGAGACGTTCTAAAAACGCATTAGACATTTTGACGTGGCAATGGCCTCGTCACCATTTCGAGTTGATTTCAGAAGCTAAATTCATGAGTGAATGAATGAATGCACGGTTAATAATATGCGGCTGCTGGATCGCCGCAATCTAGATATAGTAATTACCCCTTCACAGGCGTTTGGATTTTGGTATTATTACATCATGACCCAATCTCATCTTCTATAGAGAAGGATGGAGGAAAAGGATTAATGGGTCATTTCATGTTTCTTCGGGAAGCTTGACATAAAAGCACGGCATCACAGGGTATAGCAAATATTGCGGCCGACACGGCGGCAAGGTTGGTTTGATCGGATCGGATTTTTGGTTGGTTAAGGGGCTGTCGAGCGAGAGATACCAAAGACGTGAGCGATATCCTGAGCTAAATCGAACGTACTTTATATGTTGAATTATACCATATACCCGCGTTTTGGTGGTTAACTCGAGTTACTTATTGTGGATTGAGAATTATAATTATGTGACATGAATGTTTTGAACCGTGATTAGCTAGTTCACTATGACAGATCTGGATATTGTTAAAGTTGCTTGCATATGATAGAGACCATCCGTGCTTATGATCCTTCCCTATTAATGGCGAATCCATACCTGACTAAATTAACCTAGCTTGTCCACGAAACTACTCCGGTGATAGAGCATGGAACGGACGTCTTATCTACGAGTCCGTCGTCCGAGATGATATATCCGAGAAAAGCATATCCAAATTAATTCCCGCGCACTGCGGTCTATGGCCGGTTAAGTCCGTATTGTGCGTGGAACAAGTTCCTCTGTTGTCATCGGAAACAAGCCAAACCGCCTTTAAGGATCTGTACCTTAGGATCCCATCTATCCCATTCCATTCTGGTCATTGTAAATTCCAAGCACGTAAACGACTCTAGTCTCCGGACAACCATGTTGATCGTTTGTGTCCCATAGGAAGACTCTTATTAGAGAATACATCATGGTTTCTTACAAGTTATTGACGTTGGGTATATTAACTAGCAATTTCCCTTCGCTAGAGTGTATATCATATCCTACATAAGATTGACATCTCTTTAATCACGTCTCGCTACTATTAAGTAACACTTCGACTTTACCTTTATATCTCAACATCAGCTCATAACAATGTCTACAACCACCAACCGCTCCTTCTGGCAAGACAAGACCGGCGTCCCGGGCACTATCCGCGAGACTCCAATCCCCTCCACTCTCGCCCAGGATGAAGTCCTCGTTAAAGTTCGCGCCTGGGGTCTAAACCCTGCCGACGCCTTCCTCCAGGACAGCCCCCTCCCGTTCATCAAGTATCCCCTAATCCCAGGCCAGGATGTCGCGGGGATCGTCGAGCGCGTGGGCCCGGGACCCAACTCCCGGCGATTTAAAATTGGCGACCGTGTCCTCGGCTACGCGATGGGAGAGCCGTCCCTGGGTAAACCTGAAAACGGCGCGTTCCAGGACTACGTGGTGCTAGACCACGCTCTAGCTGTTAAGATCCCAGACTCGCTGCCCTTTGCTGAAGCCGCCGTGTTCCCGCTCTGCTTGGCTACAGCCGGCCACGCGCTCTTCGGACCCAAGTATCTCGCTCTTCCCCCTCCCAAAGCTTCCGGCGCCCCGAGAACTGGGAAATCGGTCCTGATTTGGGGCGGCGCTTCCGGCGTCGGCAGTAACGCGATACAATTGGCGAAAGCAGCCGGGTTCGACGTCCTCGCTACATGCTCGCCGCGGAACTTTGAATATGTACTTGGTCTGGGCGCGGATAAGGTGTTTGACTATAGCAGCGCGACGGTCGTCGACGACATCGTGACCGAAATAGATAAAAGCAATTGCGCGGGGATCTTCCAAGCCGCGGGTATGAAAGGCGATGCCGTCGTGCCCTGCTGCCAGATCTCGCACCGCTCGCGGCAGAAGCCATTCGTTGCGTGCGCCAACGCTGTTCCGGAGCGGGCGGTGCCGGAGGGTGTTGAAGCAAAATTTGTGTTTGGTGGGGAGGACGGGAGGGGCATATATTATGATACTAGTTCTCAGATTTTCGGTGGGTTTCTGGAGGAGGCGCTGAGACTGGGGACGTATAAGGTTGCGCCTACGCCGGAGGTGGTGGCTACTAGGGGGTTGGAGGGGATTCAGGAGGGGTTGGATGTCGTGAGGAAGGGCGTTTCGGCGAAGAAGATTGTTGTTTTGGCGGAATAGGCTTCTAGAGATTGATTTATATTCAAGAGTGAATCACCTTCTGTGGCTTTTTGATAGTTATATTGCTTAGTCTTAGTCTACCCCTATTCTACCCCCTATTTCCAAGATCCTCGAACGATAATTGTCTGGCATGTTTACGTTTCGCCCTGGACCTATTAGTGGGCGTTGATTCATAGCTATAACATTAAAATAGTATAATACTAATGTATGTACGGTCTTATACGAGATTTAGATGCAAGTGATACTCTTGATAAAATTCTGTATACACGGCCATTACTCTGAATTCAGCCCCCCAAAATTTAATAATACATCCACGGCGGCTAGAACTAGGTAATACCTATAATATTAAGACCCAATCCTTTGTGTCCCATTTCATGCATGCTGATGGTGGATTGAATCGTAGTTCATAACTGACCGGATTTATCGGCCATAGTTGTCATAAACCCAGGATGTTGTGCATATGTAAGACCGGAGCCTTATATATTTCAGGAGATAGCACAGGCCTAAATAGGTAAGGTCTCGTTAGCTACCGAGTACGACGTTAGTACTAGCTTTGGAGATGATGCCCGAGAGATTATCACCGCGGATCGGGGATGAGAGGGGTTTTCAGGTACGCGCGTGATAATCCGAGAACCAAGTTAAGCCTCAAAAACAAGGCTCGTGACGTATATCCATCAATTGGATATATGTGTAGTTACCTATCTATGATATAGGTTTAAACGCATGGCTAATAATAGTTAGGATGCGGAGGCTCTTTATGGTATAGTGCGAGAAGTAAAGGGTTCAACAAGTATGGTACAGGTCATGGTAGGAATGGAAATAGCAAGGCTGGTGGAAATTATTCTTGTTAATACCTATTGTAGCTATCTTTTATTTCCCGCTTTTATCTTGCTTCTAACCGCTAACAAGTCACTCGTTTTCTTTTTCTAACCATTATGTCGTATGCCTGCCGATAGCCTACATGCTCTTCTGTAGTTTAGATGTCTCGCTCTATAATGCCCAAAAGAGAGCAACGATAGCAAAAGAAGCCTGCTTGCGCCGTAGTCTCTAACAGTCCACCGTAATGTTACGGGTTATCACCGTTTTAGCTCTAGACACGGTGCTGTTGTCTAACGGTCGGCGCATAAAGCAGCAAATACACGCATTGCAGTAAGGGCAGGAGGGCACTCAAACCACGACCTCCACGTCAGCGTATATAAGACGGCGACCTCTTCCGTTGAGCCTGGCTCAAACTCATCTACGGGAATGTCAGTAATAAATTTCTCAGCGTCCTTCAGGAAGAGCCAGTAGTGTGAGTTGCGTTTTTTAACTCTCTCATATAACTGGGCGAGCTGCGCACTCAGGGATTTCTTGATGCCACTCCAATCATCCCGCTCCACAATGTCTCGTCGTCTGTAGAGTATATCGCTGACAGCATTTTTACGCACCCACTCCATCTTTGTCTCGTAACTGGCGGGGCTACCGTGTTTCTTGGCTTCACGCTCTAACATACGAATATCTAAAAGCAGTCTGAGTTTTAGCTGCGTGATGCCGATAAGGTTGCTTAGAAGGATCGGGTTATCGAGAAAGATGTTGGCGCTCTCGAGTACGTCCTCGTCGTCGTAGCTAAGAAATTGACCGGAAAAATTTGACCATTCAAAGCCCTCCTGGTAAGGGAGGATGTACCATTTCGTAAAGTCGTAAGCATCTTGGTCTCTTCCTAGGCGTAGATAGAGTCCTGGCACCTAGCTCCGTACGTATCGTTGGTCCGGATTGTCCAGCCTCAACATCTCGAGACAATGGTATAACATAGCCTCGACGGCTATACCGTCGCAAATATCCGTTAACGAACTTAAGACCCTACAACGCTGATCTAAGTAGGGGGATGTAGCGTCATATGATGAGAATCGACCCCGGACCGTCTCAAAGGGGTTGGCAGGTAAGTGTTCATCGCCCGGATGTGCCCGTAGCTTTTCCTCCTCCTCGGCCAGGAGCTTTAGTGCATCTCTTACGGGGGAGCAATACCCCTTGTGAAGGGGATAGTCTTTGATTTGATGGTCCCTGCAGCAGTAGGCAGCGGCTTTGCAATCGTTGCACACCAATAATCCATCGCGCTCTAAACAGAATTCAGCGGCACAAAATCCCCATTTAAGGGTAAGGTTCCATCTGTTGTTGAATCCATTGGGTTGTGGTTTTTTTAAATATTCCTCTATGGATAATTCGGCTATTTTGTCGTTGACGAGCGCTAAATATTCCTGGATCTTAAGAGGGTCCTTTCTATTGGATGTGCTTTCATCGGACGTCTTTTCATCAGGTTCGTTTTCTTTAGGTTCGTTTTCATCGGAGGTATTTCCGGTGGATATATTTTCATTAGGTGTGCTTTCATTGGGTGTGTTTTCGCTAGGTGTGTTTTCGTTGGATGTATTTTCGTTGGGTGCATTTTTGCTAGATGTCCTTTTTTTACCTTTATTTTTACGCCTCTTCTTCCCCATGATGTCTTAGGTGTGATTGAATCTGGTGATACGGCTCAAAGACTTGATATATTCCTCAAAGATACCCCTTAATTGCTCGATTAACTGAATTAATAGAAATGTAGGTATTCATGCGAAACAGGGTATATGATATTTTGTTTAGTTTGTTGTTCCCAAAAGATTTACTTGTGTGCCTCTAGGTAGGCAGGTTATCGGTATAACTTTATCACTTCAATGCTATTTCCCCTTTTTTTAACTTAAAATTATACGGGTATCACGACCCTGATCGATCGTGCGTTGTGATCTACAAAGGATTCAGGGGTAATCGAAAATGATACTATGACGGTTAAGTACATAAGAGACAATGCCCTATAAACCAATACATCCCTCTAGGTACCTAATGTAATGTACATATTCCGGTAAACAGCCCCGGCCAATCCTCATTGGAGTTCCGTATTACAACTTACTGAGCATGTAATATCACCAAGCACCAAAATACCAAAGCAGTACGTTATGGACTTAATAGCAATTCTCAAGTTGAATACTATCGACTGGACCCACGAGATACAGCTCATCATATGTGCCTGTTTCCTTGCTATTATCATGTTCGTTGTAGCACCTCCATATCTCCCTATAGCTGCGAGAATGCTAGCGTTAATATTAGCATCAGTGTCAAATCTATCATGATCATCAGCGACAAATTAATCTACTCCCCAGCGTACAATTCCGCTGTAAATAATTTCGTTCCATATATTTATCAGCCGTCCCCGCGACTGAGAAAGGGTCCGGTTGGACTATCTGCTTAGCGCTCGTCTATCGCATCGGCATTAGTCTAAGATATTTACTTAAATCGCCAACAAGATGAGAGCAGATGCAAGGGACAGCAGCTAGAAAAGGGCTAGGTCGTTTTCGAGGAATAGAGTATATTAATTTAACAGACTCTCTGAAACAGAGTGGCATTTTTTGATTCCTTTACGTCTATATATGACTAAAGCTTTATACCAGACGAGAAACAAGTGTTAGGTATCATTGAAATACTTGACGTCCACCTTATATCACATATCAGTTAGATAACGTATTCTTATTTCTACATTTAATATATGCACCGGTTGTATAAGCCAGCAGTCGTTTCACATCTTCTGATGATTCCTGATATCTGATAGATCTTTCACCGAGGTGGGTTACGAAATTAAAGACTCGTCTGCGGTACGAAACTATACCTTATAAGGCGTTTTCTTTCGAGACATGGGAAAACTAGCCATATAATATTTTACTCGGGAAAATCACCTTAGCATAATGGTGGCTGCTTATGTATCATGCGATAGAGTACTATCCACGCAATATAAGAAATATGCGACAGCCTTGTCTAAGCCATTCACGCTAAGTCATCACAGGTAAGAATAGCCGTGTCCTATCGATGATCATCACTGATCACATAAGATTGGGGGCCATATGTGGTAGCATTATGACCAGGCAGCTATAATGCAACCAAGTGCGCCATTTACGCAGCGCGTGTTCCATGAATTGTATTGGTTAGAAACGCGTATTATCACCTCTTAGTGTGCACGGAGGATGTTCTAACGATGTTTAGGCTTCGGGGCTGACGTCTGTTATTATAATGGTGTCTGTATCACATACCTGAGTATCAGGGTGATAGTCTGTCTGTATATAACTCCAAATCTGTTTGTTTTTAACCCCTGACTGTACTGTTTGAATGTTCGGCCACAATAGAATTAATCCGTTCTTTGCAAAATAGAATGCCTTCATCTTCTATACTTTTCGTATTAAAATAGTCGGTTAATACAGTAAATAAGTATTTGAGATCCTTATCCCCAAGCAGCTCTCAGTTGCTTCATAAGTCCCAAGTTGCAAGTAACCTCTACAATATGTTGGCCAAGACACTGGGGCTTTAAAGGGGAACCGGCACGGCGCATTCCCGTTATCATGAGACTAGTTTGCTGGATTTATTCTTTCAGGTACAAGCACGGGAACACAGAGAAGCGAGATATGTCTGCGGATGGGACCGACTTTCTACTTTTCTTGTTTGGTTCCCATGCTGCCTTATCCTAGCGTTGCTGGTAAGGCCTCGGGTACTACATGCTAACTAGTCTTGGACTTGAGTTAACAATTTTATAGCTCATACCACAGAGCCTCGAAGGTCAATTTAGAAACCAGGGATTCTACGACCCTATCCTCTACCGAGACTGGCGTTACTCGAGAGTATCACGAAACCGCTACGAGGGGCAGAACAAGGATGAATCTGAAGAAGATGGGAAGGACCAGCATAGACCTAGAGACCTAGAGACCTAGAAGCAAGAGCAATCTCCCGCCCGATAACGACTGCACACTGAAGAGCCAGCGCAACCAATGACGATAGTGACGTATTATTACCCCGACACTTCGGCCCTAGGTATTTATACTTCGTTACAGAGGGCCATGAACGGAGCGGCGCCGAGTTCAAGGCCTGCAAGGTGTCAGATTGGATTATATAGATCATGGAGAGCACGCGTATAATGGTTTTATATTTCTTTCGTATACACGGCATCAGTTCTGCGTAGATTCCGAAGAAGAGATCTACGATCCGACTAGGTGGACGGGCCTTTCCGAAGAGCAAAGAGAAGACCTCGTACTAATAGCGAAGTGAGACCGACAAGCTTTATTAAGACAAGGAGTCGAGGCCGCCCATTTAGCGAATAGGGTGGCTTTCTGGGTAGACTTTGAGTGTATTCGTGATGCCGACACTTAGTTAGGGGCTACTGGAGAGAATAGAGCTAACGGTAAGAGCGACGATGTGTACCGAATTTGTGACATTATCCGAGCGGCACATTCGATGATTATTCTCGTCGGACTCTCCCTCGGAAGTAACATTCAAGGCACACTAGAGACATACAGTGAGGCCATCACGATAAAGTGGCTACAGGCATATGGGGATCGTCTTTGGACCCTCCCGGAAATTTTACTATGTCCATCTAAGTTCCGAATCAAGTTGTACTTCTACAGCAAACCTGGACTACCCGAAGGGTTAGCCAAACGCGACTTTCCATCCCGGGCCGTGTGGAAAGACGCCGATCGTGTAAGGGAGCTTGTTGACCATTTCGAATCAACAATTCACTTGTCCCCTTTAGAATTAGTTAGCATCGGTCTGGAATGTCTAGCGGAACGGAATACACAGAAGTTTAGGGAGGGTGATATCGCATATGCTCTCATGGGGCTTCTGCGCCGAAGACCAATAACTAACGACAAAGATTCCAGCTTTGAGGCATTCGCCAGGTTATCCCTAGCTAACGTCAATGATGAACTACTGGAACGACTCATATGCATGCAGCCACTTCGTCAAAATGCTCCCTGGTACCAGATTGAAGATGCTTTTGGAGTACAATTCTGGGATATCGAACCGCGGTGCCAAGTAGCCGGTATTGTCGACGATCAGTCTGTTACACTAGATGGCGCGATTGGAGCCTCGATTCAGTGGGATCATATAGATCAGGTTAATTTCTTCAAAAGACCGGCGACCGCTCATACCTTGGCGAAGGTAGCGCTTCACGCAATGCCAGCCTACCTGTTTGTCGGTATCCTGATGTTAGCAATTGTCGCTACTTACACTGGCGTCAGTTTAGAAGCATTGGGAACGGGTGGGCGGGCCACCCTTGCTATAGGAATTATCCTTCTCATGCTGGAGGCAATTGTCTTCTTTCTTGCTCCATACACGATCTTCGAGCTCTACCGCGGCGAGTTTTGGTTTACCCAGGCCATATTCATTGGTATTGAGGGTATCCCGGCCAACCTAGGCTGGGTAGAACGTAACCTCTTCGGTTTGAATCAGGGACGGTTGAAGTGGAGCATTGCGGGAAGCATGTTGTCGCGACACAAACTCTCGGCGTATGATGAGTGCGAGGCTCTCCCACCAAAAGAGAGCATCCCTGCATTAAATCCCACAAACAGAAACAAGACGAATTACACAAATGGGGAGGGGAGGCCATTTACGCTGATCGATACATACACGCGTACAGCGACGGTGTCTTATGCAGTGCAACCACCCACCGCTCTTATAGTGTGCTGACAAGAAGGGGCAATGCAGCGAGCGGTGCTTTTCTCGTATGACTGGCAGAGAGGCACATTTTTGAGGGAGGCTGTGGTGCGGGCGAAGACGATTGTGCTAGAGAGGATGTTTAGGGTTGACCGCTTCCGATTTGCCCTTAGCCGAAAAATATGGGAGAAGAGTCCAGAATCGTTACATTCAGATTCCGAGACAGGCTCGAGCGACGTGCAGCGGAGAGGGTTCCTAGAGGACCAATGTGATGCTGGTTAGGTATATTGTATTTGAGAATCGGGAGGCGATCGAGTTGGTGAGTTGGCGTAAGAGGTAGGCTGAGTGGTTCAAATAATCTTGAGTTTGTATTTGGTAGGTTAGGTTAGATGCATCCTAAAGGTACATGTATGTTAGGTCTCAGAGCCGTGATCTTATGCATTTAGGTACCAAATGACGTTAATGGAACAGCTTACAATCACGTATTACATGGACAGCCGTATTATCTCAAGCATTTCTCATCTAGGTATTTATTATGTATTATTTCTTCTTTTTATTGAAATTCACAGCAATCAATTATCTTATACATACCTACATATTAATTGTCTTTTATTTCATTATTGTCCTGTTGATTTAAGATTAGCATATTCACCTAGGTACCTAGATTAGGTACTTATACGAAGTACTTCTAGCGTTATGTCATATATCATATTATGAACCTTCCAATGGGTTAGCGTACCTCCCCACGCTGTGTAACCCCTCGATGACTTTTTGTAGCTGCAGGTAGCTGCAGGTAGCTGCATAATAAAAAGTGAGCCTGGCAAGAACAAACGAGCACCCTGCCTGCCTTAATAATACCTAACATTCCTAATTCTGATAATAACAAAACCTTACGTACCCCAGGCAACCCTTTTCTTCCTTCCAACTTTTCTCCTCTTCATCTTACACCTTTCCTAGTACTATCACACCCAATAATTACCACCACCTATTATGTCTGGCCGTGGCAGAGGTGATAGAGGCGGCGGAGGCGGCAGAGGTAGAGGTGGAGGCGGATCCTACGGTCGAGGTGGCTCATTTCCAGGAGGTCGAGGCGGCGGCGGCGGCGGCGGTGGTGGTAGAGGAGGTGGTGGTTCGTTCCAAGGTGGTGGTGGAGGTTCATACCAAGGCGGTCGCGGTGGCGGCGGTTCCGGTGCCTCGAGCCTCCCTGTATACCCGTAAGTGCCCCTACTCCCTTTAGACGTATACGATGTACTCATATATTTAAAGTGGTTCAAATGGAATCCCAGTCCCCGATCAGAATGTCACGAGAGTCGAGGACGCCATCCAAGCTAGCAAAGCATCTGTCAACCTCTCAAACCTTAGCCTTACTGACAATTTCCCCCCTCGGCCTAACTATGGCACAAAGGGATCGGGTGTCGTGCTTTGGGCAAACTACTTCGCCCTCGCAGCTTCGCCCAAACTGGTACTTTACCGTTACGACATATCGGAAGTCAAACCTGTTGCCGCGGGTAGAAAGAAGGCTCAAATAATTCACTTAATTCTCGAAACACCCCAGTTGTCACCCTTCAAGAGCGATATAGTGACAGACTTCAAGTCGACTCTCATTTCTCGACAGAAGTTTGAAGACCAGGACATAGTGGTTACATATCGAGGAGAAGATGAAGATGATCCTCGCGATGGTGCTCAACAGTATACAGTCAAGATGCAATTTACCAATGTCCTATCGATTTCTGCGTTAACGGACTTTCTCACATCTACCAACTTCTCAGCTCACTATAATGAGAAGCAACCCACAATTCAAGGAATCAATATTTTCCTGAATCACTATGCGAAATCCGCCGGGAACCTTGCTACAATCGGTTCTTCCAAGACTTTCTCTTTAAGCGAGAGATCCGATATCTATGATCTCGGTAGTTGTCTGGTAGCTATGCGTGGTTTCTTCGCTAGTGTTCGTGCGGCGACAGCCCGCATCCTTGTTAACGTCAATGTGAGCCATGGCGCCTTCTACCCTGAGGGCCCACTGGACCAGCTCATTATGAAATTCGGGTCTCAAAGAGGCCTATTCAAATTAAGCGATTTCCTGAAGATAAGGGTCAAGAGTACCCATCTGAAGGAAAGACGGAACAAGTCCGGCAAAGTCATTGAACGAATCAAATCCATCTGTGGTCTTGCCAACAAGAATGATGGTTATAATAGCCCTCACCCCCCCATCGTGAAAGCGTTCGGAGCCGGGGCGAAAGATGTTCAGTTTTGGCTCGATGAAAATCCATCCTCGAAGCCACCGTCTGACGCTACACCCACGGGCAAGAAGAAAGGTGGAAAGGCACCGAAGCCTCAGGGCAAGCCTGGTGCAGCTGGCGGAAAGTACATCTCTGTTTTTGACCATTTCCTTACGTGTAAGTCATCGGCCGTTTGAAGTAGCTAAGGCATTCACCACTGACAATTGTATAGCACATGGAATTCGTATAGACAACCCGAACCTACCAGTTGTCAATGTCGGGAATAGGGAAAACCCCTCATATCTACCCGCCCAAGTCTGCTATGTTGTACCAGGTCAGCCAGCTAAAACAAAACTTGATCCGGGCGAGACCCAGAATATGATTCGGTTTGCCGTTCGTAAACCTGTAGATAATGCTTTATCTATCGTCGGAAAGGGCCGACAGACTGCGGGACTGTCTCCCGATACAAACCCTCTACTGGCAAGTCGCTGTATTCATCTATCGTTGGTATGCTAACCAGGATATTTCTCGCAGAAGCAATATGACATTTCCGTATCTCCTGACCTTGTTACCGTCCACGGTCGTGTTCTCCAGGGGCCGAGAGTTGTCTATAAACAAAACCAGCCAGCCCAGATGATGGCTGGTAGCTGGAACATGGTGCCCCGTAACTCTGCGAGCCTCAAGTTCCACACTGGAACGGTATTGGACAAATGGTCCTGTTTGTATGTTGACATGCCTGGATACCCGAGAACCCAGACATTCACGTCCGATGAGCTTAGGGCGCTTGTTAGTAAGCTTCACTTGGTGCTAATGGACACTGGCATTGCTGCAAGGCCACCACTTCCGGTACAGCGGGTTGCTTTAAGAGATACCGATGATCCTGGGCTTGAAACCTTCATGAAACAAGCAGCATCGTCGTTGAACCTCCTTTTTATTATTCTGCCATCGACCCCCATTCCTCTGTACTACCGCATTAAACAGCTCGGCGACGTCAAATATGGTATTCACACCGTCTGTAGTGTCGGCAGTAAGATTGCTAAGCCCCAGGGGCAAGATCAATACTTCCGCAATTTGGCCCTGAAAGTCAACCTAAAACTGGGTGGCGACAACCAGGTTATCACTCCTGCCAACCTGGGGATAATTGGCGAAAACAAGACCATGGTAGTCGGTATCGATGTGACCCATCCATCCCCAGGTTCAAGCAAGCTAGCGCCAAGCGTTGCTGGTATGGTAGCCAGCATCGACAACAAGCTCGGACAATGGCCTGGTATGCTGCGTATCCAGAGGGGTCGAGAAGAGATGGTGAAAGACCTCAAAGACATGCTCAAGTCACGCCTCCGTCTATGGCGTGAGAAGGGAAAGCACGCAACACTTCCAGAGAACATTCTAGTATATCGCGATGGTGTCTCTGAAGGGCAATATCAGAAGGTCCTCGACGAGGAGCTACCACTACTGCGTGCTGCATGTGTAGAGGCGTATCCGCCCCCGGACCAGAAAAAGGGGCTTCCACGTTTAACCGTGGTTGTAGTTGGCAAGCGTCATCACACACGGTTCTACCCCACCAAAGAAGCCGATGCAGACCGCTCGGGCAACACCAAGCCGGGGACTGTTGTAGACCGCGGCGTAACCGAGGCCCGTAGTTGGGACTTCTTCTTACAAGCACACGCAGCACTCCAGGGGACAGCGCGGCCGGGGCATTATTTCGTCGTGCTTGATGAGATCTTTCGCCAACGATATGGCGCCACGGGTGGCAAGTCTAAAACGCCAGGCGCTACGAAGAATGTAGCCGATGAACTGCAGGATCTAACACAAAGCATGTGCTACGTGTTTGGTCGTGCTACCAAGGCTGTTAGTTACTGTACGCCTGCGTACTATGCTGATATCTTGTGCGAGCGTGCTCGGAACTATCTTCATAATGTGTTTGATTCCCCGAGCAACTCAGCGGCGCCTTCGATATCGGGGAGTACCAGTGGAGCTGGTGCGGGTACCGGACCCTCCCAGCAGGACGTGAAGATCCATCCGAAGCTAGAGAATAGCATGTTTTACTTGTGATTCTAGTCAAATATGGCAATCCTCTTTACTTAGGTAGATAAGGGTACAGGGCGTTGATTAGTACCTTGCTTGAGAAATAAGGTGTATACCTACGAAAATGTTGTATTTATATCCGCCTCAAGAATGAATATCGAAGTACTCATTATAAACGCATAAACACCTAATGTGACTCACTTGATAAACTCATGCAAAATTACTATAAGGTATCGTGTTTTAATCTCTTGTTATCTGTTATTTAAAAGCCAACCTTCGCTCTCATTCATAACTGAAGCTTTTCTACAGGTGGCCAGTATGGACTCATGAGCCCCTCAGTTGGCTCTGAGAATATGAGAGATGATTGGTTAAGTACCTATTGTTTCATACCGATTTACTTTAGATTTCATAACAATACACACGAATTTATAAGTACCTAAAGGCACCTAATATATGCAGCTATCAAATTCTATGTATTCAATCATAAATGATGTACGAGCCGGAAGTATGGCAGACTTGAGACAGGATCTAATCGTTTGATGGATATATAGGGGCAGTGCTATCCCCCGCTCGTGTGACCCCTGTCAAGGTCGAACTGAAGCTGACAATCCAACAGGTTCGCTTAATGAATAACAACCAACACTCGCCGATAATAAGAGTACCTAAAGCTAGCTAATATGAAATCGTACTTTTGAAATTCATATCATTATTGCCGAGTAAACGTGGGCCATGGCCGAGAGTTATCAAGCTTCAACTGCTCTAGCACCGCCCAGCGCCGAGGGAGGGTTTATCTGCGATAAGTGCAAGGCCATAGATTTCAGCAAAGCCTTGGCAGTACCGCCGGCCCACCTCCGCGAGGCCATAGGTCGGAAGTGCGGTGTTCTGCTCGACACGGACGCTTCGCGGTATGCGCGCTCGCTAAACCCCGGTTGTAGGCTTTGCCGCATTCTGCGTTCTACGATATGTTGGTATCACGGCGAGTGGTCGGACCCTGATATGCAGGCCGGACAGGACACTATCGACAAATTTGAGCTATACGCGTTCGCTTCCTCGAGAAATGTACCCTGGGGGTTTAGGAAACCGGGACCCGATCAAGATTGTCATATCCTCATTACCCTTCCTGCTGGCTTCTTTGCTAGTTTCGGGGACCATTCTAGGGAGTGCGGCAGGGGTGACGCGGGATATGTATTCTGCTTTGCGGAACATCCTAAGCCGGGCCTCTTTAGGCCCCAAGTAGTTCCCCGGCGATTTGATTATCAACGGGCCCGTCTCTGGTTAGAATTCTGCAGGGAACATCATGCGCAGCAATGTTGTAGCATGGTGGAGATTGTGCCGAGAATGGAGTTGATTGATTGTGAGACTTGGACTATCGTGAAGGCGGAGGCGGGCATGCGATGGGTGGCCCTGAGCTACCTCTGGAGGCAGGAAGAGAGAGTAGAGGAGCCTCTAGAAGTCAGCCACGAATCTCCGTCTTCACGTCTTCCCTCTTCCGTTCCTAACTCCGTTAAAGACGCTGCTACAGTAGTAAAGCAGCTCGGGTTGCGATATCTTTGGGTAGACCGCTATTGTATCGACCAAAGTAATGCGGAAGAAAAAGCTTTTCACATTTCGCAGATGGATGCGATCTACCGTGGAGCAGATCTAGTCATCATCACCGCGGCTGGCTCCGACGAACGCTACGGGTTGCCGGGAGTCGGATCTACGCCTCGCCTACGACAAGAAATTGTTCAACTTGAGTCCTCCACGATCCTCACTACTGGCCCTGACCCCCGCTGGCACGTACAAGAGCACTCTCGTTGGTGGACAAGAGGATGGACGTTTCAAGAAGGACTACTAGCTAATCGACGCCTTGTGTTTACAGAGCACCAGGCGTATTTTGAATGCCATTGTGCAACTTGGATGGAATCGGTAGGCGGTCTCGAATTCATCCCAAACCCGGAGAATATCAACTTATCAAGTATGAAATCGGCGCGCAAACGCTTATTCAAGTCCTTGGGGAATACTATCTCTTACAGACCGGATATTCCCCCAAGCGTTAGTGAGGAAGGCACCGAGAAGTCAAATGGGGATTACCTAGTCGCAATTCGAATTAGAGAATGGTGCCACTTGGTTCAGCGGTATACGGCACGCACACTAAGCCACGACTCGGATTCGCTAAATGCTTTTGCTGGAATTGCACGGGTGCTAAGTAAACTTGAGCCTTCTACTCTCCACCTCGTCGGTCTCCCATATGTACTATCAGCAGACGATACCGAGCTCATTGATAAGTACTTCTTGATATCTTTCTGCTGGCATCATAAAGGAGATAGTACTCCCAGGCGCAGACCGGATTTCCCCTCGTGGACCTGGGCCGGGTGGGCGGCATCTGTTGCGTGGATGGGTGCTTGGATACTGAAAAATAGGGACGAATGTTTTCCCAAGTGGCGTAATGTGTGTATCCAACACTCGACGGACCAGCCCTGTCCCGTTTCGGAGTACTTGGCGCAACACCGGTCGGCAGATTATGGTATTGCACCACCCCTATCCATCTGCTTCGAAGCCAGGGTGGTTCCTTCGTCGCTTTTCCAGTTCAACGTCAGAGAGCCTGGTGACGGTCGGGTGGTTAGCTCGAGTAGAGGAAGCGAGGAAAATGCGGGCGATGCAGGGGATGCAGGGGATGACAGCGACGCCAATAGTGAGGATGATGATGAAAATAATGACGGCAATGACAGTGAGGGTGAATCTCAGCATGATGGTAACAATATCAACGACGATAGAAATGCCGGTGAAACCCAGAACGATGACGAAGATGACGACGAGGATAACGAAGGTTCGATAGAAAACGATCCAGTTGTCGCCGATCCGAACGACTGGGCCTTGTGGACTATCGATAGACACGGCGTGCCCGATCGGATAGCAAAGCCCACAAATACGCCGAGGGAGTTTCTCGATCGCTTAGATGATGGTACCTGGACGTGTCTCCTAATCGGAGATTTCTGGGGGAATAACGATTTCACGCACGAGAGGTTTCTCTTGGTCGTAAAGTGGTTGGATGAGAACACAGCGACCCGGGTTGGCGCCCTTGTACTCGAACAGCATCCTTATTTAGATGCTGCCTATCCCGATTTATTCGACGAGAGCGGTCTAGATTGGAGAAGTGTTCGGTTGGTTTAACGATGTTGGTTTAACGATGTTGGTTTAACGATGTTGAGTAGGAGGTGGAGGCGAGATATGTTAGTTATTGAGTGTACATATAGAGCCGCCACTAACAGGACTAGAAATAAGGGATCTAGCCATATTTCGGTTCCCTACCTGTTATTATGTTGTCATATAATATAATATCTTTATAAGAGGAACAAGTACACATGGACTATTTTCAAGGTTGTGCAACATAATGCTCTACTAAGGGCTGAAAACTTCCAATACCTAAGGCCTAAGGCAGCATTATTTTCTTTTTGCTCATGATAAGTACCTATGAGGCTTAGCAATAGCTACTAAATAATTTTATAGATAGATAGATCAAGTACCTGTTAGGCACTAAATGATCATGGTGGCTATGTCGTAATCCGCGAATAAGAGCGAATAAGAGCGAATGGATATCTACGAATGACAGCAAATATATAGCACACGTATGATTATTAGCGGGGTACCTATTTCAGCTTCTCACCGTCGCGTAGCCTCACGTTCGTTTATTGCCAACATTACAGATAGAGCTTTTAACATACGAGATAATTATTGATATTTTCTCAATATTAATATGGAAGCGTTAGCTGCGTTTGGCCTGGCCGCTAATATTGCGCAGTTCGTTGTTATCGCCGGACAAACCATTGAAAAAACCGTATATCTTTCAACTAAGCAGCAAAGTTTGTTGGCTGAAAATGCAGACCTTGAAAAGATAGTCCAGGAGTTCGTCGGCGCGGTTCCGATGATACAGCGATTAGACTCAAATATTGTTGGAAGTAATCCTAAACTCAAGATACTAGCAGAGGATGGCAAACGCATAGCAGACGAGATCCAGCAAAAGTTTGACAGCATCAAGGCTCGAAGAGCTAAACGAAGGCGCACTGAGCGCCTATTTGCGACCTTAAAGGAGTTAAGAATGAAAGACGAACTGGATTCATTAAGCAGTCGACTCGCGGCTTTCCGAAGCGAGATTACGCTACATATTAGCTTAGAACTCCTGTAAGTTTGACCTTATTGAAACTTGATCACAGAAGGCTTATCAAAATAGGGACCATCAAGAGCAAATAAGGCAGAACCTAAACGGATATACTGAGAGCAATCATGCTTATAAAAATCGCATTGAAGCCCAATTAGGAGAGCTCACTGAGAAAATAGACAGTCTCACATTTACCGAGTCTCTTGATGAAGGGGGCGAGAGAGTTTGGAGAGGTACATCGAAGCAGCTCGGAGAGCTTGTAAGAGGATTTAACTCTTGGTATCCCCAGATGCTAGACTTCCAGAAAACCCAGAGAATCATCAACAGCCTCGAGTTTAGCCAGATTGAGGAGCGGCGAAACGCTATTCTAGATGCACACAAAAACACTTATAAATGGGTCTTTGATGGCGACGTTGCTAATCTGAAATCTTGGCTTACAACGGAAGACGCTTCCATATATTGGATAACCGGAAATGCCGGCTCCGGAAAATCAACACTAATGAAATACATCCGCGAGCACCCCCGACTATCTGCTCGGCTCAGGACCTGGGCTGGAAGTCGGAAACTTTACGTCGCGTGCCATTTCTTCTGGAGCGCGGGCACTCCGATGCAGCAGTCACAAGAAGGGCTACTTCGCACGCTGCTTTTTCAAATTTTGCTCGAATGCCCAAGTCTAGTCTCTCAGGTATTTCCGGAACAGTATAAAAGGCCATTACATCATTGGGAAGTCTCGAGGGGGCTCAGGTGGACAACTAAGGAGCTTCTGGACGCGCTGATTTCGCTCCCCTCAGTTATAAGTCCAGATTGTCTGTTCATCTTCATTGACGGCCTGGATGAATATAGCGGGGAGCATGGCTCACTGCTAGAAATAATCAAGTCCCTTGCTAAGGTGCGGAATATCAAGCTATGCGTTGCTAGTCGTCCCTGGCTTGACTTCATCGACGCTTTCGAAGATAGTCCTTGGAAATTATATCTACAGGATCTGACGATGCCTGATATTGAGACGTATGTTCGCGATAATCTAGAATCCCATTTTCGATTCAAACAACTGAGCATCCGGGATGAGGGTGCCGCCCAAGGTCTTGTAGATAAAATCACTACAAGAGCTCAGGGGGTGTTTCTATGGGTCTATCTAGTCGTCAAATCCATGATTAGAGGCCTTATAAATGCGGATAGTATGAAAGACTTGCACCGCAGGCTGGATGACTTGCCTCAACAATTAGAAGACTTTTTCGACCGAATACTGGCTTCTATTGACGATTTCTACAAAACCCGAACTGCTCGAGTGTTTCTGATATTGGCCCATGCTCGGACTCCTATGACTCTCATTTCCTTCTATTTTCTTGACCATGAGGAAGGGCTACCTTTCGACCCCGAGTCATTCCTCTTAGAGTGGCCAGCGGTGAACGAGACAGAGCTGGAAGTGATAACGACAAAGAAAAGACAGTTAATTGCGCAATGCAAGGACTTAATACAAATCATCGAGCGGCCAAAGGATCCCATTATGTTTAACTTCACAGCTATCTTCCTGCATCGTACGGTTATAGACTTTATCAGTCAGCCGCGCATCCACGAAAATCTCGTTGAGGCTGCCGGAGCAGGTTTCAGCCCCATAACAACACTGTTTGAGACCAATGCTAGACAATTCGAATCCTTAATCCATTTACTCCCAAGGGTATATCTAAAGCCTTACTTACGAAATTGGTACCTAGCTTCTATCTATTACGCTCGCGAGATAGAGGTGTCCCTTGGTATATCAGAAACACAACAGCTAGATCAGATAAACAAATCACTCATCAGCTATTTGGGAGCGAGGGGCATGACAACTTATTCATTCAATGAAGCACTTTCTAAACTCTTTGATGGCGAAAATAGTTTTGAGAATATTCCATCTTATGACTCCTTCTTCGACCTTGCAGTTCACTGTGGGTTGCGCCTCTATTTTAGCGACAAAGAACAGAGAGCGGATACCTTACTCCTGTCACTTAAGCCGATTTTATGTATTGAGCAAACTTCAGGCTTTTTAATTAGTCAAGTCCCTGATGAGTTACAATCGCGACCGCGCCTAACCACCATTCCCGGTAGACAGCCCTACAGCAACACCTTCCACATGTTTACGGCAGTAGAAGAAGAATTGTATTACTACCAACTGAAAATGACACGGCCGATAGAGCCAGTGAGATGGATAGAACGGGCATCTGAACGATCAGAACATACAATGACGCCAGTTTCCGTGCCGCGGAAAGAATCTAGGATAGGGGGGTTTAAACGGCTATTGCTGAAGTTACGACGCTAAATGAAACACTCTAGGTACATTTCCTTGTTGGATATGCATTACTATTGCCCCTAATCTTAGTATCTTGACCTAGCTTGAAAGTTATTGATGTTTTCAAATATAATAGCGGGTGGCTCGGAGTTAGGATGCTTCTTCATGCTGTTTATTGAAGGGCTCCGGATTTCATTAGTACCGAGGTATATAAAGTTTAATATATGTTAGCATGTGTGGTGGATTTATCTCATTTACAGCATATTTCAACACGTTCAGCAGTATGGCATTCGTCGAGCACCATTTCAGCACGGCCGTTTAACATTACAGAGCATGTTATCAGACCGTCTCTAGAATATACCTCGGTAGCCTTCTATATCCAGCATATAATCTAAACGATATGTGGCATCTCAGGGACACTGCCTTGTTTCGATAACGAGGATATTTACCAGTCCCTAAATTTATGTATTTGGCTAAGCAAACGAGGTTCCTGGAATGCATACCTAGATAGGTAAGTAAGGACCTATATTAGATCACAACTTCCACTAGTAATTGCTTCATACGTCGATTATATGAGTACCCAATTTACTTTATCCGCTGTCCGGCATGATGCCAGTCATGAAATGGTTTATATGTAGATCGCCTGGAACCCATAAGTGATACTCTATTACCGAACTCCGTCCCCTCCCTCCCCCGGCGACGGACTATCTACTCCGTAAGTTAAGCAGGCAGTATTCAATATGAATTTGATCATCCCATAGCCTCATTATTGCCTAGGTACCATTCACGTCTCAGCTCCAACAACTTACTAACTACAGTACTTTACTAATATAAGAAAAGCCATAACAAGGATCGATGACGCTTGGGTGTAGTGGTTTTAACATGGCTTTATGGTCGATATTAGGATGTTAAGTTGTATTCAACTTCCCCGCCCTTCAACCTGGGTACCTAGGTAGGTATTATTCTTGGAAATTGGGTTGAGACTCTTAATGTGGTCTTGTGTGATATCTGAGCATACACCGTAGCACACCGGCTATATTAATCTGCCAACCAGTTAAATCGCTTTGCCCCGGATTGATTGAGGAGCCAGGATATTAACCTGGAGAAAGTGGTATTGTCTATTTGGTCTCGAACCCTGTACCCCAGGTCTATTCCGATTGTCCGGGGCTAGATCTGGCAGTTGACTGTGGGGTATCATGTGGGTCATAAAGAAATATGTTTTGGTTTCTTATACCAAGCTCAGCGAGGAAATTCCCAATTGGTTCTGGTAATAAGGTGCGGCATAATCAATTTAGTTGAGTATTCTTACCCGAGACTAATCCCAGAAGCCCACGAGGTTTTCAGGCTAAACGTGATCCCCTGTATAGATGCAGAGAGGTAATGAAAGGTTCCCGTAATCAGAAGTATATAAGTAGCAAGTCATCATCTCATAAAGTGAAGACGACGAGATCCTCAACTGTACCAAGTTTATCATCATGTTGCCCTCCTTTCTTCTCACAGCTGCCACCCTATTCACAGGGGCCTTCACAGCGCCCTCGGGGTTCCTCCCTCAAATTGGAGACCTCTTCCATGGAGGTAACAGCAATGCCATCCAGACTCGACAAGGTGGTTACTTCTGGTCTTCCTGGTCGGAGGGTGGCGGTACATTTCAGTGCAACAACGGTGGCGGCAGTGCGTACAGCGTAACTTGGCAAAGCAGCGGTGGCTCAAGCGGCTTCGTCTGTGGAAAGGGATGGAGCCCGGGGGGCAACAGGTGAGTCATCTACTGATATTTTGAAATCGCAACAAAAGTATCATGGCAATTGTATCTATATTAACATAATTCTCCAGAGCCGTCACATACTCCGGCACATACGAGCCCAAGGGACCGAGCTACCTGGCCGTATACGGTTGGACTCGCAACCCACTAATCGAATATTACATCATGGATGCTCATGGAGATCTTCTCCCTAATGAGCCTTGGACTTCCAAGGGCAACTTCACCATCGATGAGGGAACCTACGAAGTATTCACTAGTACCCGTGTGAACAAGCCTTCTATCATTGGAACGGCAACCTTTCAGCAGTATTGGTCCGTCCGCACCGAGCAAAGAGTCGGTGGAACCATTAGCACCGGAAAGCACTTTGATGAATGGGCTAAGCTCGGCCTTAGGCTTGGAGGTCATGACTACAGTGAGAATACCCTGCTTCTGATAAGCTTTATATTTCTTTGATACCTGGTCTTGGTACTAACATCTTCAACCTTACAGTGATTGTCGCGACAGAAGGATACACTAGTGGATCTGCTACAAGCAACGGAACCGCTTCTATCACTCTAGGTTAGGAGATCGCCGTCCGATCACTTGTCCAACTTACCTGAAATTAAGTCGTGCTTTAGCGGTAGGCTCGTATATTAGCTTTAAAAGAATTTGAATTACCAACGTTAAATCCTACCATCATTATTGAGTGATCCTAGTAAAGTCGCAGTAGTGATTATTGGTAAAGTTACTAGATATCCCTAACAGTTTTGCAGCCCAATTATGATATTATCGATGGCGTATTATTCGTACATTGTATAGGAGGTAGTTGCATGACACAGAAATCTCATTTTAATCGTACCATATTCTATCTTACATGCTTTCACACCGAATAGACATGATTAATTACGAATAATATTCCACTTTGTTCAACCTAAATAGCTTAACACAAAATACCTGCAGCCCAAATAGCCGCTATACATTAGGTAAATAGGAGGCGGGGGATAATAGGGGAATTCTCCACTAAAGGGGGAGGGGGCAGCGATATGCTACAGTCATATACGACGGAGACTTCATCGCTATTAGTACACTTCAACAGTTAGGACGTAAGTACCTATTCAACCATGTCTTCTGCCCGAACCCAACTCCTTCCCACATACCTATCCGCTTGCTTCCAGACTTGTCAAAGTGTGACCACGTACAAGCACAAGAAAGCAGCGAAGTAAAGAGTAAACAATCCTAGCCGGCCAAGTCCGCCAGGGTTCACATGGCGACCTCCCTTATTATGTTTCTCTCAGACTCCTTATTAGACAGGCATCCAACTAGCACGAATGAAAATCAGCTCAATGGCTACTTGGTGAAGAGGAAACCGTTCTGACGCAACTTTTCCACGTCGACGCCCGCAGCGCGAATTGCCTCCACGTACTTTTCATTTTTCTCTTGGGCCTCGCGCTCGCGCCGCGCTTTGGTCTTACTTGACCCGCTCGGCGCCACACCATTCATTAACACCTTCTTGTCGCTCGGCGTGTAGTTGCAAAACTCAATGGATAAGCTTCCACCGCCGCCGCCGCCGCCGCCGCTAGGATCGTAACCCGCCGACCGACAGGATGATGACCGCACGCGGCCGCTGCTGGGCGTTCGTGGCTCGCCACCCTTACGGTGTTGCCGGCTCCATGACCGCTGCTTGCGCAGAGCTAGAGAGGAACTTGAAGACGAGGAGGAGGTCCGTTGGCGTGGGAGAGGCGTGGGCGACATCGATTCTTCACGTAGTGTATAACATGCTGCTGATGAGGATACCTTGCGTGGCGAAGTCATCGGGCCTCCGTAGGGGTTACTGCTACCATAATGACGGGCACCAGAGGAGGGAGCGCGAGGTCGTGGTCGGCGGTGCTCGCTATGGTGCCCGTGGTGGTACTGCGATGGGCCTGAGGAATTTCGACGGCTACCGGAATGAGGAGGGGGATGATAGTAGGCAGATGATGGAGAGGGCATTATGAGTGGGTCGTTCATATTGGAACTCAACACTGCTGCTTGTGGCGTACGGGGTTGCGGCATGTGAATCATTAGTCCCGACATATCTGCGCCGGTGCTGTACTCGTATGGAAGCTCCGCCTGCTGGTTATGCATTGAGAGATTCAGTGATACGTTGTTGTGAATTGAGCCACTGCTATGGCTATGGCTATGGCTATGGCTATGACTGCGACCACCGTGATGGCGGTGACCATTGACCTGCTGTGGCGTATCCCACCACCCCGGGCTTGATATACCGCCTCCGCTGTCAGAAGCGTATGCCGGTCCTGCGCCTGGAGAGGACGATGTAGGCCAAATGCCGTTCTGGCTATCGTTGTTAAGAATGCCTTCCATCGGCCACTCTGCCGAGCTTGTGCTCCGTAATTTGGGTTGTGGCTTCTGCTGGTGGAGTGAGGTTCCGTTTGAACCGATTAGATCAAGTGTCTGTTGATAGAAAATATCGTCGTCTAGCGCCGGGGTTGTCATCGGAGTATTCAAGTCTATGTCGTGTCCTTTACCTACGGAGTCGATAATAGCAGGCGGAGCCAGCACATCATCGCAGAATGGGTCATCGAAATGACCGCTTACGAAGTTCATTATATCGTCCGAGTTATGATCGGCAGGTATCCGACCGGTGAGTGGCGGTGATAGGGGGAGGTTATTCGAAATGGACGTTTCTTCCAATTTGACATCACCTAATCCGCTTAGATCAAAGTCCACTGGGAGGTCGTAACAGACACTGTCTTCTGTCTTTAACGGATCTCCCATTATTGCCGTGCTTACTTCCATCGGGGGTTCTTGAGGCTTATGTGACTTCGACCAATGCGTCGCTCGGCGTAATGCGGAGCAGAACGAGTTCAAAACGCGACTATGCTTACGTGGGCTTAGGGAACCTTGGTTTGCGAGAGGCGAACCTTGAGGTGCTGTAGCATTTCTTTTCGGCGACTCTATCGAGAGTCTAGAGATGCCCTCTAAGCGAAGAAGTTCTGAATCTGAAATCGAACCGTTGGACAAGATAGGATCTGATATGAGAGGGGCAGCGAGTTCTAATGGTACTGACTTGCTTTGTTCTAGGGACGGTATCGAGGAAAAGTCTAGCGAAATAGATGAGCCAGATGTTTCGCTTCGAGACTGTCCAGATTGCGTGTCCTGATCGGTAGACGGATTGGACAGGTCAGCATCAAGGTTCTCGAGTAGGATAGACGGACTGGGCGGATTCGCGAGTAAGTCATTGCCACCACCTAGAGCCGAGGGTTCTGAAGAATCAAAGGCAAGGAACTGTTCAAAGAAGTTGTTATCGCTTGCCACCCCCAGCTCCTCATTTTCAGGCCAATAAGGTGCTTGGTTTTGGTCTTTGTCCGTCGGATAGTGCACTGCCGTGAAGGCCATAACGTCGAAAGGCGGGGAGCGCAGCTCCAAAATTGAGTATTCACACGGAAAGATAGAGCTGCTGATGCTTGGAGCTTGGGGGAAAAAAAAAAACGTGGAAAGCTTTCTCAAGAAAGAGGTTCGATGGCACAACTGGTGCCCTTGTATCTTGAGATATGGAAGTCAACAAAACATGAGAAGTCTGGCACAGCAACGACAGGTATGCAAATAATGTAAGCCACGATAAGGCTACTGAGGCTAAAAGGTGATCATCTCCGGCATCAAAAACAACGAGTGGAAATAGGTGGATGGTATGAAGGAATGTATATGAAGCATCAAGTGAATCCGAGCTTTAGGCAACCCATTCCACGGGGGAGGGTCCTTTAAAGATGAGCAGCATCGTACACATCTCTCAACCCCTTCAACAGACAACGAAGCACCCCCACATAGGGGGTTCCTATACACACCATAACGTCCCATCGCGCAAGTAAAGTAACAAAGAGAGCTCTCAAAGAAAGTAACCATGGCCGTTGTTGACCGATGAATAGTTATAATGAAGCTCAAGTTCATCGAGAAAAATAGTTCCGCGGGTGGGGCTAACACAAAGAGTCGTTGGAATGTAAGCTCATCTCATGGAGGAACGAGTAGGTCATACCAAAAAAGGCATCGTCAACCATCTAAAACCTCTCTCTTGGCTCACTTCTCCACTGGGTCGGAGAAGGCCGGCTGCTGAAGAAGCGCCACAGAAGTGCGTAATTGATTAATCAGGGGCAATTCGAGCAATGCGGCTCAAATCCTAGACATTCGAGATGCCGACAATAACCCCAACGCAACTACTAATACACATTGAACATTAGCACTCATTAACATTCAGAAAGTTGTCCAACTTCTAGTTTTCAATTTACCTATGCATCGTTTAGAAAGTGTTGGAATATTTATTCTTTGTTTTTTTTTTTCGAAATTTTCTATTCATAGTCCGTATGAGAAGGTATTCTTTTAACACAAAGCCGTCATATGGTCGAGGGACAAGCAGATTTCCGAAAACAATGCAGTAATCGCACAGACCACCAACTTAAATGACTAATACAGGATAGTCTTCGGCCGTAACAACCATAGAATTGAATATTGTATCAAGGAAGATTCCTATGCAACCTCAGATTCATCCGATATGACAGACTGATATTCGGGTATGTGTTAAGGAAACTGGACAATAAGCCCCCATACTAATACTTCATCTTACCTCATCTATAGGTATAAGTCAATACAAGTGTACATTTTGGCTAGTTAAGGACTCTATTCGTTTTCTTACACCACCCCTAAAGCATATAGCCATCTCCATCAGAAAGGTTACCTGTACCATTGCCTCCACGTTGACCACGTGCAACAACTGTGGGGATCGACAAGGTTTTCGGGGCTAGATATGATGATATCTGCTAAGTACAAAGATGTTATCATAAAGCCCTTTGTATAATAATCATGGACATCTACAATGAGACATACGCCACGAACGCTTCGTCCGCACCAGACCATCTATATTATCATCAATATCGCCACGATCAGCGTTGTTAATTCCAGTACTATGCAAGTTTCCTATACCAGTCATTGCCAGCGATATCACCGAAGACATTGCGATTGTCTTGCTATAACAACCTATAGGCTCTCATCTTACCAACGGCAATAAAACTAACTTGGAAAGCTGTATGCCATGAGAGGCTTATATGAGTTTCTCAATAACCGTCGGTAGTCAGATACATATTGGCGATGGTATAAAGGTTCTCGATACCCTATAGTGTTATTAATACAAAGGAAGTTCATGTATTCACCGTCCCTCATTTGTTTCTAACTAATAAAGCAATCATAATAGAGACCACTGGCAACTCTGCTCCCCGTAGTAAAACTGTCGCCTAATCATCGCTTATTTTATCTTATTCCTACTCTTAATTGGCCTCTTTCGATGAGATCAGGGCCTTTGCGCGATTTGAAAAAGATGACCCCATTACTCAGTAGGTAGCCCTAGTCCGGCAAGAAAGTCCATGATCTCAACATATTCCGTATAATAAAGATTGAAGTAACTAGGGAGCAAAAGCTTAAGTTAATTCGAGCGGGGCGGGCTCCGGTGTGACATCATTTCAAGGGATGAAAAATATACATAGCTTTCTGATATCATTAGGACCTCTCGTCTCCACCACAATCATGGGGATTCTTTATTAAAAATACCAAGGGATCAGTTCTCACATAGCGGTCATCACTACCATCGAAAAACTACTTTTAATGATTTACATTTCCGTATACTTCCGTACACCGAGCCAAGCCGGCCTAGGCGTGTGGGTTCCTTGCTCCGAGCTACAATATCGCTACGGAGTATCATTTAGTGCAAATATGCGTTACAATGTGCATATATGCATTTAAATGGACTATGATAAAAAGGTGATAGACACTAGTACTTAGGTACCTACGGATTTAGCTCAGCATTCCGGACGGATTAAGGTTCAACCTTATTTAGCTCCCGTCTCATGCAGTTCGGCTCTTGCCGGTTTAACCTTAACATTAAGCTTACGGCAGCTAAGTTAACTATGTGGAGTTCAAGTTTCAAAGTTTGGGTCCCGCATATTGCGCATAGAAACCACATCATCATCCACTCGGAATAGTGTCAAAATAAACGACACGTCTTATTAACAATTACGCGATTCTTGAGCGCCTATATCGACTATACTCTTATACTCTATCAATCTACACATGGTTGGCGTCGCAGGGAAGTCGCAGGCTTGCAACACCTGCAGACTGAAGCGATTGAAGGTACGCGATTAAAAGCACATGACGTAATCAACACGGGTGTCGATCCGGTTGCTTTGATATTCCAGGGATGAACTTCCAAGCCTCCAATCTTCAAATCTATACCATTCTGCTAAACTCGTTAGCATTTACCTTGGTCCTTGGTAGACTTTGCTGACGTCACCCCCTGGTAGTGTGATATGACACGACCCTTTTGTTTAAAGTGTATCAAATCAAAACGACAATGTACTGGTTATGGTCGAGATCTGATCTTTGTCAATCGGACTCCTTCGTGTCCGTCGACCACTGCGATGTCGGTATTGTCGGAGCTCAGAGCGCAGGAGGGGCCGAAAAGCGCTTCGCCTAACCCTAAAGCAGAAGCAACCTTGCACCAACTGTTCTCTGAGTCTTCGCACAATTGCCGTGAGTTTCGAATGTACGCTGTCGAGCTACTGGAAGCTATGTATCTCCCAAAGCAGTCGGTCTCTAGTGAGGGAAGCTTTTCATGGGTCTACCATGTAACAGATCTCAATGAGCCTAGCAAATCACTCGATACCGCCCTCTTCGCATTCTGTCTCGCCCAGCTCCATGTTACTGGTACAGGAGGCCCTTCGTTATATCAATGCCTTGACCAGTATAACACTGCCCTGCAGCATCTTTACTCCGATTTAGCCGACTCGGAAAGGAGGTTTCGAGAAGAAACATTGGCCGCTATAGTGGTACTGTCGACATGTGAAGTACGTATAGAGGATAACTTGAAGCACCCTAGCAAGACTAGTCTTTGAGCCCAGATACGATCTAATATATCTCAGTACCACACTTCCTTCTTGACCACAGCATTACTAACAAAGATTATAGCTCTTCGTGTGTCCTGCAGAAAATGGTTGGAGTGTCCACGCACGCGGTATTGCAGAGATCCTTCGATTGCGTGACCCGGGAATGAAGAGTACTCCAGCATGGCGGCATCTGTTTTCGCGTATGAGGATTGTCTGCGTAAGTATAAGGAAGGAAGTCTTCCAGTATATCTTCTAACCATCTAGCAGACCCTGGAAGCTCTGACGAAGAGGCAAGCACAAATTCTCGAAAACGATATATGGCGACAAATCGTAACTGAGTCAGGGTTAGCCGTGGCTCTTGACGAGGTTTATAGGATGATTGCCGACTTCCCCGGCATTCTTGAACGAGCAGTTGCCCTCCCTTCGATTAGCGACCAGAGTGTTCTTCTAAAGGAATCTGCTGCAGTTACGCAATCAATATTAGCCATGGTGGAGTCGGTAGAATCGTGGCACGATGGATTCTGGAAAGCTTCACCAACTCCTCGATCCTGGTCTGTACCAAGTCGCGCAGTAAATCCGGCCGATGCCGACCCTTCAAACAAGATCTTCCCGTTCTGCTTTGAGTTTGAATCACTCAGCGTCGCAGTCCCTGTCGTTATGTGCTGGTCGGTCAGTACCCAGCTATATAGCACTGTTATCCAAATACATAGCCTTGTTCAAGCAAGGCTAGGCCGGCAGATTGATCTCAAAGATCTCCTGTCTCAAGCTGGTGCTACAGTGATAGATGCAGCGAGCCCGTCGGAATCTCCAAACCGGATCACTCTATTACCCAATACAGGTACTGGCCGTTCGATACAAGATATTCAAAGCGAGGGGACAAGGATGGCGCGTTATGTATGCCAGTCAATGGAGTATTTCCATCGAATAGAAATGGGAACATATGGCGGCCACGCAACAACCTATCCATCTTGGAGCGCTCGGCAGTATTTTCGGCTTCATCCGGGCCACGAGCGGGAATGGCTATGGATACAGAATATGCACATGATGGAAGGTCCCAATACACGTTGGGGACTGTCGATGATGACATTTGCGGACATTGCTGAGCCATTGGGTGGCTGGTCAAGATAGGGATCGAGTAGAATCTCACCCAATTTTACTATGTATAAAAATTGTGATTCATCGAATTACCTAGCACTAGTATACCCCTACGAGAGATGCAAGCGACGCCGAAGAACCTTGGCTGACAAAAAGTGTTTAAAAAGTATAGGAGTTCTTGGGGTATAAAACACGAGTGAGTTACGGCGTTAGTATGAGAATCGAGTCGCAACACTTACCAACTTAAAGTATTAAATACCATTTCATTAACTAAGCGCAATGCTTCTAAATACTTTCTAAGCCCTTGGACCCCTCTAACCTAACCATCCTAGTAACCCATGGTCAGGGTTCTTCGTACTTCAACTTAGGTACTTATACTTCTCATTTTCAACTCATATTTTCATAAATGGTAGTCAAGTGATTCACAAGTAACAAGTAGTATAGTCACTATTCCGACAATGTTATAAAACTTCACATAAAATAAACTTTTATAATTTACATAATAGGTACCTATCTTTAGATGTTCAAGCTTTTAAAACCAGTGATTAAGGGACTGTTACCAAACACAGTATGAAACATTCTAGGATGGAATGTGTAGGTGTATCAGTTAAGCTTTCCCTCTTATTCCTAGATACGAACGACTTTAGCATCATCACTATACTCAAGGTACCTATCATATCAAGATCTCGGAGAAGAGATATTATGTTAATTCTCCAAAGTGTAAGTATTACGCTAGTTAGTTACACCTAATTAACTTTCGTCATATCCCCACGACCTTTGGTATTAGGATATATACAGCTAGGGTTATTTTTATACTAACATCTAACTTAAAGAAGTCGGTGAAAGGCTAGGTGACGAATCTTGTGAGACAGCAAAGTAATATTTCCGAGTCAAAGTGAGTATAATAGGAATACTAGTACTACATTGTTTAAGTTGTATGATAAATGAGTCCCAGCTGGCTACTGGTTAGCTACCTATTCAAGAACACCTTTTCCGAGTGTCTCATTTTATTAATAGCTAAGTCACGTAGTCAAGCAGTGCTGAATCGCTCTTGTGTAACAACCAAGAGTCACTGTCTCTAAGGGACTTGGCCAAGCGCCTCTCAGATCCTTTCAACATGTGACCATGGTTAGCAAAAGATCGACACTAGGATCACTCGGGATCCTAATCTTCGTTGGAGTAGTGTGTTCATGTAAGCCGCTGTGTTACAACGATATTGTTACCCCATATGACTTTCCGTGGTACTGGAGTGTATTAGGAGTGTCTCAGACAAGAACATGCACAAGGCCCGCAGAGTATTGTCATACGTACCTAGGTACCGTAGCATTCAGATTACGTGAAGACTGCTTTGTTTGGGAGAATTCCTACTACTAAAAACTCGGGATATATATGCCGATGATGACAGCTGACGGCGGCTGACCTAGGTACTTAACAAGTATTAATTTTCTATAGAAAAGTATCCTAATACAACATTGTAACTGAACTTTCCTTATCTTTGTCTTATATGCAGTTCGATTTTACCAGACTTGTAAGGTGTGACTATTTTATCTTCATATATGTGAGTATAGGTGGTAGCTATATCAATCTTAAAGTTTGGACGTTTAATGTTTATATTCAATTTCCCATACAAGTTAGGTAGTAAGCCCATGTTTTTAATTTGAGTGATGCTATTTGTAGATTACCGTGCCGGTCCTACAACGTAGATTACCCCACAAAACAGGTGTATACAAGTGTTGACTAAAATTATTGTAAATTGATATCCAATAATTCTACCTTACTGCACTTACAAAAGTTCAATATTTTCAATGATAATAATAGATATTTACAAATCTTTTGACATATTTGAATTCCTTACATTTAAACTAATTGATTGATACTAAATTTGAAAGAATGCGACCGTGTTTCATAGTGCAATTGAAAAAGTAATCTACGAATAAGAGGTACTAATCTGCAAATAAGGCTATACTCATCTGTGAATAGTGGCATGTAATCTACGGATAAGGCCAACTAATCTTATATTTCTCGGCCACAACAGCATATTTAACAATAGTTACTTATATAAACTAAATCAGCTTAATAAAGCCAATCTAATGATATTACAATCGTATAGTAATACCGTGTTTTGGTCAAGATATTAAGGAGTGACAAGAAATAGGTAGTCGGCCTGGCAGGCCTGGCGGACCTGGTCAGGTGACCTACCTTGTAAGAAACGTTCCCACGATTTTAATACATCAATACATCAATACATCAATTAGATCAATTAGATCAATTAGATCAATTAGATCATTAAGAATATTGTCAATATAAAATTAGCAAGCATCGGCCGCATTCTGAGAAGGTTACGAAACAGAATGGGGCCATGTCATTTTACTAATAATTTTGGTTGCCAGTTACTTACACCTGTTCTGTGGGGTAATCTACGTGGAAGGGCTGTCATGGTAATCTACAAATAGCATCACTCTTTAATTTACATACACTACGACTTCGTGCTTATTTGTAAGCCGTGTTCTTCATCTCGGCCTTCGCAATGAACTTCGCCATGCGCCTAAATGCTTTTAGTTAATCATCGCCTCATGATGCCGTGAGATAAGACAATGCACCGCCTTTACTTCGTATCAAAGGGTTATTACTTGCGGGGTATTATATAATAGAAAACTTGTTATGAGACCAAAGTACCTGTAATGAACCTTGAGTGACCTCTTCTTGGTATCTTGGCATCTAAATTTGATACCTAAAGCATACGGCTCTTCTTAATTGGATACCGTAGTTTTTCCTCGCCCCACAGATCTGGAAACTTCTTCAATCTTCCCAATACCAAGGTAGGAAATGCTTCTTTGATAAGCTAGGAACGGCAAGATGATTCGATGGCTGAAATCAAGACTACGTAAGGGCGCAACATGCATCCAAATGTGGTAATCGGATAATCTAGATTGCGCAGATCTCATAGGGCACGGAGTCACGATGAGTGATGTAGAAGATAACTAAGGCATCAGATGATAAATGGGCGATGCGGTCAACGGCCATTGCTGCACTCTATGTAGAAATCTACGAGGGGTTGAGATGTACAGATCAATTCTTAGGAGATGCATACGATGGTTGGTATGTCGTGTGTTATCGTGGTGGTATGATATTGAGAGGGGGGTTTAAAATGCATGAATACTAAATCCCAAGAACTGGCTGGTGGCGCTGGTACTGCATTAAGTACCTCCCAGATACATGTATGGATCTAAATTGCAATGAAGGATCTGACCTTTCGATAATCAGCAGCCTTCCCGCAAGCTGTCAGTACTTTAATAATCTGACAGCATCAAGACGCGCGCAGGGGTCAGAAGTGCCACCAAGTGATACCCGGAACTGATAAAACTGTTACACAACGCTATAATTGCGGCACGGTAATTACCTACGGTTTATAGACCTTGTCATGCCACGTTGTAGCAATTTGTGAACTTTGTTTATAATTCATTAAGGTTGTGTCGCATATATGTGCATACCTGTTAAGCTTGTTTATATATTTAAGTAAGTAATTAAGTATAAGCCATTGAAAAGACTAATATGCGGGAAGTATTGAAATAGTATAGATTGAGTTTTACCTAATCTCGTCTGTTTCGGAATGTTTTTAATTGATCTGCCCTATTTGTTGGCATGTACCTATGTATATTCCGTAATACCGTAATAGGCCTGTAGGTCCATATATCTGCCGCATATTTACAGCACCAAATGCGGCTCTTGCCTGCGCCAAGATCTTACAACGAAAAATGATGCTGTATAGGGATTAGCATACTTATCTGCGCCAAGTATTCTTTCGACGAAAGATGGTTCCCAATGAGGATTAAAGCGGTGTCCGAATATACTACATTTCTAATCCGTAATCATTTACCGATTATAAGTACGTGAGACAGGAGTCACTCTTGAAATTCCACACTTTGTCGACAATTAATTCCTCAACTCTTCCCTTACCTTCCCTTACCTTCGCTTGTCAGTAGCCAAGTCAAGATGAAGTCTAACGCGGATATTGAGTCTCAGGCCCCGACTGTCCTCGACGACTCGAGCGATCGCAAATCAGAAAAGTTCGAGAACGGCTCACCCGAGAATGGATATACTTCGGATCCGACGTCAGAGCGAGCTGAGAACACGCCTCCCTCTGGCCCTGATCCAAACGCGTTCCCGGATGGAGGTTTTGAGGCATGGTTCTGCATTGCTGGTGGATTTTGTACAGTTTTCTCCAGTTTTGGTTGGGTGAATTGTAGGGTGCCAATGCTTATGGAGAACTAATATAACATTTCGCTGACTAAGATAATAGGTATTGGTGTTTTCCAGGACTATTATCAAGCCAACCAACTCGCAGCGTATACGCCTAGCGACGTAGCATGGATACCGGCAGCAGAGTCATTCATGCTTTTCTTCCTCGTGGGACCATGATAATACGCCTTTTTCGTTTGCTCTATTGCTAATCATTTCATAGGGTTTAATTTCTGGCAAAGTAGCTGACAACTATGGCCCTCGATGGCCACTGCTTTTCGGATCCATTCTGCACGTTTTGGGAATGATGATGATCTCGATATCTAAAGAGTACTACCAATTCTTCCTTGCCCAGGCCATATGCAGTGGAATTGGAACCAGTTTTCTATTTTATCCTAGTGAGTAATATCTGCATAACTGCGAGGGCGAAACCTGTAGTTAACAGCGCTTAGCTATTGCTGCGGCTGGGACTTGGTTCAAGAGACACCGAGCGTTAGCATTCGGTATTATGGTCTCTGGATCTAGTCTCGGCGGTGTGGTGCTTCCAATCATGGTCCAACACTTGATTGTAGAGGTCGGCTTTGGATGGGCAATGCGTATTGTTGCCTTCCTAATCCTTGGACTTTTGATCTTTGGCAATATTGCCGTCAAGTCCCGTCTCCCCCCTGTCCGAAAGCCCTTCACTATTAAGGAATATTTTGTTCCCTTTACCGAGTTACCGTTCCTACTTCTCGCCGTTGGTTCCTTCTTTGTCTACTTCGGCGCTTTCCTCCCGTTCAACTTCATTATTGTTGAGGCGAAGGAATCAGGCATGTCGGCCGACCTTGCGAACTATCTTGTTCCAATCATTAATGCGGCAAGTATTTTCGGAAGAATCTTCCCAGCTCATCTTGGAGACGTATATGGAGTCTTCAACGTCTGCATTATCTTCACGCTTTTCTCTGGAATCATCACTCTTGCTCTGTGGCTACCAGCGGCCGCGGTTGCTCCAATTATCGTCTATGCGGTGCTGTACGGATTCGCTTCGGGATTAACTCTGGCGATCATCCCCGCACTTGTGGCTTCCATATCTGATATCCAGAAGTTGGGCTTCCGAGTTGGCACACTATATGCTTTCTCCTCATTTGGTGCCTTATTTGGCAGCCCTATCGCTGGAGCCATTGTGACTGCCCAGGGCGGCTCTTATTCTGGTCTCAAGATCTTCTGTGGTATCTCACTGCTTGTGGTAAGTATATCTAATAAAATTAAACAATAACTACGTCCAGATGGCTAATGTTCGTAGGGTGGCGCGGCCATTATTATCTCGCGTGTTATATTGGTAGGTCCTGGACTGCTGGTCAAGAAATAAGGATTATGTCCAGATCTGCATAGGTTAGATAAGGGACATTTGGGGTAGTCCTCATAAAAGACGGAGATGTAGGGGAGAGTTAAGGAATATTTATTTTACTACATTAAAGCGACATATATCCAACTAGAGCATAATAAGGCTTAGGGTAGAGGGCTATGCATATAGGGCGGCATAGTATAATTTAAATTGTTTGGAATTTAGTTTACCTAGTGGCTTGTACATGAAAGTGACCTACTAATGCACATCATTGAGGGAGCTATGTATGTCCTCAACTGCCAGAAGAGCACAATTTTTGCTTGGTAAATTCAACACTGGGGTGTGTTCAACCAGAACGCAATAAACTGCTGATACCTTACTTTATGAGGAAGGTCCCTTTGTTGCTTCAGCCAATAACACTTTGCATATGTTTTGTTCCCTTCTAGCACTCGAGGGCAGAACGTTGATTACCAAACGAGGAGGTAGATCAAAGGTATATCCACATTGCGCAAGTTTGGTTTGTATAAGTGGTCTAGAGGAGTCGAATCCTGTTCAGGGGATGCTTAGTGAAAGCCTATGCTTCCTATGCTTCCGAGACCCTAGTCAAAATAAGCTGTGCCACGGCTGTACATATAACAGGAATCAAACCAAGACACTCAAACTATGTACGGAATATATACTTCATTGATCAATTATTTTAGATAGTACGACTAATAAAACGATGTGGTTTTATAATATATTTGTCTCTTAATTGTGTCCCCTCTGGTATATTAGGTACTGAATGAACTATTTACATGTAATTTTCGTACTTTGTTACTTTGTTATCGTTGCCTTTTCTTTACACCAATTCTCCACTGATATATGTACCCAGGTACCGTTCTGTAGCACACGAGGTTTGCCGGGATTTGGTTATAAGGCTAGCAGGGATCTACAATGCAGTCAGCCAGGTCGTACATAGCCTAGACAGGGTTATTAAGTGCAGGCAGATGACAAATAATATACGTAAGCCACATAAGTCCCTTAACTTCAACCTTACCGGGCTACCTCATAGGTACGCCTAATTGCACGTACGCGTCCCATCAAGGTTGTTGTATACGAAGTCTTAGAACGACGCCATCGCTTCACACTAGGTTTTATCATAATTTATCCCCGAAGTTTAACCTATTATTACTGCTAAAAACCGATCTAATGCTAGCACGTTTTTTTTATACATACATACAGATTGTTATCAGATTCTTGACTATTTCGAGCTAAGACATGGAGGGGTAGATTCTAGAAAGTCTAGAGGTAGGCTATATGAATTCGTTGCAGAAAGCTACCTATCTTACAGTAGCCCCTTGATGCTATCCACAACACCCACAACGGATTCCTTGAATGTCCTGTACTTCAAGCCAAGAACCTCAATACTCTTTCTGTTGTCGTACCCATTCACTCCTGTAGCAGGTCTCTCACCAGGCTTCAAGGCCTCGCCAACTGGCATCTTGTCCTTGTACTCGGGATATTCTTCGCCTATAATCTGAGCGGCTTCGGCATTGCTGTAGTTTCCTGCAGTAACTAGGAAGCGCTGGCCTGCTGCCTCCGGTTTCTCCAAAGCTCGGACGTGTGCCAAAGCCAGGTCTCGCACGTCCACGAAAAGATAGTTGACCGTGGGGGGGCAAGGGGTTGTGGGGCTACCTTTGAGTAGGCTCACGAACCGAGCATTGCTAGTGTTAATCGAGTCAAGGGAGGAGAGTGCGTGAATGACAGGGCCATAGACCATGGGTGGGTTGATAGTGGTGAGGGCGAAGCCAGGCTTTTCATCCTTGACGAAATCCCATGCTGCCTTCTCGGAAAAGGTCTTGCTTGCTAGGTAAGCGAATGGGGCACTTGAATAAGCCTGCTCCTCGGTGATTGGGTTCCAATCTACTTCGCTGTAGACATGTGTCAACGGCTTGCCATAGTCGACCATGGCCGCGTACGAAGAAGTGATAACCACGCGCTTCACTGTGGGGGCATGGGCCTTGATGGCCTTGAGGATACCAGTTGTACCGTTAATGGCCGTGCTGATAAGTTGATGGATTTCATCACGTGTTTTGGCGTTGAAGTGGTAAGGGCTGGCACAATGAACCGCTGCGTCGAACGGTGGGTCCGATACTACAGCCGAATCGAAGGCTATTGGTACTATATCAGTATATTTTCTACAGTAGGTACTTATTCGTTCCGGGGAAGAAGTAACATACCTCCAGGCTTCTCGATATCTTCGACGACGACGAAGTCGAGTTTATCTTTGCCATATTGCTTGTGTGAGTCAAGGATCTGTTGACCTTTCTGTGCGGATCGAACAGTACTCACAACAGAGTAGCCATGCTCCAGCAGACTCTCTAAAATGTGAGCTGCGATAAAGCCTGATCCACCAGTGAGAAGTACACGAGTCATCTTTGCGTCGGAATGAAGTGTGGTTGCTGGTTTCTTCCAACCTGATGTTCTGATAGATAAGGGCTTTTAAAATACTCGAGGAGGGGAAGACGGTAACATCTGGACGGTCTATCATTCTTCTGTTGACGGAAGCATAATGCGAATACGGCGCGTAGGAAGCCGTCTAAGGATGAGACTTCCTTACGAAACCAAGATGTGGATTATACACTACGTAGCATTGACCGCAACTTGATGATAATGCAGGTGTTTAGCGTAGGATCACGTCTTACAATGCATGAGGGTAGCATCCATATCCCTGTAACCAAAGGGATTGACTTCAAATGATCCTTCTCCACTTAATAAAAATTATAAACGAGGTAATTGAGGCTGATCTCAAAGCTCGAAAATTGTGAAGTCTTTATCCCAGTATTCAAGTAGTTAAGAGAATTACAGATTCATGTTTATAACTATGTGTAATGTGTAAGCAATAGATTCGACGTGCAGAATTAAGATGATATACGGAATACGGAATAACTAACTAAATACTTTATTTAGATTAGACACACACTCTGCTAAGCATTGTGATGCGATATACTATACGACGGCGCCGGCCCGCTCCGTATTCCGATTTGCATTCGAGTGAGCTGGGCGTAAGCACTATAAAAACCGGGATGCTCGTCCTTTAAATGCAAACTACCGGGTATCACATCAAGTTAGCCACGAAACTAGCAACTGTATCAAGCTTTGCATTCCGTATTGGCGCTTCGAGAGCCGTGGGGGTGCCGGCATGGCATACATGATACCCCTACCGGGAACGGGCAAACGGGAAGGAATCACAGCATCTAGGATCGAGCTAATCAACATGCTCAAGGTTGATGATAGCAGTGCCCTCTAAGACTCAATAGATTCACCAAGTTGATTCGGGAGCCCGGGCGCTTGCGAATCCGACCTATCTGGACATGTAAGTTGGCTTGGCTAAGTTCAAAGAGAGGCTGAAAATCCATGATACGGAATAGCAAGCCAGGGCGGCGGGCGCACCAGTGCAACACCAGATTCTCAAAAGACCCATGCTGCAAGCCGAGACCGTGGCCGGGTGACATCGGCAAGGGAGGAACCGGAGGATGATGAAGACAGGGAGGCAAAAGCCGCATCTGCTTAGTCGTGGATAGGAACAAGGATTGTGATATAAGCTTTGGGAAGGATGTGGCGCAATATTGCGAAACAGAGATTTGCGAAACATGCCGCGATTACTATCGAAGTTGCGAGTCTCGGCTGGCTGTCATTTTCCGTTTGAGATAAACCACCGCAGGAACAAGGACAAAATCTTAACGTCATACTAGATATCGACTAGGAAGATAGGCCTAATGGGAATCCTACACTGCAGGCAGGGCTTGATTCTGCAGATACGAAATAGGCGCCGGCACATTAATGTATCAGGTAATCATGCAATGTACGTCGGTGGCACTATTCGGAATAATTAACCTAGTATGCAGTCCCGTTCGATCCTTACGGGCCTCCCCATTCCACACTATACTAACTGATTACGAAGCTATACTAGTATATCGTTCTGGATGAGGTGAAGGTGGTCTGATACCCGTTGAGGCTAAGGAAATAAGGAAATTGATTACGCACAGCTTGGCGATCAGACATGTGAATGGAAAGTCAGCAAGAACAACATGTGAGATGTTTTAATCGCAACGTAATACCTATAATGTCTATATGAGCCCAAACATGACATAAGCTTAGCAAATACATACATACCTAAGGTAGCTACCAAACTAATCTCACTATTGTAATATTTAGGTAAATATGCAAATATAACTTAATTGATTTTAATATTATCATAAATGACTTGCTGGTTAATAATATGGAACATGTATGTAAGGTGAGAATGTTCGATATAGTACAACTAGTCGAAAATGAATTAGGTACCTAGTAAGGTAACCCGAATCGCCGATGTTGCCATCAAGCTTACTATTTTCGCCATTATAAGTGAGATTCCTTAATAAGCTATAGCGAGTCGATTCGGAGTTTCAAATTACATACGCGGAGATATGGAAGCTGCTGTAGATAATATTTGCGAAGTGCCCACTAATACCTGTAAGATCCATAGGTAATCAGCACATCAGGACTCAACTAAGACTTAGTTTATACTCTTTCAGGAATGTGATTATAAGCTCCACCAATCAGACTTGACGGCAAAAGTACCTGCAGCTTCCGCTAAGCATCGGGATGATGGGATATCTTGTTACCGATTCTGACATCACGTCTAAGCCTAGCTCAACCATAATGACTTGTTGAAGGGATGGGATCGTGCAGGTCTTCTGGACCTTATCGTCGCAGCTCACGTTTCCCAAAACGTGTTCACTGTTGCGTTCCCCTGCCGATCTGCACGAGGGATGGACCTATCAGGAAGTTATCCGTGTAAGTGCTATCATCTTCAGCCTCGCAGCATAATGCGATATCGCAAGAAGGAAGACGTGTAGGCAGACGAGTCTCGGTATGTCTTGATTATAAAAAGGTCGAGAGGACTCATTATACTTGGGTTTTCTATCTTGAATCATTGTCTTCATTCACTTTCCAACAGAATCCGCCCTATAGGACAGGACGAGCGGACTGATACACCTCAGGCCTTACTTTGAATCGCTATCTTCATTCACTTCGAACATACAACTTGTCGAATTCTCTTTTTCAGATCGACAACACCGACAACACCGACAAAATGAGTCAACCAACAGGACGCTACATTGAGCCTGTGGCCATCTGCGGAATGGCCATGCGCCTTCCAGGCGGCGTCAAGACTCCTGAAGACTATTGGGATGTGTTGTACCACGGCAAGGACCAAAGGTCCCCAGTACCTCTCTCCCGTTACAACATTAAGGGATTCAACAGCGATATGGGCAAGACGAACACCGTCTATCAAGATCATGCCTACTTCCTGGAAGACGACCTAGCTGCCTTTGACGCTGGTCTATTCACAATGACCAGGAACGAACTAGAAAAGGCTGACCCGCAACAACGTCTACTCCTGCTCGTTGTCCGTGAGTGCCTGGAGAGTGCGGGTGTAACTGACTACCGGGGTAGTCTTACAGGCTTCTTCGTTGGCACCTTTTCAGAGGATTGGTTACAGACACAGTCCAAAGAAGAAATGCACCCTACTGGGTATGTTCTTACAGGTCATCTCGACCCGATGCTGGCAAATCGGGTTGCCTTCGAGTATGATCTTCGTGGCCCTGCGTAAGTCGACCCTTTACCAATGATAGACGAGCTAGTTTAGGTACTAACAACATTATAAAGCTTTGTCATCAAGACAGCATGTTCCTCCTCCATGATTGCACTTCACAACGCAGTTCGATCTGTTCAGAACCGTGACTGCAATGCTGCAATCGTGTCTGGATCCAACCTGAACATGACACCCATAACCACTGCTTCTATGACACAGGAAGGAATTATGTCCCCTGAGGGTTCGTGCAAGACCTTCGACGCACGTGCTGATGGGTATGGACGTGGTGAAGCAGTGAATGCTATCTACATCAAGCCGCTATCTGATGCCATCCGAGACGGCAACCCGATCAGAGCAGTCATCCGGAACACTGGTGTCAACCAGGATGGTCAAAGCACTGGTCTATTCGCTACCAGTATCGTGGCGCAAGAGGCACTGATGAGAAAGGCATATGTCGATGCGGGTCTGGACCCGGCTGAGACTGCTATGGTTGAGGTAAGGGTCGACTATTGGTAATGCTACTTTAGTGATCTAACTAACATGTCTCTTCAGTGTCACGGAACCGGAACCCCAGTAGGAGACCCCGTCGAGGCGATCTCTGTTGGAAATGTCTTTGGCCAGCCCAATGGTATCTACATTGGATCTGTCAAGCCTAACCTTGGTCACTCGGAAGCCTCAGCGGGTATCTCGAGTTTGATGAAGGCTGTCTTGGCCTTGGAGCACAAGATTATCCCTCCCAACATCAAGTTCGAGGTTCCTAACCCCAGAAGTGAGCTTTCCCGTCTAACTACGTCAACTCTGAAGGCTTACTCTAACATATTCGTAGTTCCATTCGAGGAGAAGAAGATTTCCATTCCTGTGAAGCCTATGCCTTGGCCTAAAGGAAAGGCATACAGAATCAGCGTGAACTCCTTTGGCATCGGCGGTACCAATGCCCACGTAAGTTCGCTCCTCTAATACAACTCCACCTATACTCACAAATAACTAGGTTATCGTTGAATCCGCCGAGCAATACCTCAAGGATTTCACCAAGTCTCGGTTCGGTGCCGAGCTTGCTCTTGTCTCCGCCAACTCTCAGGATTCCCTGAAGGCTGGAATTGAGAACCTCAAGCAATACGTTTCAAACAACTCCGATCGTCTACCTGACATTGGATACACCCTTGCTCGACGCAGGGAGCATTTCAAGTGGAGATCATTTTCGGTCATCTCTGATGCGGCTGCGGCGACCTTCGCTCCCCCTACTAACAAACCCGCCAAGAAGCCTACTGTTGTCATGGTATTCAGCGGACAAGGTGCACAATGGCCACAGATGGGTCACGACCTGATCAACTCGTACCCCGGATTTAAGGAAGATGTGATTGCAATGGATGACATCCTACAGAGCTTGGGCGATCGCAAGCCGACATGGAGGGCTATTGAGGAGTTGAGCAAGCCCGCCGGCGAGAGTCAGTTGGGTCGTGCTGAGCTGGCCCAGCCTCTATCCACAGTTGTTCAAATTGGTATTGTTAATGCGCTGAGGCGCCTTGGTGTCCGCCCGCAGGCCGTGGTGGGCCACTCCAGTGGTGAAATTGCTGCAGCCTATGCCGCGGAGGCACTCACACTACGCGAAGCTGTTACTTCGGCTTGGTACCGTGGCCACGTCTCGAAGCAGTCCACTACCCCTGGTGGAATGGCTGCCATCGGTTTGGGCGCTGAAGAGACACGAAAGCTCCTCCCTGAGCGAGTCGTCGTTGCCTGTGAAAACAGCCCTTCAAGCACGACCATCTCAGGTGACGTTGATCAGCTACAGACGGCATTGTTTAACATCAAGTCCGCTCTGCCTGATGCTTTCGCTCGCGCTCTCAAGGTGGAGATGGCTTACCACTCCCACCACATGGTGGCCTTGTCGGACGCGTATAAGGCATGCTTGAACGATGAGTTCGCCAACTTCGCTCAGGACCGAGAGACACTTGAAGTCCCTCTCTTCTCCAGTCTGAGGGCCAAGAAGATCACCGACGTCAAAGAATTTGGACCGCAATACTGGGTCGACAACTTGACATCCCCTGTCCTTTTCAACTCTGCTGTCCAGATCATCACGGAAGAAGTTAAGAACCCTCTTTTCCTCGAAATCGGTCCTCACTCCACCCTCCAGGGACCCATTCGTGAAATTTGCGCCAGCCGCAACGCGAAGTTCGAGTATGTCCCGACCATGCTGAGAAACAAGAACTCCACACAGTCCTTCCTGTCTGCAGTAGGACAACTCTACCAGCAAGATGTCACCGTCGACTTCGCCTCTCTGTACCCATCTGGCCAGGTTATTACCAGCATTCCCAAGTACCCCTGGTCTTTGAAGGAGACTTACTGGTATGAGCCAAGAATATCCAAGGAGTGGCGTCTTCGTCCGTATGGTCACCACGAGCTTCTCGGCCGCAAGGTTGCTGAAAGCACCACGCTTAACCCTTCATGGAGATTGATACTTGTCACTGATCATGTTCCGTGGATCACCGACCACAAGGTCCGTGAAGACACTGTTGTCCCTTTCGCTGGTTACGTGGGCATTGCAGGTGAGGCTATCCGGCAATTCACTGGAATCCAGACGGGATACGGCATCAAGAACACCCGAGTTACCACAGCGTTGGTTCTAGGCGAGACACCAAAGGAGATCTACACCTCGCTCCGACCGATCTCAGGATCTGACTACTTTGAGTTCATCATCGCATCTCACAATGGAACGACCTGGATTACCCACTGCGAAGGTTTGGTTAAGGCTATTGACGGTGAAGCGCCAGCAGCTGAGCAACAAGCTGAGCTTCCTCGAAAAGCTGATGCGACCAGATGGTTCGACACCTTTGCCAAGGTTGGCTTCAACTATGGCCCCAAGTTCCAGCTCCTAAGCGACTTGTCTGCCGCTACAACCACCGATGCTGCAGCTGCATCGGTCAACACCACTGAGGAGATCATGAAGGGACCATTCCTCTTCCACCCCACTACCATGGATGCTTGCTTGCAGCTTTCCATCATTGCCGGGTCAAAGGGTCTGCCGCGCAACTACACCGAGCTTAAGGTGCCTACCGAGATCGAAGAGCTAGAGGTGTACCGTGGAGCATCATCCATGCGAGCTGTGGCCCAGAGCACGGCCGATGGCTCGGCTATGAATGTTGACTGTGTGGCAGATGGTAAAACTCTGCTGCGCATCCGTGGTCTTCGCTTCACGCTTCTGCCTGACGAGGACGCTGGTCCTAAGCACCACACCGACGGTGCCTACCTTGAATGGCGCCCCGATTTCGATTTCAGGGATGAAGCTTCTACTCTCGTGAAGCCCCCGTCCGACGAGGCTGCTACCCGCCTTTTGGAAGAGTTTACTCTCCTGTCCATCTTGGATTCCGCTGAGCGTATCAAGGGCAAGTCAGCCACCAACGGCCACTTCGAGAAGTACGGAAAGTGGATCTCTCTCAAGGCTGACGCTGCCGCCAGCGGCAAGTCGCCAGTTCTTGGAGATATCTCCAACTTCCTTTCCCTGTCGAGCAGCGAGAGGGCTAGCCTAATTGCTGACAAGTATGCTCAACTGAGCAAGATCCCCTCAAGGGCTCCTTATGCAGTCGCGATCGGACAGATCCGTGAGAACATCGAAGGACTGTACACTGGTTCCGTGGATGCCGCACAGCTCCTGATGGAGAATGATATCCTGTCCAATGTTTACACTGCTATCAACTTCGACTATGCCGGATACGTCAGCGCATTGTCGAACTCCCGACCCGCTCTTCGAATCCTCGAGATTGGTGCCGGAGCAGGTGGTACTACTGAAACCATCCTGTCCCAAGTCGTCCAGGACGGCAAGCTTCCTCCTTACTCGGTGTACACATACAGCGATGTTTCGCCTGGTTTCTTCCCTCAGGCCCGTGAGCGTTTCGCCAATGCACCCAACCTAGAGTACAAGGTCTTTGATGTCAGCAAGGACCCTCTTGCACAAGGTCTTGAGGCTCACTCATACGACCTTATCCTGGCCCCCTATGTTGTCCACGCAACTCCCTACCTCAAGGAGACCTTGAAGAACCTGAACGCGGTGCTGAAGCCGGATGGCCGACTTCTGCTCTCTGAGCCTGCAACCATCGGAAGCTCGCCTAACTTCATCTTCGGAACTTTCTCATCGTGGTGGTCTGGTGAGGCTGATGGTCGTGAATGGGAGCCCTTTGTTTCCAACGCCCGTTGGGACGAAGACCTCAAGTCTGCTGGATTCACTGGCGCAGACAATGTTGTATACGACGCACCACTACCATTCCGATACTGGTCGACCATTATCACGCAGCCCAAGACCACTTCGAGCGAGAAGAACGCTCCTGTTGTCTTAGTCACCGAGAACAGCGAGAGCAAGCTGACTTCCGAGCTGGCTGACGGATTGTCCAAGTATGGCATTGATGTCGTCAAGAAGGGTCTTTCGGAGGACGTCGCCAACGAGCACAATGTTATCTTCGCTCTGGACCTTGAGAGGCCATTCTTCGAGGACATCTCTTCCGAGAACTGGACCATCTTCAAGAATCTGCTCAAGAACGCCGAATCGATCTCGTCACGAAAGCTGCTCTGGCTACTCCCCCCTGCGCAGAAGAACACCAAGAACCCCAAGTCTGGTCTGTCGATTGGTCTTCTACGATCCATCCGTGCAGAGCTCGACCTGTCTCTGACTACTTTGGAGGTCGACCCGGCTGAGTCCGACCTGGCTAGCTACATCGCTAATGTCTTCAACAAGGTTGTTGAAGAGGACCTCTCCCAGTCCCTGCTCCCCGACAGGGAGTTCTTGGTCGAGAACAGCACAATCAACGTTGGCCGATACCTACCTTTCTCTATCTCTTCCGAGGTGTCCAGCAAGGCGCAAAATGTAAGTCTAAATCATACTCAAGACTGGAACAGGCAACTAATTATCCGACAGGGCGCTACTGGCGAATTGAGCTTCGACCCTGAAGCTTCTTACATCATCACTGGTGGTCTCGGTGGTCTTGGAAAGGCCATTTCCTCATGGATGGCTGAGCGGGGTGCTCGTTACATCACCGCGATCTCCAGGTCTGCTGGTCGTTCCGCCGAGGACAAGGCATTCATTGCTGAGCTGAAGAGCCAGGGATGTGTCCTCACTCCAGTTGCTGGACCTATCCAAGACTTCGAGCTCGTCAAGTCTGCCGTTGCGCAATCGCCTAAGCCTGTCAAGGGTGTTATTCACTTGGCCATGGTTCTTCGGGACGCTCTTTTCCCTGAGATGACACACCAAGAGTGGACTGAGGGTCTCTCGCCCAAGGTTGATGGTGCCTGGAACCTCCACAACGCTCTGAAGGATGCATTGCTAGACTTCTTCGTTGTCACCAGTTCCATCGTCGCTACAATCAACGTCCCCGGTCAGGCTAACTACAACGCCGCCAACACTTTCTTGGAGGCTTTCACCCAGTACCGAAACGGACAGGGTCTTGCCGCATCTGCCATCGCTGTCAGCCCTATCGACGACATTGGTGTCGTCGTTGGCAACGACAAGGCTCGTCGCAACCTCCGCTCTAACGGTCTTCAGTTCCTTACTGAGCGTGAAGTCCTCGAGTACATTCACCTCGGCATTCTGCACCGTGGCCCCTCACCCATTATCATGGGTCTTCACTCCGACACTCACTTGGAGGACTCTGGCAACCACGTGGCTTGGAAGAAGGACCGCCGCATGGGTCTTTACCACAACATTCCCAAGGAGGACAACGCCGACAGTAGCTCGGGTGAAGGCGATGGTTTCCGCGAGTTCCTCGCCAACGTCACCGCCAACCCCAGCGAGCTCGACAAGCCCGAGAGCGCCGAATTCCTTGCTCTGGAAATTGGCAAGCGCGTCTACTCATTCATGCTTAAGCCCATTGAAGAAGTTGACGTTTCCGTCAGTCTAGTCGACGTCGGACTTGACTCGCTCATGGCTGTTGAACTGCGACGTCTCTGGACCCAAATGTTCGGCACGACCATTAGCGTGCTGGAAATTATGTCCCTGGGTGCATTGGAGAACTTCGGTAAGCTTGCGGCCCAGGGCCTAAAGCAGCGACTATTGGAAGGTTAAGAGAACCAATCGGGTTGGATAACTGTGGCGTCGAGGGGTGTATAAGTCAGTTGTTGGGAGGTTTTACGAAAGCAATGTACGAAAAATTTCCGATAGATATTTCTTATGAGTGTGCATAGGATCATCTAGCTGTATAAATATTACGAATCTTTTATAAATATTTGTTTGACTTTATTCATAATTCTCAGTGATATGCTGAGAAGTACTAGTCTCAAAGTTGTAAATGAGAAGAATCTTTAAGTATAGGTAAACTCCATTTAATCACAGTAGAATGCACCTCTTTAAGCTAAAACTGTATAAAATATGATTTGGTATTTTAGATCTACCGAACTTGTACAAGAGGTACGTGATATATGCTGGAATTTAACAAAATGTCATCGTATTTATTCAAATTGTACCTACATTTTATATACCCCGGTATGTAAGGTAGGTGGTACGCACTGTGCTACGCCACCAACATACCTGTGATAAGTAGAATTAAATTTGACAAGAGTAGGTAGGTACTCGTTATACAAATCACATCAATACGGGTCTACTTGCAGTAACTTGCCCAACTGATATCGGTGTTGAGCTTTATGTAAGATTGCTTCTGTTAAAGAGGCCCTTGCCTCGACCTAAGTTGAGATCAACTCGTAAGTGTTAGGTATGTAAACCGCAGACACACTATCATCATGCCATATATACGTGTAAAACAACATCGTGTGTAAATATACAACGGTATCCCAAACCGTCTTGCTCCCAAACCCATTTCTGTTATTAAATCCTGGTAAACAGTTCATGTAGTTGAAACAAACCCACGCAGCCTTTGAACAGCCTGCAACCACATACCCTAAACGCCAAGTTGAATGCCAATGATGGTCCTGTATACCGGGCCCAACCTTCCCACAAACCGATGGACCGATGGACCGATGCTATGCAATTCCCTATTGTCGCCGTGACCCAACCGCTAACAATGCCTGCCTCCTGCCTTGGGGTATATATAAAAGGACGAAGATAAACCAAAAATTCATGAAAGAAAATAAAATAACCCGAAATCATGTCGCCGTTGAGCTCGTCGGAGTCGTCGATGCCGGATTTATTGTAGAATCCTCCTGTTGTGTCTCCTTTGGTTGTGTCTTGGGCCTCCTTCGCATCCTCGGTGCGCTCTTCCTCATATTCTTGCACCGCATAGCCGTCTCTAATGATGTTCTGTATTTGAGATGCCCAAGTTTTCTAATTCCATCCGGACCGCTAGCATCTCTCAGACTTAGAATCTCACTGGGAGCCTGTTCGTCAGGCTGCGTACAAATTCCCTCGTCGACCTCTAGTACCGTGTTGTTATCGTATGGTATTCGCAAACCCCTGCGACTGGCGGGACCGGCGGACGGCGCCGGGTCGGCCGAAGAGGGCAGTCGAGGTGCTTGAACTAAAGCAACTGGTCTCGATATATGTACGTTGCATTGTTCTTCGTTTTCGATCATGTTCGCCATTAAGTCTAGCCTACGAAGGTTTGAACCCCGACTCTGAAGGCTCATCTCTGGCTGTTCCTGTTTATCTTGCGTGACGATACTAGAAGTGAAGTTCCCATCCATAATGGGATCGCCAGGTGGATTCGCCATTCTCTCGTAGTGTTGGGGCGGTCTTAATTCTGTTATGTACTGATCGCTCGGAGGTTCGGTAAGATTACTATAACTAAACTCGTTCGAAGGCTCAGATATGTGTGGCGGCGTTTGTATTTCCATTTGCATTGGCTCTGGGTTTATTGGTAAGCTGGAATTGGCCTGACAGCCTCGCGACTCCATTGCCGATGCAATTAGCGATTCCCGCACCAACGTTTGTTTGCTCATCCTTCGAACAAGACCTTCTATGCGATCGCCGTCTGAACGGGCTGGACTCGCTGCCGACGTTGACATGGCAGGCGAGGAATCTTGGTATAGTTTACTTTCCGGAGACGGCGACGGGTCATCGTCATCTAGTGGGATGTCGGAGTCCATCTTCTGGTTGGAAGCGAAAGACCCGGACATGTTTCGATGGGCGAAACATCTGGAGAGTAGAAAAGCGGATAGAGATGGAGAGACGTGGGACCCGATTTCCAGCGAAAAGGTCGCTGGGATTTAGTAAATGATACCCAAGCACGACTCGACCGATCTTCGAAGCTTGATTTAAGAAGAAGCCGGTTCACGCGCTAATGTAAGACCTAAGGGCAAACGCCACGGCGTGTTTGCGTATCTAGCTCGTGGCCGAATATGCCTACCTGGGATCCTTTTTTTCCTTTTTATCCGATAGTATGTGTAGATTAGACATAGAACGCAGTATAAGACAAACACTCGTCGAGTAAATACACTCGTGGATAATCAGTCAAAACAAAAGCATAGATTTAGTTCCGAGAAACTGGGTATGACGAACATGGCGTCAGTGGTGCCCAGATACAAAAAGAATGCAGAATCGAAATCCATACATTACCTGTACTAGGTTACATACCTATGTATGTATTCCGTAGGTATGTATGAGGTAGGTAGCAGCGGAGCGGTGGCGAAGGCCGGGGGCGTCCAACAGCTTAAGCCGGTAAGGAAATGAACCACACCCTTGGGATTCTGGGTACATACATAGGTACTGCCATAAGTACCATACCGGCAATATGTGGTTTTGAGATATCATATTTTGGGGGTGGAATGATTCTTATACAAGTTATCCTTGCCTATACAGGAATGGTTTCTCTGATTGGACCAATATATTATTGTAATATTAAAAAAATGAAAGTGTGGGTAATAAGGTTTAACAACGGACCAATTGTCAACAGCACTAGTGGACTGGCCACCCACTAGAGCCGTTAGCTCAATCAAAACACTCCCGCATTAGCGGGGATGTTGTGGTAGGGCTAGGAGCCTGGGGTTCGAGTCCCAGGCATCCTAGCTTTTTTGATTTTTAAGCTTTTTTGAGGTCATGTGACTTAAGGCCCACTTATTCTAGCCAATCAAAGCTTTAGATTCTAAGGAATCATTCTTTTACAAGGAATGATTATTTTTAAAAGAATGATTATTTCGTAAACTATCGTATTAGCCATAACAAAGGTTAGAATGAGAAATATGATTCCTAGAACCCATACACTGCCGCTACGGTACTATGCCTCTCTGCATACCTAGGTAGGTATGTATATGTACACGGTATTGTACATGTGGTTCTGGTCTGGCTGGCGATCTGCGCTGGATCATTGCCGTTTGATACACGTGCAACCCTTCCTCATATCGAGTGACCTTAAGAACCGCTCGACCGGGCCTAGTGTCCAAGTACCTGGATATTAGGCTTATTAAAGACGCACTAGCAAGCTATATCGTATATCTTCAATTGGGACAGTTGACCGAAACCAAATCTAAGTCGGGACAGTAGAGACAGCAGGGACAGCAATCATCCAGTTATCCTAACTACCTATCTCCCTGTAAGCTCCCTGCTGGTAACTTGCCTAATCCCACTCTGTAAAATGGGTCCTTAAGACAAGGTAAGACCTGGGGGTCGGTAAAGTTGCCTATACGAGAAACGCAAAAGCACGTTGTACTCGGGTAATGGCATGCCTGCGACCACAGATCGCAAGATGGGCGAACCATTGTACACATACATAGCGTAGCGGAGAGAGTATCCGCTCCTTGGGGCATTAATACCTCTCGAGACATAACTCTAGACCAATTAAAATAGAAAGAAGAAACATCTGATGTGGCGCTTTTCCCGTCCAGCTGGAACGAAGGCGGGGCATACAAAGGGAGGGCGAGCTAGGCGAAATGGAAGAACTACCGTGTGGATTTAGATAAAATCCGAGCCTTTGTCACAGTCTCCGATCGGCGATAACTGTGAAGCCTTATGTTTTGATCAGGAGGATTCTGGATGGCGATATACTACTACAATATACTACTACAATATGTAAGTAGTATTATACCGAATATCACACGTATCAATTTACTTTTTCCCATGCTTTCACTTTGAGCCATGATCTAATTTGGGAGCCTCCATCATTCAAACAAGAGGCATTAAAAAAAGATGACGCCTATGTCATGAGATTCCAATTATGTCCAGCTGCAGCTTGTGGTGGAGGTAATATAGTTGGTGTCACTCACAACTTGACGGATCGAGCTCTCCGAGTTGGTCCCGAGAAACAACGTCTACATCTGCATACACTAAGTTAGGTACCTACCTAGAATGCATTTTATTGGGGTGGTGCAAAACGCGCTTAACCAAAAAGCAATAAGATAAACCCTCAACTATCTTGCAACATGCCTTTTGAGATATGAAGGGAAGGGTATGAGGAAATGTTTTGGCCAGTCTATCTTTCTTATAATCCGTACAAGCGTAAGAGACAACGTGTCACAAATATACAAGACAAGGTTGAAATGATTGAACCTACATATTCCATAAGTGGTTGGCACTAAAATAAACGCCCGTCCCGGTGTTCTGGGTCATGGATGACTAGTGTAATAGCAGAATTACATAGGCTAGCCTCATTAAAGTGACGTATTGGTCGAAAATGTATCAGGAAACCCATAATAAGACCCGAGGAGGTGTCACGCCCATATAACAAGCTGACAAGTCACCCAGTCGATTACAACTATGTATCGCCATTATCCTTTACCCAAAGCCATGGATAACAACCTGTCAACCACTCACTGGATAAACTCATCGGATCCAGCACCACAACCGTGGAAACCCGTCGGTAGTATTGGTAGTATTGAGCTGTAATGAGTTGCAAGCCACTGTTTCAAGGCATAAATGACAGGCGACAGTGGCTGCAGCTTACTTGAGCGCAGTGCGACAGTGGCGCATCACGTTGCTTAATGAAGCTCCTTACTGGATCCAGCAATGTCTTAGCTCTAATTAATTGCAATGGCCCGAGCTCCTAGACGTTACGGAGTATCCACCCCCTTGTTCCCGAGCCAGTGGTTCGGGACGACCGCCTTTAATTAGTGTATGCAGGAGCCAATACCAAACGTCTAACTAGGCGTAAAGCATATCCCAATACAACATTATACTCCTCTCTCGGTATTGCATCCGCCATTCTCAGTAGTAAGCAGTAATGTTGCGCCGTTTCACAAATTTTCAACGGAACGACCGATATCCTACATACTACAGAATTTTCTAGAACTCGCTCAGTCAACGATTTGCTTTCTTACACGAGCTAGGATTTTTATGCCTACAGGTGCTTAACCGTTTACGCCTAGATAGGATTTCACTAGATGCCCAGATCAGCGTATTATTTACAGCTGGGCATCTTGGCACCTGTTCTTTTAAACAGTGCTCGGATTTTAAAAGCGACAGCCGGATCCTTGTCCGGATCGGCTAGGAAAACGGCATTACATTGCAGAAAATCTACTCTGTACCCGTTAGAGAACGCTTTGACTAAGCGTCAAATAAACTCAATAGGAAACATGAAGCATATCTTAAACTCAGCTTGTTTATGCTAATATTGTTAACATAGATGGGAAGAAGTGAATGGAAGCCAAACTATGTAGCCGTGTTTTTTAATCTTATGACATATAAGTACCTAATCTAAATAGATGCTTCCAAGACGTCCGTGTAACATCTAGGCCAGAAAATAGGCCAAATGTACATCAGTTTTAATACATAACTTATTGGTAAATAGTCCTGCCAGATGAATTGACAACCCGATAAAACTATAGCAATATAAGTGTTAGTTAAGTTGAAAGCAAACTCATTCCAACTCACCCTGAGTTTCGTTTGAGCGTGAGGAAGGTTACTGTTCCCCTTCTATATCTATATCAGTCATTCCATCTAGAGTTGAGTCTCCGTCTGGGAACGATTGCTGTTTAATACCGTAATTATTACCATCGCTAGCAATGCTTTTCTAAGTGTTGCCGTAATTATTATTTCTACTTGTCTTGTTTTGTAATTCGTTATTAGATCCGTTAAACCCGGCCGTTGATTCTGGATCGCCGTCCTGCGGCATATCGTAGCCCGTATCTTTATTCGTAATCCACTGTTTCCTCGACCCTCCTTGGCTTCCTTCAGTTCTTCTTCTTTCCTCGGCAGGTCTTACCAAATCGTCGTCGTCGTATTCAGTGTTGGCCCCCCTATTCTCTTCTTCGTCCACTTGCCGCTTCTTTCGTTCTCCACAGATTTTCGAGCATAAATTATTAAGCCCTAAACCAGTACTGTTGATGGGGCTATCCCCAGTGTATATGAACATGTCATACGCAATAGCCCCGCTTATAGTAGCAATAAACGGTACTACAACAGGAATCTAAATTATCTTTTAGTTACCAATACTTCCCAGGTACCTAAAGAAATACTAACCCAAGAGTATGCGTCAAAGGCAGACCATGCGTTATCATAGCCGAGGATGGTTAACCAGATTCTTCCTGTAAGATCGCGAGCTGGATTGATGGGTGACCTAAGCATAATCAGCTCAAGCGAAGTAATAAAGTTGGAAAGAGTCTAACCCAGTCTCCCAGCCGAAGCTACTTATCATTACTATGTTTAGAAGGAACAAGGCCAAAACGAACCATCCACCTCCTTTCTGGAAATCAGGTAAGGCAAAATCAGACATAAATACGAGAATCAAAGAAGCATATTCTTACTAGATGAGCCCCATTTTCGTCTCTCATTGCGAACATACAGAACATAACGACAAAGTTGGCAATATATTCGGAAAAGAATTGGCTCGCCTTGGGCACAAACGATGCGGGAAATGTGCAGAATATCTTGGCGCTAGACGTTTTACTCGGGGGGATGGTGCGGATCCCTCTTCCCTCGTAGTTATCAAATGCGGATATATAATTTGCATATACTACGCCTGCAGCACAGAACATCCCGAGCAACTGAGCAGCGGCATATATCGGAAAGCGTCTTAACGGTAGTCCTCGAAAAAGACAATTGGTAAGTGTCACTGCCGGGTTCAAATAGGCACCAGAGTCACCTGGACTTTAAGTAAGCAGCTATACATGATTTGGCGCAAGGCCACTGAAGTTATTGATCTAGTTCAGGGGTTGTGTAACTATACCTGCAACGTATATACCAAAAGCAGCACCACATGCCCAACTACACGCTATATAAGCTGGTCTGTTGGAGGCTGTATTCATAACGGTGGGCGACGTACCCGAAGCAAATGTTAATCCAACTCCCATACTCCTGATTGCTAAGGTAGGTTTGGGCAAGAACGGAATTTCCCATCAATACCATGATGAAGCAGCCCCAAAATTCGAGCAACGGTTCTCTGAGTATTAATCGTATCCTACTCCACACGAAATGCTCTGGATGGGTGTTCCCAGGGCTAGTAGTGCAATCTCCGTCTAAGCCAAGGCGTTGTCGTTGGCGGTTGAGTCTATCGCAGCCATACTCATCTGTCTCATTATTGTTGGACAGGAGGTAGGGACTCCTGCAGAGTATGGCCTATCACTTCAACAACCTGATCCTCGTAAGAGGCTCTAAGCCGCTGATGATGGCACTATACTCTGACTTATAAATACGAATTCAACTGATCAATAAACGAGGGATAAAAGGCAATAGGATAGAATCAATATAAACTAAAGGCTAAAAACAACTGTATAACTGCTAACTGAAGGATGATCTAGAATGAATGTGTGTGTGTCTCTGATCTGAGAGATGAGATGATCCTAAGACCTTTATATGATCCGTGAGGCTAGAATTACGTATGGCGTACGCGGGGTATACATATATGTACTAAGTGTCTTCGTACATCGAGTCTAATGTCTAGAGTAGACTCTGCAACATAGCAAGGTATCCCGAAGAAACCGTAGTTCGGGATATTTTGCCCCACATCCGGCCGAACGGCAATGCCGGAAATGTAGAACTCCTAGGGAATCTCGGCCGGTCCGATATTAGTCAGCTAATTGGGACGGCAACCAGCTGGCAGTCACCTGTTAACAGAAGCTTATCGATAATCACTGGACTTCCCAATCCACCAAAATCGAATCGCGGCTGAGTTCTTATCAATCAGGATATCCAGACTGCGGAATTGCCAGCAGGCCAAGATGTCGAGCAAGACCTCGGCATTCGCGGATCTTTTACAGACGTCTTTGAGCTCTCGGACAATTTATCTCAAATGTGTCCCAGCCCCGGTCAACTTCTCGGAGCGTCGCGGTGTTCTGCGCGCCGTCCAAAAACTTACACATGAAACTGTCGAGACATTCAAGAAGCTCGAAGTAGGCGCTATACCTTCTTTCTTTAGGTTCACAGTTCACAGAGTTGCATATGTTCTAACTATCTAACTACAATTTTATAATTAGGACAATTCTTCATTCGTCGTAGTCACGAGCAAACCAGGCACTGCCACTGCCCTCGTCAACGATTCTCCCATCATGCGTGTCATCATTGACCAAGATCCGAACGCCGCCTCTTCATCCTCCTCCGCCTCTTCTTCATGGGGAGCTGAATACGACATACGAGGAAGCATAACTACTCCTGTTAATCCGTATGCGCCCTCCAGGTTATTAACAAGGGAAACACCAGCCTTGTCCGATCTAGGCGTCTCATATAAAGTCTTTACCCTACACATGTTCGCTGCGAATAAGACGTACAATCATAAGGAGGCAATTAGGAAGAACCCTCTCCACGGGCCATGGCCATCCCATAACGCTAGAGAAACCTTCGTGTCAGCCGCCTTGCATAGGTCTATACCCTCTGGTCCCATGGCTCCAGCGTTGCGGGACTGGCACACCGCCAATCAATTATCGCGCGATTCATTCAGTTTTGCAGATGAGGGCGTCGAAGGAGCAGCATCTGTTCTTCTCGGGAAAAAACGTCTATCTTCAAAAGAGATATTTTTCCTGGATCGTATTAGAGCACGGCGGAATGCAAAGGGGGTACCGGATATCATGAAAAGTCTGGCTGCATTTGCGAACGAAAATGTTCATGATTCACCTTCTAACGCCGTCAATCCGTCTAGGAAGTGGGGTAACTTGTTAACTAAGTCCAACCTTAGAACGAATACCGACTCCTTGCTTGGTGAATCATTCGACGATGTTCCCTCAGATCAAGAGAAACCACTTGCCAGTGAAGATAAAGTCGACTGAGACAAGACTTGCAAGAAGCATATACTCTATTCGGATTAACATATTATGTTGTTCGCTATGCTGCCTAGATCATATATCATAGTGCGACTAGTTGAACTTGGACAACTACAAAGTAGTTGCCAGAGATTTTCACGGGTCGAAAAAGATCCTTACGCGCATACTGCATACTCTACCATATGCGATATACATCCAGGCGAAGGCTTTAGTATTGCGCGCCCAGGAGGTGCTAAAAATCTAACGCTACGTTCTGGTATACGTTCTGGTATACGTTCTGGTATGCGGATAACAATAGATCCTTGCATCCTGTGATACGACATCTCCAAATCGACCTAACCAGCGTTGCGAGGCCTATCTCGACCTCACTATCGAATTCCAACATCAGTTTAAATTTGCTAGAATCATCCAGCGTATGTATATCTGTACGACATATACGACATATACCAACTGCAGTTAATGACGTGTCGTTGGCTTTGGCTCGGCCGGGGCCGTTGATACATCTTGGCTGCATATGGTGGACCATTAGTGCAACTGTGCCAAAATCAAGAAAATTAATGGCACTATGTCTAATAGGGTAATAGTAACGTTAGGGGTACAGTGTAGGCTCGATTATTTGCCTTGTATACATAATTTATTCCGTACAAAGTAATACATACTTTTTTTAAAGCTAATAATATAATAACTTCACGAATATTCATTTAAATTTTTTTTAAAAAACATTAATATTTTAATTAATAAATAATAAAAATTATAATTTAAATTGCATACGATTTAATTTAATATTAATAAAAATATTAAAAAAGTTATAAACGTAATTATATAAGCCGTTTTTTTAAAGGTTTAAAAAATTAATTAATTAAATTATTTAAACATTATTAATTTTTAACATTAATTAATTAAATTAAAAGATTTTATTATTAATTTAATTTTTAATTATTTTATATATAACATATAATACATTTAAATAACTTTATAAAAATAATAATTTAAACGTTATAATTAAAATCATTTTATAATTTTAATTTATGCGAAAATAATAAATTAAATTACATGTTTATACGATATATATTAAATATTATATTATTATTAAAGTATTTAAAGTTTATTTAAAATAACTTTATTAAAATGTTTTTAAAAAATATCACGTATTTACTTTTTTAAATAAACGTTATTTAATTTTATTATAATATAATAATTAAAAAACCGATTTAAATGTAATTTAAATAATTGTTTTTACATTAATTAAAATTATAAAATAATTTTAATTATAACGTTTAAATTATTATTTTTATAAAATTATTTAAACGTGTTATATTATATATATAAAACAATTAAAAATTAAATTAATAATGGAATCTTTTAATTTAATTGGTTAATGTTAGAGATTAGTAAGAAAATAGCCCGGATATTTATATTTTACCTTGTATATACCCCGCATAGTGTACTGTGCACTTAGCGTTCCTTGCTATATTACCCTTTTTGGAAAATTCCGACCTATTTTATTGATTTTGGCACAGTTGCACTAATGGTCCACCATACTGCAGGCTGCCGTCATCATTTTAATCGAAAACAAGGCACAGGCCAGACATTCAGACAGTCTAGAACCCTGGCCGTACCCCACTAAGAATCCTACATACGATTCTACGAATACCTTCCCCGGCTTTTGTAAACTACCTGGCATGACTAGGCACTACCTTGCGACTTGCAAAGCCACGACGTCACAGATTGGATGGCATCGTTTCCAGCTCTGCACATATGGCTGTGTTCATAGGCCGCACCTCGTGAGAGGGCACAGCCCAAAGAGGGCTTTGCTCTTCGTTCGCACATTTTGCCGATTATCCGTTGCTGGTTCCGATTGATTACGGGGATCACTAGATTCCCACATGACGTCGCGACGTTAGGTATCAATGAAAACCAGTTCTCATGGGTGTGACCAGCATCAGATCGCCACGACTCATACCTAGCTTAAACATCATCGATTACCTATTAAAGATACTTGGATGTGAACGATGCTAGGGTATTTCTTGAATAATAGCATGAACCTGATTGCTTGCTCAAAACATTTTGCATATAACTTACGGTTGTTCCAGCTCTGTGCCCTCTATTTGACCGTGACTCCCCGTTATAAGTCTTTTGTATCTATATCGGCAAATTCAAATCTACTGTATACTTCACTTATACCACTTTTCAAATAAGTGTGTACCTAAGCATAGCAGTTCTCAGTCAAAATGCGGCAGACAGGGTTCTTCCATCACATTGGCTCGTTTCTGCTATTAGCGGCTACGGTGCTGCTGATTATCACCGATATCTCAGCTCCTGTAGTGAACAGCATTTCGATGTTGAGAGTTAACCTCGATGACCGCAATACATCACCAGGCGGCCCACCAGCTGTGACATTCGGCACCTTCGGCTACTGCGTGAAGGACACTACGGCGTAAGTCGATTTCTACTCAACTTCTAGTAACCCTATGATGTATTGCCGCTGCTAACATCGAGTGTTACCTAGTTCCGGCCAGGACTTCTGCAGCCGGTCGCATGTCGGCTATGACCCAGCCACCATCGTCCAGAATAATGTGCAGAATGTGGACTTCTCGGACTATGCGGCAGACACGTCTAAAGGCTTGACGCGCGTTATGATCTTGCACCCGATCGCGACGGGACTGGCATTCATCTCATTCCTTTTAGCGCTCGGTGCTGGGATCGTCGGTGGCCTACTCGCATCGCTGTTCTCGCTGCTCACCTTCATCGTCACTCTTGTCGCGCTTGTTTGCGACTTTGTATCGTTCGGTATTATCCGGTCTGAGGTCAATAGCTCTGGTAACGGTAGCCACGCCGAGTGGGGTGCCGCGTCTTGGACTATCCTCGTCTCTGCCATCTGCAGCTTCCTCGCTACGTTTATAGTCTTCTTTACATGCTGCAGCGCCCGAATGCATAAACGCCGAGATACCCGTTCCGGCGCCAAGGACGTTCCCGAGGGCTATGGCGCCCCGGCACGTCGGAGGCGATGGTGGTAAATCATATTGGACTATTCCGGATCATATTAGATGATCCTGCTACAACGACAAACACAGACTCCGATCGACTAAAATCTGCAAAGCTTAACGACGAACTACGATAAAAAGAAAATGAACGAAGCGAAAGCGAAAGCGAAAGCGAAAGCGAAAGCGAAAGCGAAAGCGAAAGCGAAAGCGAAAACATGAGACAATTCTTGATTTTCCGATTAATGAGAGCAAATGTTGGCAATTACGAAGAAAGTAAAAAGGGACACACCTAAACATCGGCAGACTTATTGGTTGACATATTATATACCCTTCATACTTAATTACTTATTCTTTCTACTTATACCCATCATCTTCGTTTGATACCAACATTTACTGTGGACATGGCGGCTCTGCTGTACGATGAGTGGTGTTGGTCATGCCAATGTAACTACCAGATACATAATAAAGTAAACTTTTTCTTAAAGCTCGCCTTGAATCTTTAAATGATGCTTACTTTGAATCATTATGAGTGTTGGACGGACTCGAAGAGAATTTTCTATCGTCGTAGCCTACAAATTTGAAGGACTTTCCGAAACCTGCGCAAGAGAGCACGTGTAACGACAGCGTGCGCAGATCGTCGGCAATTGATTTGACTGATACCTTGTCAATCCAATAGTGAAGCATGTCATTAGCTAAGCCAATGGCTTCTGACCATACGATTTCATTGTTATGCTTATTGAAACAATAAGTATTATTGTTGCCAGGACAAGGCAGGTGAGGCATTCTTGTTGGTGGGACTATCAAAGTTGGAGATAACGCCATCGGGAGGAGGGAACGCAGGTGTATTGAAGAGAGAGTCTCGCAGGTCAGTAGGGATCGAGGATAAGTTAGACGTGTTTTGTTTCAGCTGTAAAGATGTCGTCATGAGAGAGTAACAATAAACGAATACGGATTGGTTGTACTTGTAGCATGCGGGAGAAATATTACTTCATGCTGATAGTCCAGATCGAGGATTTTGGGGGAACTCATATGGTAGTCACAAGAGTATCAAAAGCATAGAAACCACTTTTAGCTACACCGGTTCATTCGGATAGAACAAGAGGTAGAATTCAAATGGCTTAAGTATGTCTCCTGATTCGACTCCCGGTGAATCAAAAAAGAGAATATATCAAGTCGCTATGTAGCATAACGAAGTGGCCGAAAAAGTCAGGTGTGATACAATCTAGACAACCTCCAATGGAAATTAGGTACCATGCACAAAAGCCTAACCCTTTAGAAGATAAGCATGCATGATATTCCCAAATGAAGTCATATGTCCCCTATTTCATAAGCCATGGCTTCTATGTGGGGGTAAGGCTTGTGATACATTGGGTGCCTGTAGAGCAGCAACAAGTCAGTCAATGTTGATTCTGGAGCACCGGAGCCAAGACGGAGGAGCATCGGGCGGCTAAGCGCCAAGGCCCGTCGGTGTAGCGCCGAAGAACTGGGGCTTTAAGTTAGGAACGGCGCGGGCGTCGCTGTTTATTTATATTCGCGATAATTCAATTCAATTAGCTTCGGTTAGTGCATCGCAACTATACCAAAAGTCTATAGTTTCAGGCAAATTCGTTCACTCCCCACAAATTTATTCAGGGGTAATAGCAACATTCGTAGGCAGCGGCCGGGTGCCTAATAAGGAGGACCATAACATTTAGCTCGACGAGTGGTATAAAATAGTATCGATTTAACATTTTACTCTTTCGTTATTTCTATTATTACATGTATTGAACTTTAACTATTCTAAACTATCGCATTCAAGCTGTGTTATATTTACCTTAGATTAGGTACTCACTTCAATATGCCTCCCCAGAATTCATCTGAGAGGCTTAACCTTCCTGGCTTCGGTTTACCTATTGACTACGAACCGGATCGCGACAAGATGATATCATGCTTCCTTCATGCCCTCTGGGAGGGAATGTCCTTTGAGAGTGACGGCCTCACCTTACGTGAGATTCGCAGTAAGTTACATCAGGTTTAGGACTAGTTGAAATAGTTCATTCGTGCTAGGCCTCCTTTATCCCCGCCCCTTAAACTCGTAAAATGAAAGTTGTTAGTAACAAGATGAAAACTAGTGATGGGTTTCATCAACCAGATTTCGGACAAACCGAATTGGGAAGAAAAGGTTTTCGATGAGACAATTGTTGCCAAATGGAAAGAGGAAGCAAAGATGGCTTCGCATCAAAACCTCGACGGGGATGTCTTTTTATCTGACAAGATGTTTGAAAACGTAAGTTCTACCCGTATCTTAGGCATCCTAATCACCATCAAATACATCAAAGACGAAAACGCGGGCTGACACAACTTAGTGTATCAAGGAACTCCGCGATAAGGCGAAGCAAGTGAAAAAGACTGGCATCGTCAATGTGTTAGACGCCGAGTTAGCCGTTGCCAAGTCTGACACAATCGTCCCGTCTTCACTAGTAGATGCTCTTAGGCTCGGGGTTAAATCCTTGGAAGATGTGCCTGACAAATACAAAGATTGGCATTCTGGGTCTGGTGAAAAAGTCCTCGACCTCTTACATCCATCTCTATTCCCACTTGTCTACGGCACCACACGTGTTTTACCCTATGGTAAGGTTCCACTTGAAGACTGTGCTTCAATTATTGGCGAAGGGGAGACTACTATATCGTCTGAGCAAAAGAAAACCAACGAGCCTGCGCTTTGGGGGAGCAACCAATGGTTACCTAGCGACATTGTATGGACAGAGGCAGGTCCCAGGATTGCAAGCTACATCAACAACTTACATCCGGCAGACCACAAGGACTTGTACGAAGTCTTCGAAAAGTTCGTTTCTGCGGCCGTTCCCCTTTGGGAAGAGTGCTTGTTCCGTGAGAAAGCACTAAAACCACGCATCATCTGCGAGACCGAAGGTTGGAGAGACTACTACTTGCCCGAAGGCGTTAAAGTCCCAGATCGATGGCTACTAGATCTTGAATATGAGCCAGAAAACGAACTTGACAGATACGATATATATGCTGAAGGGTTTCGGGAGTGGTACGAAGGGCATGGGGTTCTTCGATGGCCCGAACCTAAAGATTACACTCCTCGCGAAAGAGACCCCTTAAGCAAGCCAGATCTAAAAAAAGATTTCCCGTCTGGTCTTCAAGTTATATTCAAGCTTGCGAATATTCACTTGACCCCTGAGGATCCCGAGTATGATGGCGGCAGCGTATGTAGCATTCAAAATTTCTTTTTCCCCCTTTTCGTACCTCCCCAAGAGCCAGAATCATCTTACCAAATCTAGACGTTTCCTTCAAGGAATTAAATACTAATTTCTATCATTCAAGTGGCATATCGAAGGAGCGCTTAATGAGAGAATCGTCGCCACCGCGCTATACTATTACGACGCCGAGAACATCAGCGAAAGCCGGCTCGCATTCAAGCAGGCTGTCGATGCCGAAGAAGTGCGCATGATACCACCTCAGGGAGAATTCCAACCTCTAATGCGTTGGATGGGGATTGTGAACGAAGAAGAAGATCCGCCCTTTCAGGAGCTCGGAAGTGTACTTACGCGGCCTGGACGCCTACTTGCCTTCCCTAACGTGTTTCAGCACCAAGTACAACCATTTCGACTAGAAGACCCGACCAAGCCAGGCCACAGGAAAATCCTTGCTATGTTTCTCGTCGATCCCAACCTCCGTATACTATCTACCGGGGTCGTTCCACCACAGCGACGAGATTGGTGGGCACCCGAAGTACGTAAAATCTCTCCCTTTTCGAAAATCCCAGTTGAGGTTTTCGACATGATTATAGATTCTGTGGAGGACTTTCCTATGAGCTGGGAGCGAGCTGAGGAAGTACGGGAAGTTCTCATGGATGAACGTAGCTGGACAAATGAGAACTGGGAAGCGAAAATTGGCGAGGTACGTTTATTAGACCTTATTCCTGCGAAAAGATATGCAATATTGACCTTAACATAGAACACCTACTATTTCTGCGAACATTAATGGCTCAAACTCGATCAACGATTATTTATCTAGATATACCATGCCAAACTACGAAGTACAACTTGAAAAGATAGTTGTCAAATCGCTTGGTATATTTCTTCTTTAAACCAATAAACTCATAACTCGCGGTACCTGCTGAACTTAAGCAAGACTCCCTAATATCTAAGTGTTTTATTGGGGGAAAAGAGATAGTACCGTATAGGGTCTTTACGCTGTTGTATGCTAGAGTCGCTACGGCGATTGTGCTCACCACAACGCTTAGAGGATCGATGCACTTGTGTTATCGGCCCCCATGAGGACGGCACAGCTGGGAAATTCCTCAAGGCTAGTAGTTAGTCGTACAGGTTCCATCGCCTTTAAGTTAAGCAGACCAGTATCAAATCATATCCGGGTTGGCTCACAACATGACGGTTAACATTTAGCATCCAAGCAGCTAGTAAATTATTACAAGTAATTTACAAGCCACTAACCGTACAATTGATAGATGTTGCAATCAAATAGTATTTGAATAGGCCAGCCTTTATTTAACAGTTAAGTTATACTGGATATAACTAATCTAGAAAAAGCACTTAAGTATAAGTTGCTTGCGCAGACACTGTCCGGACAGTACGGTCTACAACGTAAGGCTTATTAACACCTGTCAAGGACACGCAGTTTTTCTATCCCTAGTGTCAATTGATACCTTATTCTACGTGTCTCTACTTCTACATAGCGTTTGTTCCTCATTTACTAAAGATTCACGAATAGGATTGATCAAAGTCTACGACGCCAACCAAACAAAGAAAACGGGAAAGGAATGGGTAGGTACACGTGTCACACCGTACGTACTTCGGCAAGAAGCGAGATTACCACAAGCCACGGTGTCTTGCCCCCCTTAAATATCGCGACTCACACTACGCGTCGGTGCCGAAATCTCCATTCCGCAGCCCCCGAATCCGAGCTCCGAGCCGATCTCGGACTCGGTCTAAAGCCCACATTGCCACAATAGGAAATAGCAAGGCCAATTAGCGTGGTCGAGCTGAAGACGATCTAATCTTATCAGATCCGAGAGGGAAGGATATAAGTCATCGGACCCCTGGATCCCTCGGGGAATTGCATGTTACTTATATACTTCTCAAGTTCTCCCTTGCCTGTTTTATTTACTTTCTTCTTCTCTTTTCCCCCCTTGTTTACATATCCGGACGCATCTTTAATAATACGAAGAAATATATGAATTCTCCTGTTCCTTAGAACCCTCATCTTACGGACTTACAGTAGCCAGGCAGTCTATTAGATTCTCCGTCTT